CGTCGTCACAAGACACCGGTCATCCAATGTTTGGACGAGATGGTGTGAGCTCTTTGAGATATGTGCATGCCCCGACGTCGAAACAGGGTCCCCCAAGGTGATCAGTATGTGAAAGCACATCTTCATGTTGCCCAAGTGCGCCCAAGGCCTGCTGCCTCATCGTGTTACTGAACCGACCGGTTGGGAGACCGCGGCCGGTGACGGGGAAGAAGGCTTCCAAGGGGGCTGCCTCGACTCGAACGACATGCGAATGTTGCTAGGCTTGACCGAGCAGGCACTGTGTGGCTAGGAGGAGAAACAACCTTAGAGGATGAACAGAAAAGAGATCGGGCGTCGGATTTCTCAGCCTGAGGAGGCCTGAGGTAAAGAAGTTGTGAAGGACCTGGCGAGATTAGGAGACTGCGGATGCAAGGCTTGTTGTATCGGAAAGTATTCACACACATCTGGCGCTATTCGTTGTTTGTAGATCACAGAGACTATGACCGGATCACCTTGCTTTAATGAAGCACACATAAAGTTAGGGAAGGTCCCTCTGCTGGCAAAAACGAAGATCTGTCTTTAACTCACTTGAACTTCACGAGACGTCCTTTCAGAGGCGCAATGGCGTGAATGGGCGATGCTGCTCTACTGTGGGTCGCGAACCAGCAGAGCCGCAAGTGGGTCGCGAAGGGGCCGTAATTGGCTGCCTCGTGAAACCGGTCAAGCGGCATTACGAAGGCCCACAAAATGCGAACCACGATGCGAACTGCGCTAAAATCCGCAAAGGCAACCCGAAAGTAGGTCTCTTCTGGCCAATCAAGAGTTAGATCATCCCGCCTCAGAGCCGCATCAAAACGTTGCTGTTCGCCAGCGACCACAGCTGTTGATGGAGTTCTTCGACGATTACATGCTGAAGCAGGACAGCAATCGTACTATCAACGCTCAGATAGGTGGTATACAGCAAGACAACATCTTTGACGCCAGATTCGACCGCGGAAGCCATCGCAATCTCGAGCCCTTGTTCCCATCGCCCTGTCCTGAGCAGATCCTGACAGACTCAGTGAGTTGCACCACCAGCACCAATACATGTCTGAGCAGACAGCGAAAATCGCTCAAGTCCTGAAAGTCCGTCAGCGCCCAGAGCTGACGGAATCCGGTCTAGCACTTCTGCCATGGCTTCCCGATATCTAAGCGATTCGAAGAGACAGCGCAGCCCCATCATTCGTCCGCAATCGGGCTCCCCCGGCACTGCTGCACGTGCTGGTCCTGGTGCAGCTGCAGGCGCCGGGTCGGCCCGAGCGAAGCAGGCTACGGACTACGTGCATCACCAACAAAGAGTACAACGCTTTTCCCAAAGGTATCCACTGCCTGCGCGTCATCCGCTCTCCCTGGCATCCTGTTCTAACAGTCTCATGCCTATGTAGAAGTGCGAGCTACAGCCAACGGCAGCCTGGGGACAGTGACTCACCCCCACGCAATCCGTCACCGCAGATCAAGCAGGAGCCTGGTTCTCCATATAACATAGCTGGAACAAGACCTTCGAAGCGGCCTGCCCTTGAGGACGAGTTCCGCCCATCCAAGATTGGACCTGGCTCTGCGTCACCAGAGTATTCTTCCGGCCCCCACGAGAATACTCTGTTGCAACCTCTGGATGTCAAACGGCCCGGGTCACCTGCTTCTCCTCGGCTATCCTTGCAGCAACTTTTCTCCTCGTCGCGTCATCGTACGCAGTCCCCCTACGGACAGGAGGTGGACCGGAAATTCTTTGATCCAGTGCCGGGGTCTCCCCTCCAGCCCGAGCATGATGTGCAGTACGAGGATACGGGGATGCTCCTGCAACCCGACACTCGACCAATCTCCCAGGAGCAGCTAGTGAATGAAGTCAAAGGCATCTACGCTGGGCTTGTTATGGTGGAGAAGAAATGCGTGGAGATATGTCAGCAACAATCGCAGAGCACGGTTAAGTTGTCCAACGAGCAGTGGCAGGCACTTATAGCTCTACATCGCACCTTGCTTCACGAGCATCACGATTTTTTCCTCGCAAGCCAACACCCTACAGCGTCACCGGCCTTGCGTAGATTACCAGCCAAGTATGCTATGTAAGACTTCCTGCCATCCGCATTGCGGTTTCCTCACCCAGGGCTCTACCGTAAAATCGTACAGCCCTAGGGCGATACTAACTCTAGTCGCAGGCCTGCACGCATGTGGAGACATGGCATTCATTCGTTTTTGGAGTTGCTGCGTCATCGCCTCCCGTATTCTCTGGAGCACATGTTGAGCTTTGTTTACCTGGCTTACCAGATGATGGCTTTACTGATGGAATCTGTCCCAGCCTTTCACGAGACATGGATTGAATGCCTAGGAGACCTCGCCCGCTATCGAATGGCCATCGAAGAAGCCGACTTGAGGGATCGCGAGACGTGGGCAAACGTCGCTAGAATGTGGTACAACAGAGCTAGCGATCGCTCTCCCGAGACTGGAAGGATCATGCATCACCTCGCAGTCCTGGCTCGACCCAACATCGTCTGCCAGCTGTTCTACTACTCCAAGGCCCTGGTCAGTGTCAACCCGTTCCCCAATGCTCGGGATAGCATCATGCTTCTTTTCAATCCTCTGCTCGAGGCATATGGTTTGCCCAGCCAGAATCCAAAAAAGGAAGCTATTGTGTCCAAGTACGCTAAGTTCGATTACTCCCTGGTCACCGCAGCAGGGGTGCTCTTCACGAAGGGGTTCATCCACGACTACTGTGTCCACGTCTACCTGTTTGCCTCGGAGTTGGACAATCACATAGCCCGATCAGGATCCAACTGGAAAGTCCAAGGCACTGAGGTCGCTTCGGGATTGATTTCATGGATACTGGACTTTGGCTCCGAAGAGAGTTTCTTGTGGGGCGCTTTCCGGGCACACCACGACAAGCTGAAAGGGACACAGACAGAACTGCTACCGGCGAATGTTGCTTCGAGGATGGACCACATCGCCAAGGAAGACTCGCATCGGAAATTCTGGATGGACAACGAACTCAGTGCGGCAGATTTCCGTCAGGTCAGTCCGTCAGCCGGCGACCAACCGGGCATGAAGTTTACCTCCTCGGAGCAAGTCACCTCTTACGCGGTCCCAGTCTGGGCACACACCGTCGCTATCGTCGCCAGCAAAGTCGGCGATCGCAACATCCTACCATTCTTACATGTTACGTTAGCATTCCTTTGGTCTCTTTCATACGTTCCCGGTGGCCTCATTTACCTCGAAAATGACATTCCTTGGGCGAAACTCGTCCTTTCCCTTAATACGTTGAGCAGGTCTGGAGTGGTGGACGCCCGTGTCGAATCCAGCGAGTTCCCTCAGCAGCAATCCGGCACTGGTCGGCAGTTGCCCGAGGATTTCCTCATCCGTGGTCTTGTGTGGGCACCGTTCTATTTCCCTCCGGATTTCTTCGAGGGACAAGTGGTCGACGAGGACGAACGCACTCTAGAGCTACCCAGTCATGCAGCACCACGGGCTGAACGATGTATCTGGTTGGGAGCTAGGCTAGCATCCGTATGTTTTGCTGTGTGTGCCCACCTGTCGCGGCTGACTTTGTCCCAGTTGAATCGTTACATCACCTATAATCTCACGACGAAGCAGTTCGGATGCACCAAGTTTGCATTGTCGCTGCCGGGGCACTCCTCGATGAATACGTTGCACGTTCTAGCACCCGCACCTGCATCCGAACGTGATGTTTCCATGACCGACGTCTGACCCTAAGAGACGGGCTGTGGTACAGGGGCTTTTCTCCATCAGCACCCGCCAGAAAGAAGTCGGGTGCGGATTGGGGGGCACTTCCATGGGGTGCTGATGGAAAAAAGCCCCTGTACCACAGCACGTCTCGTTCCCATGACGGACTCTGCGCAACACCACCACGGACGACAAGAAGACGGCCAGGAGCTATTGCAAGTTGGGCATGGACACGGACTCGGAAAAATGACATATGGTCCTTTGACTGCGTTCTACTCGATGTACTGCGGCAACAACAGGGACGGAGTGATCATAGTGAGACAGATCTATTGGGGGAAGGGAGTTGGTAAGTCACCCACGGTGCTTGCCACCGCCACCATCCTGGAATCTGTCAAGCACGACAACGACAACACCACTGCCTTGAGACAGCGGCACTTCCCGTTGGGTTGTATCAGCCTACTATACCAGATCTTCGTCATCTCGGGTTCAACAGTACCAAACACCGGCAACGACCGGGCCGATGCAATGACGACTGGGACGTGGCTTGATGCATCTCCTGGAGTCCTGCGTTCACAGGCGAGAGGTGTTGTTGTGTTCTGTCCCAATCCCTGCCTCGGAGGTCGAGTGGGTATCCTTTCAAGGCATACATAGTTCCTGTGTCCGTGTACGTGTACGAGCATAGCTTGCTGCGTCGTCGGGGTAACGCCAGGAAACGCATCTGTCGTAACGAGCAATATCATTTGATTGTTGAAGATTTTAGATTTGCTTGATGATTTGCTTAATGGCACCCGAGTAATGGAGTAGATTGTGAATCAGCAAGCGAGTGGGTGAGTGGTGAGATCACCAGACATCCCGGATCCGTCAGGCCAGCATTTCGCGCAGTTGACTACATGTGGACTATGAGGTATATACGACGAGCAACGTGCAGGCAAATGTGGTAGGTTATGGCTAGTTCTGAGATCTCCCTGGAGCGGGTCAGATATGGTAGGTTCGGTTCAGGCCAATGCTCGTCACGGTCGGCGGACAACTGAAGAACGACTGCACCGCCCTGCCACTAACATATTACATGGCTATGGATAGCTGAAACCGAACGACAAATCGAAACAAGCACATCATGACATTGGCGTATATTCTGTATGTGTACGATGTATGGTAGTAAAATGATGGCCAACGGCCGCTTTTGCACGAACATGCCATGACATGAAACTACATTGGGATGGTTGTGGGACTAGCACTCGTCCAACTACCCAGCCACACACACTTCTGAACGACCGAGCATCCTCCTAATCGCCTCGACCTCCATCGGGCACCTACGTCGACAGACGCATTGACACTGTACTGTGTGCAGCTTTGGTTGAGGCGATAGTTTGGATGACCACGTCCGGGGACTCCCGCGCCGTCAGGGACGCCATGAACTTGTCTAGGTCGAGTTCTAACTCCGACGGGTTGTCTCTTTTTGGATAGTGGTCGTTTTCGGCGGTGGCAGGGAGCTGGTCCGTGGTCGAATGCGAGCGAACAGCTCTGCCGGTTGTGACTGAGCTTGGGTCCGAGCCTGACTCTGGTGCTGAAGTGGACCGAAGGCCAAGACGTGCAGGTCCGTCGAGTTGAGGACGGGACATTCTCTTCTCCAGGCTCACGTCCACGGACTCCATGCTCCTGAGATAAGCACATAGCATTGGATCTTCAGGGACGGTGAGCAAAGTGAAATGAGTGAGCGGAATGCGGCGACGGCTGGACCACCATCGCTGGTTAGCACGACATGTACGGCCAGTTCAATCTGTATCAGGACATGGAGACACACTCTTCTTTTCTCTCTGAAGGGAGCATTGGATTCCTGATACTGGAGGGCCTCTCAAACCTCCCGGACTTCGCAATCTTGCTGGCCATGGTGCCTGATGTCAGCCAGGAAAGTGATATGTGAGTTGATATAGGTCGTGCGTCTCAGATTTGAATGAACCTAGTTGGACCAGTCCAAAGCTTGATGAAACTTCGACAACAGAGACGAGACCGATGAGATTGAAAGTGCTCAATGTGATATCATGGCAAGGAGAGAGGAGGGAGGGAAATCAAGGTCGAGGGGTCCGGGGGAAGGAGGAATGCTCGGGATATCGGCCAGGCAGGCACTAAGTCTGGTCTCGGCCAATAAGGGATGGACATGCAAGCGCTAAGCTGAGGGAGTCCAATGAGAGTCCGCCAACCTTGCGCTAATTGTTCGATTCCCAAGGTGATTCGCCGGAGAAGGACTCGGAGGACGACTCGGAGCTGGTTCGCGTGCTGAGGAATTTCGTGCCTTCGGATCTTTCAGCACGCACATCAGTCACTGCTCGCTGTTATTTGCGAGTCGATCCGTGGGTTTGAGCAGCTTTGACTAGACTGCATGGTGGAGGAGCTGGACACTGTGCTTTGTGGCGGGGATTTCGTTTGGAGGGACTCACGTTGGCGTGTGCCCATTGCCGATCGTGGTGAGGACCTGGAATAGTGCATTTTTGATGGTATTATCCAGATTCTGAGTACAGCTGTGACAGGTCTCGATCAGAAAGGACGGTTTCCGACAGGTGGAATAGTAGCCACTGATAGATTTGGGCTCGGGGGGGTTCGCAAGCCGGCCCACCTCAATGCCTAGATGATTCCTAGTACGGAAAGCCATGGACTCTGGTCTTGGCCATGACCAGTTGCATGGAGAAGTAGGAAATTCATCCAAACTGAATGGTGGCCATCCATAGAATGTAGCTGAGCCAGGTTTCAAAGCCGAAGTATCTTCAGGCGAGCACTCGACCTTCTTCCCAGGGGACCGAGGTTGAAGCCGCTAACCCTCCAGTCTGGTACTGTTGACGGAGCGCGGCGAAAACCCTGTTGTGCTGATCAAGCATTCCAGTCAATGTGTAGGGACGAAAGTCTCCACAGATCCAGGAGATAGTCGAGTGGCCAGATCATGAACCGCAGACGAACTTCTGGACCTAAACTCGCGCTTCAGCGGTTGCAAAATTCAGAAATCCCAGGGGTGCAGGTGTTTGTCCCGACCGCATGCCACAAGCCGCTGCACACTCCGCCCAGGCCAACAGCAATGGCATAGGCGTGTCTCGAAGGGCGTACATCGATCACGGCGTAAACCTAATCGAGATGGCATCTTGAAGTCCCCGAGAGAGCTAACACGCGGAACAGCCACAGGAACGTTCAAGAAAATGAACTCTCCAAGGTGCATATCGCGGTGGTCAAACTGTGCCTGAACTGCATCATCAGCCCCAAAAGACGGGTGGACTGTAACCATATAGATGGCGGAGATCGCAGACAGCTACCTCGCGGCTGTGTTCGTTAGGACGTGCGATTTCTGCAAACCCTCAGCATCCAAGTCAACTCTTGGACCACATACCAGGCTCAAGGATAAAATCTCTTGAGCAGGAGATGGGAAAGGCAGACTGCGGGATCGAAGGACCCAGTTGGGATATATAGCAGCCATTATCATTGATTGAGAATTGTAGAACAATCACATTTCGCTCTTCAAGATCAGTGGGTCGGAGATTTCACACAAGTGTTGATGATGCTCGCGAGAACCCGGAAAACCTCGCTATTGGGGTTGGTCTCAGTGTACCGCCTCACAAATGGTACCGCAAGAGATTTGGACAGAGAAAGAGGTGGCATCAAGGCGGAGGGCATTGTCGTCGTGCCGGGATACATTGAAGAAGAGTCGAATTGACACTGAAAGAAGGTTTAGAAGGGACTGGCACGTGATTGGAGAGGGCCAGTGAGGCGGTGCAAAGTTGTGGCTGAAGAGTGCGAAATGTTGATTGGTTGGAGCATCACAGGTTAGCCACAAGGACTTTTGCTCGTTCAGGGCAGCGGAAAAGAAGCGTAGAAGCGCATTTAGGCGAGAACCTAGCGCTGCCGATGGCGAAGCGGGCGTGCGCCACAAAGCAATGCCAGAGATATATGCATCACGAGTTCAGCTGTGAAAAGTTCTCGCCGCTCGTCCTTCGCCTCTCTCCTCCTTGTCGACAGTTGTCTTCTACGGCGCACCATCCTGGAGCTGAATTGTGTCCGGCGCAAACTGAGTGCAGCCACTGAGCTTACCACAGCGGAACAATGCACTTTTACCGGGACCAGCTCGCCCGCGTTTTCAGCTCCTTCCTGAAGCGGCGAGCTGCTGTCGACAGCGATGGCAGGACCAATCCTGCCGTTGCTTGCCAGTTACTGTGTACCCTGCCATCGCACTGAGACAACTTTTCTGAACACCCCGACAGAACAGGGAACAGAAAAACACCATGACCAGCGTCGATTGGTCGGCGAATGGTTGATCGGCCGTGGCGAGGCTCAGCCTCACAGCGATCGCCACATTTCATAATGCTTTACGAGGGTTGGGTTCGATGTTTCACAGTGTTCTCGACATTTCTTCTGGCGACTCAAAGCCCATAGCTGCGAAGAGAAGAGTCATGAGGTTGCACATGATGTTTTCAGCGCTCGTGTGGCTCTTCCGGAACGTATTCGCTCGCCTCCGATGCTTTGGGGTCGCAGCTCTTCCGGCCAACCACTGGGGACTTGTCGGCATGCTCGCTATCAGATGCTGACACGGACTTAGGGCAAACGCGATCCCTTCCCGCATACCTTGCAATTATTGTGGTCTCCGTACGTGCTGCTTGCCTTCCGTTGCTTACGGCACAGCCACACAACCAAATCCATGAACTTACCATGGAGTGAAGACAAGACTACATTGAGCAAGATGCAGGGCTTTGAACTTTGGAAACCTTTGACGTGAGACGTCTGTGAAGGCACATGGTTCTGCTCGGGCCCCTGTGGCGAATGACGTTTGGGGACTCGTCTTGAGCCCACTCGCCGCTATCGTGTTGGTCAAGTGGTGCGACTGGGGGCCTATGATCATGCCAGGTATGGATGGATATCACGCGCTGTCAACCGGCGTCTTCCTTGCCACAAGTTGCTTCTGGCCAGCGATTCCTACAGAACAGACCTGCCACTGTTTCCACGAATCCCACCACGGAATCCACTGCTTCTTGACCAGTTCTGCCCAGAAAGAACACCGTCACCCTCCACTTACGTGCACACCAGGACGGAAAACTGGCTTCATTGGGCATCGTCACCGTCGTCAAAAAGGCAACCACTAGGCAGAATGTGTACGACAGCTAGAGTCGACGTTATCCACTCCACTGGTGCTGGCTCATTCAGAACATTTGCACTTTCGTATACTGGATACTCATGGATGGCCTCGACTAGGGTCGTCTTTGCCTTTTCTACAGCCTACCCAGTAGTCTCATGCCATCTCATTCGGTGCAACCTTCTTCATGAGGTTGCCGAAGCATTCGAAGGTCCGAGGACTGCGCCAGTATCCAAGAATTTATAATACGAACCCGAGCTCCGTCAGCTGACCTTCATTCAAATGGAGCCTGAACCTTGCCTGCGCCCTCCTGCGCTTCATTTCGGTTGCCTTCCGAGTTCATCATTACCGGTGTTGGGCGGTTTCCCAGATTGCAGACCGTTTGGCTGGTAGCGTGTGGATACCAATTTCGAGCGGACGGCAGGCTAGCCACGATATGCCGGGCGGCAAGGCTTCCCCGGAACGCGCACAGACTCGTTCAATCAAACCATCCAATCCCTGGGTAGGCATCAAAATCCATCAACGCTTGGAGCCATCACTATCGTGGCCCTCGAGGCGATCTGACACTTCTCTTTCGGGTCCTGCAAGGCGGCCACTTGGACGCACGCGCTTTCAATGCTATGCTCGGATGTCACAATCCTCACTTCTTAGTCTCATGCAAGTGGTGGCTGCGAGGACGCCTTTTCTCCTGCAGCAGAAACAGTGATCCAGCCAGGACGGTGCGAGAATGAGGCTTTCAACCGACGTGCTGTCGGGCGCAAGTGAGGTCGAGTCATTGCGATGCTTGACGACTTCCCACATTGGCGATAGTGTCTCTCAACATGCTCTGTCTTTCCAACGGACGCCACCGCCTCGACTAGTCCCTGACACCAAGAGTCCTGATGCCTCTCCCTCCTCAGCCATCGGCGGTGATGTTCGGACAAGGCGGGACACGGGAGGATCGACCACACGGAACTGCTCCTTGAATGGTCTACCGTCGACCGGTGAGCGCCCAAGGCGCTGAGAACTCGGCCTCTCAGCAAGCCCATGCATACTGAGCTGAATGAGCTGTTTCCACAGCGTCCTGTCCGCCTGTCCGTGCGTCCTTCTCTTCGCAGCCTCGAGGTTCAATCAAGGCGTCTCAAATCCACATCGACTTGACGAAGTGCTCTAATCGTGCATGTGCATCTCATGGGTCCGAGGTTGCCTACTTACACTAGGTAACACGTTTCGAGGCGACAAGCAGAGTATGACATGGCAGGTTGCACTCGTTCTGCAAGGCAACTGCTTCAGATCAATCTCCACGTCGGATCCATCGTCACGCTCCTGCAAGATGGCATGACCGAGCCTGATGGTAGCCTGTCTTCCTTCGGCGGAGCTGAACTTTGGGCGAGAGCCACACAACAGCATTCTCATCGTTCACTCTACGCAAGCCCTAAGATGCGGAGACTGTACTGTTCCGTCCGCCGCGGCCTCGTGTTAACGGGTCGTATCCGGACATCTGGCTGTGGCCATTGCTCACAGCCCAGCCAACTCCGTGTGAAAGTAAATGCCGTCGAAGGGTCCCCAGTCGCCGTAGACCTGCAAAGGCAAGTCAAGACTCTCTCTGGTTATGCGTGACAGTACAACACAGGAAGCGGACTCTGATCTCAACTTCGACTTATGCGGCGACGACGTGAGAATCTTCCAACCCTCTCACTTTCCAGTTTAGTCACCAGCACGTCTAGTCAGTCACTATACGTCTTTCTCCGTCCCTTTTTTTGCTATTCGATTCGAAGCAATTGCTCGTGATCCCGCGCTTTGTCCGTCCATATCACCTGTTTACGTTCACGATCGCACCACTGACTCTTGAGCGTCAACTGAAGCATAAGGTCTGTGGTCGTCCCGTTCAGACTACCAGACACTTTCATGTCTGAAACCCCCCATTCACGCCACTCAGCGAGGTACCCCTGTCTTTCGATGCCCTGAATGGTGACTACAGTGGCGACTTGTCTAGGTGGATTGGGCACACATCAGTTTTAGGCTAGCTATCAAGCAGCAATAGCCTACACAGGGCATGTCGACTAAAGGCTTCCTCGTCCGGAGCATATAACAAGGATCTCACAGCAATTGGATATACAAAGAGAGGGAGGGCACGGCATATTATGCTCGGAGAAAGTGATCCAATCCACGTTGGCAGGTCTGGGGGAAAATGCTTTGAGTCTCGACTATGGTAGTGTGTGTGTATTATAGTACGTCGCTCAGAGCCCCAAGGGGAGCGTAGCGTGGAACGGCAGCGTGGAGGGGGTTGGGATGACTCAAACGTCTACCGCCCTTCCAGACGAGGTTCGATAACCTTTCACGGTCACGAAATAGACACGGCGCAGAGAGCTAAGATAGGTTGATATCAATGCACATTAGATACTGAGGTACCAACGAAACGATAGGGTATGGAGTAGTGGATCCCTCCTTCCTCGGAAACGGCCCCTGATCATTCATACATGCAATGAATGGATCGCAGCCATGTCACAGCTTCTCTCCGCACAGTGCAGTTGGCCTATCCCTTATTGTCCCGCCCTCATTGCTTTTTCTTCGACCCCGAAGCGTCCTTATCAGTAGCAGGCCGAGGCCACAATGCCGGCATCAACTTCACCAGCACCCACAGGAAGCCTAGCGCGATGGCGACGACCGTTAGCATCTCTATCGACCACGAGCTGGTGGCTTCAAGGTTCAAGACCGGAATGGAGATCCGCTCTACCAGCCTGCCGGCAGAGGCTGCATTGGGCGCAGGATCCAAGTGATAAAACATTGTTCTGGGCCCGAACAGGCCGTCGAAGCCAAGCTGAGTCCTGTCGAAGGGGTTGACGGGGAACTTGGTCCCGTCATCTGCAGTGCAGGCCCAAAACACGATAGGCCAAGGCACATCGACTTCCGAAGTGCCGTTATTGTTCGGGTTCAGGTACCGCAGATGTAGTGGGATAGTGATGTCCCAGCTTTCGCGGCTGCTCGACTTTGTCCCGGTTCCGCCGAGAGTATGGTTGTTGGGTGTCTGGATGCTTAACAGCATGGTTGAGCCCCATTTCTGGACCACGTAATCTGGGGCCTCGAGATCCGTTTCGCCCGCAATGGAATGGAGCTGGCCGAGGTGGTGGGAGTTCTGGAAGAGCGGATCGTTGCTGAGGAAGGCGTACTTGTCGGCAAAGATGTAGGACGGGAGCGTCAGATACGTCTGTAATGCGCAGACACTGTCGGCAGGCTTATCAGCGGGCTCGACCAGTGATGAGGCCGAGGGGAATGAGATCCGTAGAGTCGGATGTAGTCCTGTAGGTCGGTCGAATGAGACGGCGTACTTCTGTTCCCGCGACTGTTCCTGGTTCAGAGAGTGATGGCGTGAAGGGAAGCTGAACAGCGTGGCCTTTGGACGATCGTCCTCTCCAACCACGGTGAGAAAGCCCGAGAGTTGCAAGTCTGACGGTTCAGTAGCTTTCCCTGCGCTCAAAATGCCAACCTCTACCCTGTCGTCCCCTTTCGCCTGCACGTCGAGGTTCCAGGCATCAAGAGTCGTGAAGTCGCCGATGGGATCGTAAAACACAGGGGGCTGTTTGGACCACAAGACAGTGAAGGTCAGGGCGTGCGAAATGCTGTCGTAGTCCGCGTCCACCGAATCGGCAATGTTGAGGAGCGATACTGTGTGCAAACATTGAAGGTCGTCTGGGGCGCAGCTGGTTCGGTAGATGTACGCCACCAAATACTTCAGAGAAGGCAGACCAGAATAGTACTGGAGAGACGACATCTGGGCAAATCGTTCTGATATTAAAGGCGGGCTGATGAACGTGGCGTTGGGCGAGTCGCATTTCAGATGCTTTCCGAATAGTCTGTGAAGGAGGTCGCAGAGTCGATCAGGTTGAGTCTCGTTCAACGGGGTGTACTGGACGTGTAACCCTGGAGAACTCCGCGACAGGAACGGTGCTGTGGTATTGTAAGGCCGCTCTGGAGCCCATCGCATGTGAAGCTCGTGACATTGTCGTAGGTGATGCGCCAACTCTGCTGGTAATTCCTCCAACCCATAGGTCAGGCGTTCTTCTCGAGCAGCCTTCAAGCCTCCAAGCAGGAGCTGCTTGGGGCGGACTTGGATATCCGCTGGATCGACTGCTCGACTGGGATGAGTGACATAGGTTGCCCTTCTGCGCATCGTGATGCAGCAATCTGGCAACTCAGGGAGGATCTGTTGTTACGGGAGGGACCAACGCGACAGATCGATGAATAGCACGTGAATTAGAGTTTAAGGTTTATCGATAGCCGAATGAAGCTTAACCCTACTCGGCTTAGCTCGATTCTACTTAAGCCCGAAGCCCAAGTTCACATTCACACTTTGGACGGACAGCTGCACGGATGGTATATTCTTACTAGATACACTTCATGGAGGATCTAGGCTTTGTGACATTCGGGGTATCGTTATAACCACCCTATTCAACGCACCTACAGCCCTCGGAATAGTCTCTCTGCCACAGATCTGCCTCGCCTGACTCGCAGACCGACATGGCGCCCAGCGTGTCCTCTGCCCGCGTCCAGCTATCATACCCCCTCTATGCCGCAGATTTTGACCCTTTCAACCCAGACTTCCTACTCGTAGGCGGAGGAGGCGGCTCATCCGCGACAGGTGTGCCGAACAAGATTTCACTGATCGACGCCTCGCGACGGGATCAGCTGAAAGAGGTGGTCGACATCGAATTGGCAAAGGATGAGGATTCGGTCACCAGCCTGGCCGTGGCGGAGTCATCGCCAGAGTACTTGACTGCGTTTGCTGGCATCAACAGCTCGGTTGCAGACCACAAGGCGGGAAAAAACGAACATTTACGGTCGTTCAGGATTCGACTTCCCGCAAGGAAGAGAAAAGCCGATGGGAGTGCCGTGGACGGAGGTGCCGAGAAGCCGCTGATCTCAGCACAAGCGACACAAGTGACACAATCTCTCGGACGGACTGCATTGTTTAAATCAAAGGTGGACACCAAGAACGAGACCTATCAAAGGGTACTACGCTTTTCGCCGACTCAAAAGTCTGGAGAACCTCGGCTGGCAGCTATTGCCTCCGGGCTGGGCCCAACGAACGAGATTGTTGTATTCCATCCGAGACCCCAACCAAGCCAGGATAATGTGGTCTCCCGCGTAGACCTTGACACTAAGGAAGCTGAGGACCTCGACCTGGCCCCCAACGAAGGCGAGAAGGGTGGCTATGTGCTGGCGTACTGCACCAACGACGAGGTCTTCATGCAGCAACTTCCAATAACATCCACCCCTGAAGCGCCAACGTCTCTCTTCCGGGCTGCTGAGATTTCTACAAATCTTCCGCCTTCGCAAAGACCCAAGTTTCGGGCCATTCGCTTCCTTACGCCTCGCCTTCTCCTTCTCCTTCGCAACCGGCCTCAGAGATCCGGGGCTGATCTTCTGGTTCTGCGGGTCAGCAAGGATTGTTCACAAGCACGCATAGTCCTGCGCAAACAAGTCAACAAATCCCTCAAGGCGGCCGTGGGGCTCGATGTCGCACCACTCAACGAAGTCGAGGGAGAGAGGCAATTCGTGATGGCAGTGGGAGGGATCCCCGGGGAGAACAGCGCCATCGAGGTTTTGGCTCTCGACTATTCCCGAGATGCAGGGCTCGGGACATTCCGCTCTTTCACATATCTCAAAGACGTCCACGACGGACCGTTGACTGGCCTGGTCTTCTCCAATTTTATCGGGTCCAAAATACCTGCGACTGGAGAGGTCGGGCCTCAGTCTCTACGGCTTGCTTCCGTGGGTGTTGACAAATCTGTGGTAGTTCACCACATTCCGTTGCGGCCATTCCCATCGTCCGACGTCAAGACCCCTAGATACGTCCTCATCCCGCCTGGTCGCTCGGAGGCCGCACAGACCACGTTCAGCGTCTTCTTCGCTGTTGTGATCATTGGCTTTGTGGCTTTCCTCATGCAGGCGTTTTGCGAGATCCGTGGCGTCGTTCCGCCGACCCTTGGAGCGCCAGATTGGCTCTCGCCTCGTATGCGCGAACTCATTGGCGAGCCCTCTTTACTCGCCAATCGTGCGAGCTCCGCCGCCTCCGACATCCCGGTCGCCGCGCACAGTGCAGTCGACGAGTTCAAGAAGTCAGCAGACGACATCTCTGCCACCCTTTCTTCCGCGGTTGCCGCTGCGACCGCAGGCTTGAAGAACCTGGTTGATCAAAACTCTAACCTAGAGACCCCCAAAGCAATAATCGTGCGGGAGGAGTCTCTCGGGGAGATCTCGACCGAGGTCATCCAGTCGGACGCCGAGGTCGTCAAGCAGGAGACGTTGAAGAAATGGGACGAACTTAGCGAGTCGCAGAAGAAGTCGTGGAAGCGAAAGTTGATCGATGCCGGGCACTGGGCGGAGCAACAAGGCGAAAACGTATTGAAGGGGATTCTGTTCTCCGAGCTCGCAGGCGCGGTGGGAAACATGGTCGGAGGAGGTTAGATTGCACGATACCAGCAAGGACATAAGGCGTAGATACTCAGGTATCTTCGGGTAGTGCTGCGTCTAGCTAGGCAGTCATTTATTCTCTAAAGCGAGTAAGCATGGCATTGTGTGAATCACCCAGCCGTCCATTGTGCGGCGGCCTGTCTTTTCTATCCAAGGGAACGTGATACAATGCCTTGCCAGCCTTGGAGAATACATCCATGTCTTCTACATCTACACCGTACTCATAAACGTGATGAGCTCTATCTTCGTGTTCTCGTCCTCGACGTACTTTGAATGCCCAGCCGAACATCAAATCCCACGCATGCTTGCTCCGCCGAATGTCGTCTGCGCTAATGCTGATCACCCACCACCATGCGGCACACGCCCGTTCGTCGCGTCGTCAATACGACTCGTCGGCACTCACGCCATAGGTGCCCCCGCTAGCATACCACGCCGCCATGATCAAATCACACAGATCCTTGGCCTCGACATCCTTCAACGGCAAATGATGGCCCCCCTCAAAATCCATCTGAAAGCAATGATCGCTCTCGCAGACCTTCATCAACTCGACACACCCGGGCTTGACATGGTCGTCGCGCCCCCACGCATGCACCGTCGGCACTGTCTTCAGCAACGCATAGTCCGCGGGATCGACATCCCCTTCCTCCACGAGGCTGATCGGCGGGAACGGGCCTCCGATCATGACCCCGAACCCGAACTTCCATTTCGAGATACCGTCGGGGCTGTCCCGCTCCTCGATCTTCTGCCGCAGGAGCAATCCGGCCACGAGGCGTGCGCCCTGGCTGAACCCGATGACGCCCTTGAACTGGTCGACGCCGCCGTGCTGCTCCATCAGCGCGATCAGATTGGCGTCCAGCCGCGCCACTTCCTCCAGGGGCGTGCCCTCGACATCGGACTCGCCGGCGCGGAACTTGCGCGATACCCATCGGTAAAAGGGCGCGCACGATTCAAACACAGGCAGCATGCCGAACCCCGGGGCGCCCTCTATGGGAGCCTGCGCGAAGACGAAGCGGAACTGTTTCTCCAGCGTCCAGAGGAGGCGGCGGGCTTGGATCTTGAAGACTGTCGCGTTGGAGCCGCCGCCGTGGAGCATTAGGATCGCGGGGAGGGGCGTGCCCGTGTGGCTGTGCGTCGGGCGCGAGGCCATTGTGGTGGATGACACTAATTAACTGTGTTGGAGGAACTGGAAGAAATTGGGCGTTGTGAGAAGCAAGGTGAGTTTCTGGCGTGTTTGCGTGCTCCGTCCTACGGCTTGCGTCCTCTGTGCTGTTGTACTCTGTACTGGCTTCGGTGTATTGACCTTCCGTGCCACCTCCGCTTATATCGCGTGGTTTTAAATGTCGCGCTCGAACCGTACTTGGCACGTTATCTTTGTCATGTAAATGGTTGTTCCGGGTGTGATTTTATTTCTTGGTCTGACTGACCTTATGCCATCATACTAAGCGGTCTTGGGAATCGAGTTAATCACTGGATTTACTTGTGTTGCGGAGCAGATTGCCAGTGAGAATGGACGCCGAGCTGAAGACGAAGCCAAGACTCACGAGGCTGAGATACGGCGACCGGCGAGGCTGAAGTCGCGCTTGTCTGTTTGTAATTGTGGGAGCGAACTTGGATCTTCCCTCGATAAAACTCTATCATAAGGCATATCCAACCAGCTAATGCTGTGATATTACGGCGTCCGGACATGCTCACGCCAAAAACGTCCCGCTGTTGGAGTGCACAACCATCCCCGTCGCATTGGCATCCCTCAGGCAGTAGAGGTACGCCTCGGCAAGATCTTCGGGTTGTCCGACCTTACCAGTTGGAATCTTGCTCTCGTGGCTGGCGAAGAAAGCCTTCTTCCCCTCCTCGCCCATGCCCTGCCACAGATCGGTCTCGATAATACCGGGGGCAACACAGTTCACCCTGATCGGCGCAAGATCAAAAGCCAGCTGCCTTGCTAGACCGTTCAAGCCAGCACCAATGAGTGCCAGCATGGACCATCCTCCTGCGATCGGTTTCTCCGAGATCGAGCCGCCGGTCAAGACAACTGAGCAGTGTCGGTCTTTCTTCATGTACTTTGTCCCAATCTTGACAACCAGGATGGCGGCAATGGTTCTGACTTGGTTGCACCTCTGCCACCTCTCGAGCGTGACATCCTCCAGCGGCATCATTGGCAGTCGGTCGCCAGCCATGTAGACAATATGGTCGAGCTCGCCGCCGACCTTTGCGAAGAGTTCTTCGATATTGGCTTCGACGCTAGGACTGGCCAGGTCGCAGGCGTATCCCGAGACACGATCTTTAGCTTCTGGATAAGTGCTGATGAGCTGGGCGCAGACTTCTCTGACTTTGGCTTCCCGTGAGGAGGAGAGGATGATGGACGCGCCGAATTCGATGAGTGCTTGGGCCACGCTGATGCCAACACCACCGGTGCCCCCAGCCAGAAGGACACGTTTGCCGGCGAGCTTGTTTGAGAATCTTGGAGAGGACATGTTTGGGAGCGTGTTGTTGGTTGGATGTGGGTTGCCCTATCGCGAGCTGCGGCTATTCTGCCGTTGTGAGAACAGCTAGAGGTGTGCTTTCCTCATGAGGTGTTCGACATTCGACGAGAAGCTCTTGCCTTTATCGTCCTGGACCTCTATCTGGCAACGCCCGCTAACTCCTTCACCTCCACCATGCTCCGGACATGTCGCCGTTAAGTCCATGGCAGCGAGGAATAAGGTGGAGATGCGAAGTTCAGCCCCGGATCCTACAATAACGACCTGATGGACATCTGTAAGGGTACGAACGCCAGGAACGCGACAAGCACCCGCCAAGAACGAGGCACGAGGTAATGGGCAAGCAGGCAACTTCCTCAATGGGTAATTGCGGTGCCCAAACCGACGTCATTCATCACTTGAACTCACCACGTTCATTCCACCCCGGTGACACTCCGTGCTCCTCGGACTTTGTCCTCTTCCGTCCTTCCTCAACACAAACGGGGAGTGGTCAACGGTCTACAAGCTTTCAGACCACACATCCCAGGATCCAACCTTAAACCCGACGACGTGCTATGCATTGATGTGTAAGGCAATCTGATCGAGATTTCATACGTTCACTTCATCGCTTCCTAAACTCGTCAATGCAAGTCATCGTGTATCAGCCGCACTTTGGACCGTCGCTTCCTGACGGAGGGCAACAGAGCAACATCTAGATTGGCCACGTCCTCCTCTGGTGCCTCTCACTGCCAGTCCTATCGGTCACTGCTCAATCGAAGCAAGGATCCAGGTGAGTAAGCGAACGGGCGATATTGACCAAGATCCTTGGCCGTGAAGACTAGCCAGTAACCAAACTTCGAACTACATTCCATCGTCCGTCATGGTTTGGATGCGCCACATCAGTCGTCTTTTAATTAGCAAGAACCATTTGGACACCTCGATTACCCAACCACGTGTGCTAAGCTGGCCTATGACAGCCTTGATGGCCATCCTATCGCCCATTGTGCTCCTTACCTACATGACAGTTCTCGGAATCCTTTCGCCCAGATTCGTATTCGATGCGTCCGAAGGCCTTTCGAAGACGTTCATCCTGGTCGCACGATCTCAGGCAATCATTCGCATGCAGCTGATAAATCTGTCTATTACAGATCTGCTAATCAAGGACTGCATATGACAATGTTGCAGTCTCTGGGGATCAACGTGCGTGTATATATTCTGACTCGACATTGTGACTACGGGAGTGGAAAGCAATATCAATGCCAGACTAATTTATGTCGACGAGCAGCTTTGTTTCCTCCTAGAGAGATCGTTGCCCCTTGAGTCCATTTTAATGTAGTAGCAATGTCGAACGGACCTCTTGTCTTCATCACGGGAGCTACAGGCCATATCGGCTTCGCAATCCTCGTGCTCCTCCTCAAAAAGGGATACCGAGTCCGTGTCTCCAGCCGCAAGCTCGCCACTGCACAAAAGCTCAACGACCTGCCTTCTGTCAAACCGTACGCCGACCAAGTTTCTTTCGTGGAGACCCCAGACGCCTTCGCCGACGCCGCGTATGACGATGCGGTGAAAGACGTCGACTATATCGTGCACGTTGCCTCGCCCCTGCCCGATGATTCCCAGACCGATCCGGACTTTGACGTCGAGCAAACCTATATCGCGCCAGCCATACAAGGCAACCTCGGCCTGCTTAAGGCAGCTCAGAGATCCCCAACCGTCAAGCGCGTCGTCATCACCTCGTCCGTTGCCATCCTCGCCAAGAAGGAAGGCCGCGACACCGTCGGCCCAGACGACCTCGCTCCTGTGCCCGAGGTCAAAGACATCCCGAAACACCCCCTGGCAGCATACGCGGCGTCCAAGATCCTGGCCAACGCGGCGGCCGAGGATTTCGTCAAAACTCACAAGAAGTTGCACTTCGACGTCGTGCACATCCTCCCCGGCTATGTCCAGGGCCGCAATGAACCCGTGACCTCATCCCGTCAACTGGTCGACCGGCCTTCGTCCAACCAAACCATGATCAAATTCCTCCTCGGCCACAAGGACGACACGCCGCGACCCAATGATGTTGTCCTGCTCGACGATGTCGCCGCAGTGCATGTCGCGGCCATGGAGGGCCCCGACATCAAGACAGGGGAACGGTTCATTGCCGCCTACCCTCTGCCCGTGTCCTGGGTGGATGTTGAAAGGGTGGTGAAAAGACTGTTTCCCCGGCAGGTGGAAAGAGGGATCTTGCCGTTGGGTGGCGAATGCCCGGACTGGGCTTTGCACTTTGATCCGAGCAAGACGACGCAGAGGTTGGGCGTGGAGTTCCATGGCATCGAGGATATGGTGAAGAGCCTGGTGGGGCAGTATGTTGAGTTGGTCGAGAAGGAGAGGAGGACGGGCACGCAGAGCACGGCAGCTTGAGGATGTTACCACCACCGCGGCCACTGCTGCGAATCTTGATGCTCGATCTGGAGTCGAGAGTTGGCCGAAGCAAGGCTGAAGGCTCAAGTCCCAAGAGTGAACGGCAGAATGCGCAGGAGAGCATGACATGGATGTGTGTCCAGAGGAGAGAACTGCGGAAACTTGTATTTACGAGAAGGAATGCAGTAGTTGGTCCTCACACTATGTCGCCATACCAGTACACAATGGCGTCCAACTACGATGTAGCGACCTCTGTACAGGTCCACCTGCTCACTTCCAAGGTCTCAAGGGTGTGCGTCGCTCAACTCTCCACTCTGACTGACCATAAGATGGCTTCACAGACGGTCGTCGTGCGGTGCGAGCTGCACATGTTCATGAAGAAGGCAGACAGGCACTCGCGCTACCCGGACATCCCGACCCAACTCGGCTGGACTCGCGTCGATGTTGTCAAGGACACAATCTTTGACGTTCCCAGATATGCCGTTGCTACACGTTTCAAATGGACCGACGGTGCCACACGCAATAGATTAGGGGGTCGGTCATTCGCCTAGAGAGCCTGCGTGACCCATGCGACAAGGTTGCCTGTCCGCAAGACGAAGCCCAGGTATTTTCTTTCCGCGTGCAAGTCGGTCGTCGATGACGAGCGACCGCCAGTGAATGACATGCGGGTCTGGACTGGTCGTCATTGCCATTGCCATTTTCTCACTTCGGTCATGAGATATCCGCCCTGAAGACCAAGCTGACGCCGTCATCGCCGGCTGTGACGATTCTGTGTCCGCCACCCCCCTGCACGAAACCCAATACTCCCCCTCCCTCGCCCTCTCCCCTGTGACCCTTCCACTCGCCGACGAAACCCTGCCCAGCGGCCGTGGTCCCGCCTCGGACATCCCAGCGGCGGACCACGCCGTCCATGCCCGCGGTGGTCAAAAGCCAGCCTCCTTTCTGGGGGCTGCGCACAAAATCGACCTTCACGACCGCGAACTCTTCGTGCGCTTCCTTGATGTGTCTCCGCAGGGCGAATCGGTGGGCCGTGTCGAAAAGGGTGACCGAACCGTCGACACTGCCGGCGGCCAGAATGGTCAGGGGTGGCGAGGAAAAGGACAGGGTTTCGATCCCGTCGCTCTGTGCCTGCATCGACGCTAGGATCTGCCCCGCCGACGAGGCAACCTGCTTGGGAGCGCCCTTGGGTTTTGTCTTCTTATCCTGGTCCGCCGCTTGAGGTAGACCCACGACTTTGATGTTCCCGCCTGCTCCCCCCACGGCGACCAACGACGTAGTGCACGCGACGCTGTATAACCCGCCTTCGACCTCGAAGCGTTGATCCGTGGCAGTCTTGGACACGACAGCCTGGCCTGTCGAGAAGACGTCCCACACGTAGAGGCTTCCGTCCTCGGAGGCCGTCGCGAGGAGGTTGCCGTCCGGGGTCCACGCCCCGGCTGTACACGACGCGGTGTGCAGATAGAAGGCCTGTACGATCGTCAAGGGGGAGGTTTTGTCGTCTCCATCGATCTTGTACACCCAGACAGAGCCGTCGTTGGCGCCCAGAGCGACTACGTTTTCGTGCTCCCTGTTCGGCGACGCAGCCAGCCAGTTGATTTCTTCCACCTCGGCGATCTCGGCGACGAAAATCCACGCTTTGGATCCGGACAGATCGTCGGACCGGTAGGTGCGCAGTTTCCCATCCAACCCCGCGGTGAGCACGTATTCACCGCGCGGATATGTGAAGGTTACGGCGTTGACCGAGTCCGTGTGTCCGTCTAGTTTCTGTAGTGGGGAGATGCCTGCTCTTTCGCCTTGCTGCTTTTCTTGTGGAGCTGCCGGTATCGACGCGTCGAACAGGTATGCGACGTCATCGCCACCGCCAGTCACTACAATGTCCGCGTTCGTGGGGTGTTGTGCTATGCAGAAAATGCTGTCTGTGTGGGCGTCAAAGTGGGCGGCCGAGTCATTCTGTAGCTGGATTTCCTGTTCTTCGGCGTCGAGGTCGTCATCGTCGTCCATCGGGTGGTCGCCGTCTTCGTCGATGATCTCCTCAGCGGCTTCGTCGGCGTCGAGGAGGTCGTCATCTTCAGGTTCTGTGGCGTCGGGAGGACGCGGGACAGGTTCAGGCGCCATGGCGAGTGAGGTGGGATGGGCCGAACAGATGAAAGGGTGATATTTTTCTGGAGGATTCGAGAGCGTCAAGTCTGAAATGGGCGCACAAGGGGGTTCGGTAGGAGAGAAAGGAAGTATCGACAGGGAGGCAGGCAGTGTTATGAGTCGCTCAAAATACTGGCGACGCCGCTGGCTTAGAAATTCATTTTCTGAACTTGCCCGCAGAACGAATGCGTCATTGGCTAGGTGGGGTGCCAGCCTTGCGGGGATCTTCAGCCTTGTACAGGGCGAGACTGGGTTGTTCCGAGTGTGTGCTTATGTAATTGTTCAGTTACCTACGAAGGTACCACCAATATGGTGGCTACAGTATCGTGTAGGCCGCCCGTCACCGTGCAGTCACCACTCTGGGTATCACCATCAACGCTGAACGCAAGGCGGCCACCTCCACCGCCGCTACAGTCAAACCTCTGTTTCTTTGAGACTGCCCATTCTCGGGGTGACTCACCGGATCGCAGCAAGTTCAACGGACCATCAAAAGATGCTCTTAACAAATCAGTGTCCTCGCTGATACGGAATACAGTCAAGCCATATTCGTCGATTAGGTACATGATACGGGTAGAAGCCACGCCGAGCACGTCTCTTTTGACCTTGTCCAAAGTCTGGACCCGTTTAGTACTGGTCTTTCGGCTCGGTTCTCCTCCAGCGGGCTGTGACCGTATGCTTGAAACAGCCCGCCACATGGTTGTGGAGATCTAACTTCTCCGTCCTCGACTCCGAGATGACGGGAAATTCCTCTACCATATCCTGAGCAATCAAGAGGTGGAGAGCATGACCGAGGTGCGTGCTGTGGAGCGCGACAAGAGACGCGACACAAGCTAGAAGTGCATCTGCGTGGCAAGGGCATCGTGGGCATGTGAATTGAGACCGATCAGCCGTTGATCTTTGGATGATTGAGTCTTCGTTGGATTTCCAACGACTCCAGGCGCCTCCTGAGAGTGTTTCATAAGTACTCTGTGGCCACCTTGAGTGGGACGGACTCCGCAGACCGTATCTGCGCAGAAGAAAGTCACCTTCCCGCGGTAGCGGTAGCGGCAGCACGCGCCTTGAGTGGTTCAATCGTAGAATTTAATCCTGGTCGCTTAGAGCTTGGTTGCCCTCCATCCTGCAAGGCGAGGCCTGTGGCTATTCCCTCCCCTCCTGTCATTTGCTTGCCTCCCTCCTACTAGTACTCTTCTCCATTCATTTTAGCCGCTCACTGTAACAACGATAAGACCTTGCTAGAATTCATGAGCAGCCGCGACCAATCCAACGTGGCTGCATGCTCTGACTGGTTTCAGCCTGATTCTGAGATACCCAAAATATTGCCTCCACCATGGAATGTACTTGAGACCTTCATATTCATTTGCACGAGGGAAGGCCTCCACTCAGGGGTTTCTTTAAGGCGCCGGTGCTAGTGGTAAAAGCAGGTACCTCTCGTAGAACTGAGTGTCACCACTGCATGTCGAGACATATCATACATACCTAGGTAGTCTGTCAATCATCAAGCGCACAATCTTCTTAGCCGTCCTTGGCACGTCGAACCTTGTGGTTTCCTCCCTATGGTCCTTAGCAAGCAGATATTCTCCTTCCAGCGGCGGAGTCGTGTTGTTTCCCACTAGACTCGATTTCTCGGTCACGGCTTGACGAAAAAGCACAAAGTGGCCCCAGGCAGTGCTTGTAACGAGGTGGTGATTGAGGAGGAAGAGCAGCGCACTCTATGCTCTTTTGAACCGGACACCGCCGCAAGTGCCAGGGCCGACCCAGTCGAAAAGCGCGGATCCCAGCCCCGAGCCATTCAACCTCGCCGCCCAAAGTCACGACTCCATCCGCAGTGCTTGTACGGGTTGAGCGAACTGTCACGATATCTTCGGGCCTCTGCTCGCTGCCTCACTCAAATTATAGCCGCACGCATGCCGCCAGTGCCAACTGCTCCTGAACCCACCGTTACCCCTCACTGAGCACGACGGCTGCTACAAGTTCGACCTCCTGACTGGCGGCTCCGCTCAGTACCACACGGGTCGTGTAACAGAGCGCACCTCCGAACGCCATCCGACAATGGCGTCTGGTCAGGAGAATGGGTAAGTCGTCTAGTAGCGATTCGAGGCGCCACCACTATTGTTCATTCTACGGTTTCGTTCCTGACCTCGAACAGCTTCTATTCAGGTCAATTCATGAACCCCGGTCCAGCTCCTCGTCCTCCGACCGACCGACCCCGACATATCGAGCTGCAGCGCTCAAACTCGTCCATACCGACTGCCCCCTTCGATTCCATGTCTATCGGCGCACCTGCGTCGCCTGCGGTCAGCACACCAAACGCACCATACTTTTCCAATGGAAGTTCTTTATCCTTGTCGACGTCTGGAAAGCCCTCAGGGCCCGTTACGATCATCAAGGAGGGCCATGTGCGCTGCAAAGAAGACAAGTTCCTTGCCCAATGGAATCAGCGGTACCTCATCCTGCGTGAATTCAGGTTAGATTTTATGAAGAGCGAGAATGGGAAGCTGATGCAGTCGATCCAATTGAACACCGTGACTGGAGTGACTCGGTCGGAAGAGACTCGAATGGCCTTTGAGATCACTCGTCTTGCCAACCCCAAGGATGTAGGGGGTAAGGTCGTCATGCCCCGAGACCTGCCCACCCGAACGATGACCTGTGAGGTCCGCAACGACGACGAAATCTACGATTGGATTGACAAGATATACGAACGATGTCCGGGCATGGGAGGCGTCAGCAACCCGACTAATTTCAACCATCGCATCCATGTTGGCTTCGATCCTCAGACTGGTGGTTTTGTGGGGCTCCCGCAAGAGTGGGAGAAACTGTTGAACAATTCCGCTATTACAAGAGATGACTACAAAAAGAATCCACAGGCTGTCATTGAAGTCTTACAGTTTGTTTCGGATCAGAAGATGCGTGAACAACACCCGGAAATGTATACTCCTGGCATGGTCACCCCCCCAGCGACTCAACCGAATAAGCAGCTCGGGTACTCGGCAGGCGGCAATACTGTGGCGCCTCCGAGGCCAGCACCACCTACAGATGCACAGCGGTATAATGCGAATCAATTCATCAACAAGTACCAGCAGGATGGGCCAACCCGGACCGGAACACCACCCGCCAAGCCCCAGCTGCAGCGGGCGCAAACAGATAAAGGGTCGTATGATATGGAGGCTGATGCTGCGCGGATAAAGGCTATCGCGATGGAAGAGCAGAAAAACCGGCAGATGGAGGCGGATGCGAAGCGCGCCCGTGAGCTTGAAAGACAACAACAGCGAGAGCGAGAAGAGGCAGACCGGGCTCGCAAAGAGCAGGAGGCCTACAACTCTTCGCTGCCAAAGTCACGTCCGCCTATGGCTCAGCAGGAGGTTGGAGGCTATGGAGGCGGACCTAACCGACAGGATCCGAGGTACAATCCAGCTCGTGCGGCTCCAAGCGCTCCTCAACATTCAGCGTCGCTTAGACAGCAGCCTACAGCACAAAGGCAAGCTCCCTCTGCTCCCAGTAGCGGTTCGCAGAAATCCATTTCTCCGTCTGCTCCGGCCGGTCAGGCTTCGCTACGGTCGCCAGAAAGCAGAGAGCGCGACCGTCAGCCTTCACCAAATGCTCGATATCCGCCAAATGAACCATCACGGAAAGAGTCTCCTCCGAAGCCACAGCCAAATGGCGTTAATGGTCCATCCTCAACCCAGTCGCAAGGATCAGTACAGCAACCCAAGCCCCTGAACGTGGCTAAACAGCCGCAGGCTAAGGCTGCAGCTGACCCTCGTAAAGAAGCAGAAATTGCCCTCACTGCGAAGAAGCCTGTCGAGGAGCGGGCCAAGGAGGTGCGAATGTCGAGCATGAGCGAGGGTGAAGTTATGGCCAAGCTTAAGCAGGTGGTATCAAAGGATAATCCCATGGAGTCATACAGCAAGCAAAAGAAGATCGGTCAAGGCGCTTCCGGCTCAGTCTACGTTGCCAGGGTCAAGGAAAGTGCCACATCGGCCGTTGCGCGTGAAATCTACCGTACTCATGGACCTAAGGGCCAAGTGGCCATCAAACAGATGGATCTCCGCAATCAGCCACGGAAAGAATTGATTGTCAACGAGATCATCGTCATGAAAGACTCCAAGCACCCGAACATTGTCAATTTCCTGGACTCTTTCTTACAGGAGCAGAACAACGAACTCTGGGTGGTGATGGAGTTCATGGAGGGCGGTGCACTCACGGATATCATCGACAATAATCCGGTCATCACAGAAGACCAGATCGCCACGATCTGCTTCGAGACCTGCAAAGGACTCGCCCATCTGCACTCTCAAGACATTATCCACCGAGACATCAAGAGCGACAATGTGTTGCTCGACCGCGTGGGAAATGTCAAGATCAGTAAGTCGTCGACACGTGCTATACCACCCTTTTGCTGACCAAGTGTTTCCAGCCGATTTCGGGTTCTGTGCTAAGCTCACCGAGTCGAAGAGCAAACGCGCTACAATGGTGGGCACACCGTACTGGATGGCGCCCGAAGTCGTCAAACAGAAGGAGTACGGACCCAAGGTTGATATCTGGTCGCTCGGGATCATGGCCATCGAAATGATCGAGTCCGAACCACCTTATCTGAACGAAGAGCCACTCAAGGCTCTTTTCCTAATTGCCACTAATGGCACGCCTCGCCTAAAGAACCCCAACAAGCTGTCCCGGGAGCTAAAAGCATTCCTGAGTGTCTGCCTCTGTGTCGACGTTAGGAGCCGCGCGAGCGCCGAAGAACTCTTACGGAATGACTTTATGCGCATGGGATGCAGCTTGGCAAGCCTAAGTGAACTGTTGAAATGGCGAGAGAAGGGGCGACAATAGTCTCCATCAGCATTGGATCTGGACGTGGTTGGTTTCGAGCCTTGTTCATCTGGACAGGGCTCTGGAGCATGGTTGTTGGGTGAGCATCATCTTCAGGCGTCGCAGCGCATTTCGGTGCATACGGCATTTTGGATAGGCGTGGACCGTGTTTGCAGCACCAGCGACGAGGATCTAGACCAGCAGTGCCAGGTTTGCCGTGGAGCAGCCTGACAATTTAGAGAGATACGCTGACCAAATACTTCGTCTCGGTCAAGCAAAAGACCTGTCCAAGTTCACACGGGGGATGAACCCAGGGCGCAAGCATTGTCTGCATGACCCATTCTGGACGGAGCCAGTCAAAGAGGAAGGCAACGGGGAAGATCATGGTGTCTATTTACGTGTGATGAATGAATGGTAATGGATCTTTCGATAATCCTGCTTGCAAATGCATGTTGTGGATCTGCCCAGTTCAGCTTCAATGTTGGGCCCGAATGGCTGGTCGCGGTATGGAGGACGTCTACAGCGCGTGGTGGCGATGGACTGGAGGGATAGATGCTCAGACTGAGCATGGTGTTGTCGCCATATTGTTGGTCCTGCTCATTGCTGAGCTGGGTGGTTCGACGTGCGCATGGGACGACCACCTTGTTCGGAGCAGAGCAAGAGGGCAGAGATTCAGGAAGGAGAAGACTGAGGTGCCATGAGCCCCTGTGCTGGGTAATTAGAGAGGGACAAGGACGTAAGAAGTCCAACACAATTCAAGAGTCTCAGATCGTCAAGCTGCTGTATTCGCAACAAAGTACGGAGTAATTGCAGTGTACTCCATACGTGGCTGTGCATTTGCTTGCATGCCGTCCATTGGGACTTCGGCAGCTGGGGCTCCATTCCGATCATGCTGACACCTCCCCCTTTTCTGAGTTTAGGGCTGCCCAGGGTGAGATTCTTATCTGGCAGCAGCCCCCAAAGGCCTGGGGACCACCAATAGGCGTCTCTCGGGTTACAGTCGGCTACATGACACGATCCGTAGGCAGATCTCCGGCCACTCACAGCGCCTCTGAACACAGGGGAAGATCTGTTCAGGCCCTCGTTCTCATTTGCCGTTATGGCTGAAGCCTGAATTCATGCCCACAGCTACCGCCCGAAGCCCCCAATGGCGCTCCCGTCCCTCTGTAGATGTACCAGTCAAAACCTCACTCCGTCCTCCGTAACACAAGTTCGTCCGGCTGGCGGTGCTCCGACTGCCACCAAATAAATCAGTCCCCTCCATGAAATCGCTCCTTCCGGCCAATGCATACATTACGTCAAGACTGTGTATCTAGTCGCAGTGATTAGATTGACCATTATCAATCACGTCGGGTTCATTGCCGGACGCTTGAATTTCGTCCTTTTGCTCAATCGCTCGCTTACAACAGGATGGTGGTACCGACACGGTAGACGAGGCCTTCGCAGATACCACTGACTCCGACCGGACTCCGACAAGTAATAGAACCGTCGCACTTCTTACCTCCCTTCTCACAAGATGCTGGAACCCGAAGATGCCTTTGCAGAGGAGGCGCAAGAGGAGGCCATATTGGCAGAAGACTCGCACGGCGCAACTACAATCAATACACGGTTCCATGTCAGGGATGGGCAGGACGATGATACTGGCGAGACAAGCCCCTTGATGAGCCCTCGACAGCGCCGCAAGAACCCTGTTACATACACCAGAGCCAGAAGTAGTTATGAGAGGGCCATTAATGAGCCCTGGACGGGAGCCCATGGCGCCGGCGATCTTCCCTGGTACAAGAAACCTTCGGTATGCTCGGTGTTCCTCAAGCGAGTCTTACAGATGCTGATGAACTCAGATATTTTGGCTCCTGCCAGCCCTCTTCCCTTTCTCCGTTGCATTCGGCGGCATTATCGTGCCCAAGACATATTTGATCCTCGACCTCATTTGCAAGCAATACCTTTCCGAGCAAGCATTGAAGGACCCCACGTTCAAGTTCCTACCGGTCGTATTGGGGGAGGAGAATCCGCAATGCAGAGATCCTCACGTTCAGTCCCGAGTCGCCAATTTCAACCTTTACGTCAATCTTCTCTCTGGCATCTTCTCCGCCATTGTCTCTCCTCATCTGGGGTCGCTTTCAGACCGGGTCGGGCGGAAAAAGGTCATGGTCTGTGCCTCTCTCGGCGCACTCGCCTCGGAAATCATCACCATCATTGTGGGTTCCACCAATGGTGGTGTCTCCGTCTACTGGCTGCTCCTCGGCGGCTTGATCGATGGTCTTTGTGGCTCGTTCACCACTGCGCTCGCCTTGACCTTCGCATACGCCTCGGACTGCTCGCCCCCTGAGCGTCGGAACGTGGCGTTTGGCTATTTTCATGGGACCCTTTTTGCAGGCATAGCAATTGGACCCGTCATGGCGGGCTACGTTATCAAGGTCACCGGAACGGTCATGGTTGTCTTCTACATTGCACTCGCGTGTCAGACATGGTTTATCCTCTTCGTCTTGTTCGCCGTGCCCGAGTCGCTGTCCAAGGAGCGACAGTTAATAGCCAAAGAGAAACGACGCTTCGCCCAAGCCGAGACCGCAGGCAATTCTTGGTGGACCACCATCAAGAACTACAATCCCTTCGAGCCGTTGTGGGTACTCCGACCGACTGGCGTTGGATCAAGTGCGGCACTACGCAAGAATTTATTTGTCCTTGCAGCCATTGACACCATGATGTTTGGAGTGGCCATGGGAACTATGCAGATCATCATCATTTATGCCGAGTATCGTTTCGGCTGGACGGCAGTTAACGCCAGCATGTATCTCTCCGCCGTCAACGTCTGTCGAGTTATGGGGCTACTTCTACTTCTCCCCCTCCTGACCAGGATCTTCCGCGGACCACAACACTCGCAATCGAAAGGACACAAGGGCTCCGACATGCTTGACATTTGGATCATCAGAGGAGCCATTCTGTTCGACCTTCTTGGTTATATTGGTTATGCCATAGGGCCGACTGGGGCGGTCATGGTTGTCTCGGGAATGATTGCATCACTGGGTGGTATTGGATCGCCTACCTTGCAGTCATCACTCACAAAACATATTCCGGCGGATCGAACAGGCCAAATGCTGGGCGCGTCAGGCCTGCTGCATGCTCTGGCTCGTGTTGTGGCTCCCACAGTTTTCAATCTGATCTACAGCCAGACGGTGGGCATCTATGCGGGCATTGTCTTCATTTGCCTGGCCTCTATTTTCGTGATTGTTTTTGTTTTCAGTTGGTTCTTGCGGCCAAATGGTACGTTTTCGCTCCCACATACGAGCGTTTGCATTTCTTGGTCTGACGCTGACAACATCTAGTGTATCTCGCCGAGCCATCTACTGTCGATCTAGATGAAGATGAGGACCCGACGCATCATTCTGGATAATCCAAGTGTACTTTTGGCGCTGTTTACATTACGAAGTTCTAGACAGGTGGCATGATTTGAATGCGCTGGGATGATCCGCCGCATTTTTGGGGGGCCCCGATGCGGTCGAACTGCTCTGCCTATGGCAACATGGCAGAACCTTGGTGTATACAATTACGGTGTGACAAGAAAGAAGCTTTTCCCAGATCGCTGGATATGGCTGGGCGATCGCCCTTACCAGATGAGGGCGGGATTTACACCTTCTCCATTCTGGTACTTCTGTTTTCTATCGCCATTTCTCCTCGGGATCTCTGCTATGATGTTGTTCGTTGTGAGCCTTTTGGCAATGGAATGTCAGCCTAGACCGGGGAGGCGCACTGGTCGTGGCGAAGGGGATGATTCTGCTGCTGAGTCTAGAACTGAAGTCTTGATCGTGTCATGCGGGAGTGGCACGGTTCAGAGGCGGAGAAGCCTCGTAGAATTGTGTAGTCCAAGCGGGCGTCTTTGATGTTGCATCTGCATGTCACAAGGCCATTTGGGAAGTTCCTCTCGAGCACTCAATCGGATTCCTAGACCACATCTATATGACAAAGAGTTCTTGGGAAAGGTGTCCCAACACCTCTCAGTGCTAATATTGTGCCTGCTTCACACACGGTGTGTGGGTCAAGATCCGAATTCCAAAAATGCTTGGGGAAGGGCATCCCAGGTGGACGCGCGCCGGGTTTCGCCCGTAGAGATCCGAATGGGCATCTGAGGTGAAGTGGTGCATGAAAAAGAGTGCTGTGGGAAGCATCTCTGCCTTGTGACTTGTTGAAGTATCTTCCCCGGACACAAGGATGGCCAGGCTGTGCATAAGCGAGTGGGTTCTAGAACTTTGGGTCTGAAGTTCTAGACCCTCGAAATTTAAATGTGTTGGAGAGCGAGCGTGGCCATTTCCTCGTGGCACGATCAAGGCGTAAACAACGACGGCGGCATAAAAAGCTTCAGGGTCCGCTCTGTCGATCATCAAGCCCTCGACAGAGGACCGCTCGCCTACGCCGAGGTCCCTGCATGCCATCCTCGAACGTCGTAGAAAAGAAATATGGTTGGAACCGGAGACCTTATTCTGCCGACATTGTCCCTGGGAGCCACCCCTGACGCCGATGGAACCATGGTCCCGGCGACCGTGGACCGACTGCGCCAGAGGAATCTGACGTGCTCGAGGAGCACACAACAGCATGATTGCTGCATTCCGGCGTTACTCAATGGTGCGGCGCAAAGCAATCTCTCTGCGTCGAAAACACTCAACCGGCGCATCTGTTCATCGCGGACACACACCCCGAACAGGTGCCGAGGGGTTTACTAATATTGTCCAGAGCTGGGAAACTACCGGGCCGACTTCACCAGACCACTACAGGTCCTCTGCCACCGTCTGCGCTGGAACTTTGCCTTGCTACGTCGGATCGCGATCGAGTGGCAGGCTCGCAACAGCAGCGAAGAGACGCTGTTCGGATCGGACTTGACGGTCGTCGTCACCGAGAGCCTGTGGCGAGACGAGACCGGTCGGCGGGATGAGTGGGATCGATGCATCCAGGGAGACTATGAGGAAGCTCTTGCGAAGTTCCTCCAGGACATTCGCGATTGTCTTCCGCCTACCACGATGGGCGGCAGAGGAGACACCGGCCACATCTCCCCTACCACTGCTTTTGTCCAAGATAAGGCTCAAAAGTTCACTGTGCAGGTCAAAAGTATCGGCGTCGAGTGATTGGGACAAGTTAGGGGTCAAGGCAAAAATCCATGTATTTATTGGCGTCGGAAACTAACATTGGTCTTTGGATTGTTCACAGTATACCCTCATGAACACTGTATTGCGAACACATATTGATTCATACCCATCTTACTCGTTGACGCCAGTCAATAGTAGAAATCCCAATTACGGTACGTAGTACTTCGTCCTCCGTAGAAATCCGAGGAGACAATACGGAGGATCAGGTACGCAGGTGTACGTACGGCGCAGCCTTTAGGCAGGTTTGCGTAGGGCAATTGAATCTCCGCAGGCGGGACCTCGAGGACTTGTTGATCGCATGATCATGCATCGCCAACGTCTCCATAGACGAGCCACCAAAGTTTACCAGGTCCCCAAGCAGCCCAGATGTACTGCTCTCAGCCGGGTCTACAGCAGGATAAAGTCACGGGTATGAGGCTGTCATGAATCCCTCCGCCCCGTTGACCTGTCGGTCATCTGTCGTTCCTTCGAAAAATGCCCTACGAGCTCTACGTCGACTGGCCTTGTCACCTCCTGTCCTGGTCGTCAGCACTATAGGCAGTGTCTGCGGCGTAGCGACTCTCAATCATGAAGTCAACAGGAGGGTCCACCTGGCGGAACAAGCTCTCGAGTCGAAGAGGATTATACGAAGCCTTTCCCATGGAAGGGGTGCCGCACAACTGCACAATATGATCGAGGCGGCGGAAAGAGGCGAAGACTTTACTTTGGGCACGAGAGGCACAAAGAGGAGGAGGAAGAAGAAGTCTAACACGACACGCTCATTCTCGGCTGTTGCTCTTCAAGAGCCCTATCAGCATCCGAACGACGACATTCCCAAGGAACCTCCTGTCCAGCTTGAAGCCCAGCACATACAATTCTTTCGCAAGGTCATTCCCCGCGAATCGAATCCTCGAGCTGGCGGGGCTTCGCAACCGAGAGCGACGCCTACGAAAGGTGCACACAGCTTGACTTTTGAGAAGATTCTTCAGGCCAGCAACACGCATCAGAAAGTGCCCGATTATCGAGCATCTAGCCGGCCCAAAGCCCAGCAACAAGTCGAAGTTGATAAAGCCAAGAAATTACTTCAACATTGGTCTCAGCCTTCTGGCGACCGGAATCTGGTGGTTCAGCAGTCGTTTGGTGAAGCCAGAAATGCGGCCCCGGACAAGCCAGTCGGGTACATTGGTCCTAAAGATGGGAGTGAAGGAAATACCGACGCGAGACATACAGATATACCTGCTTCAGACACCACAGCAACAGCCAAGGGCCGAGGTGCTCCAACCCCTGTACCTCTAGGCGCTTCACCTGAGCCGCCACTACCACAAGATAACCTTCAACCCGTAGATATATCTGATCGGGTATCCAGCATCAAGGGTGAAGCCAATTTTCAAGCGCCGGTCGTGGTTCTGCAGTCCAAATCGTCGGACTTCTCAGGAGCAACCGGCATGGAGAGCCCGAGCCTGGCTTCGCCGAAGCATAATCTAACGCACTCTCCAGGACCAATCGAGACACACTTGTTTGGGTACCTCGACAGCGATGAGACTATGGACCAGCACCTTCGAGAATGGCTCAAGGAAATGCCACGCGTTAGAGCGCAAACCAACGTCGAGGCCGAATTAGCAGCAACGCCAAAAGAATTCTCCAACCACGCCAAAAACATTTTAGCCCCCGGAACATTGTCCAGTCTGCACCGGTTCATACGAGATGGAAAGACTGCTTCAAAACATCTATCACGACGGAAATGGCTAGCTGTCATGAGACATTTTACCAGCCAGCCTAGTACTCTAAACTGGACGATCATGGAAGCCATCTTCTACACATACCAGGCTTCATGCCGAAATCCAAGGGATCTCAACGTCCGACCTGTCTTCTTGCTGATACAACATTTACTAGCGACAGTTCCTTCTTCCGAGCGGATGGGGCAGGTTCTCTTTCCCATTTCCGCGAAAAACACTGTGGATGCGGCTGCAATCTTCGACTTGCCAGTCAAGTATCTGCAATTTTACTGTGAGGGTCAACACAGTACTCTTGACTGTGTACGGGAACTGGGCCATATTCTCGACGTTACAAAACGCAGTGGACTGGTCCCATCCAAGGACCTCGTCACACCTGTCTTAAGAGCTCTTGTCCGCGCGAGGGACGTAGAAATGGCGGAGACAATGCTTGAAGGACTCACAGCGGAGTTCGGGCCGACCGATTCTCTGGCTCTTTTCGAGCAGTATACCTTTCTCAATGCATGCGAAGGCAACTGGGCCATCGTCGAATCCATGCTTGACAAGTTCCACACCCTAAACAGGTCCAGGAGCCAACCCATTGAGTATGGACGCTTTTTCGAAAGGCTCTTGTTGCAACACATTGCGAAGAATCCAGCCGCTCGATCATTCCACTTTACCGTTCACGCCATGAAATACGCCGGCCTGGTACCGACGAATCATGTCTCCAGGACACTTATTTGTGCCTTCATTCGAGATTGCCGCTACGACTTGGCTGCTGAATGGTTGCGCCTTCTCAAGGAGGCATTTCCTAGAGTAAGCTCCGGTTTCGATCTTCTCCAAGGAGCATGGTTGCTCACCAACACCTTGACGGAGATTGACGCCAGCTGTGAAGAGATAGCCAAGATTTGCCAGACGATCGCTCACGGGCATCGGAAGGATCCCTTCGGCCCGGCCTTCAGGGAGTTCGCCGTGGACCTCGTCAAAGCAGATTTGAGTCAGAGGTTATGTGCTGTCTCGGCCCATTTCCCATCAGCCGAAATCTCAGATGAAGAAATCCGCTCAATGACGATGGATCAACTGCTGAAATGTGCCTATGACCTCCGCGCCATGCCGACGCCGACAGGCTCTAGTGCCGCGGTCGTCGAGAGCCTGAAGAACGACCTTGCCGTGCAGATTTCTTCCATCGTGGATCTGGCTAAAGTATTCCGGGGCGAAATGAAGATATTGTTCTTTGGCATCAAGAACCAACGGGATGCGCTTTTGAGAGATCGACGCCGGGTCAGCCAGGCCGCACAGTCCACCACCTTTCCAGAGATCCACAGACACGGGCGCCCACCCGGGATAGGCGACTTGACGACGGCACTAGCACAACATTACCATCGACGCGACAAGGACGGGTTGCCGGTCGACCACTCGGTCCTCCATCACTTCGTCACAAGATTCGGCTCCGAATACTCATCGGAAGTCCTCGGGCTTGTGGAGGACATACACGCAAGCGGATACGTTCAAGGTCCGCGCGGCGCACATTTCGATGCCGAGCTCTTCAAAAAGTGGCTCTACCTGGTCTCGACGCATGGTTCTGCAGACTCGGCCGCGACGGCGCTGTTGGCGGTTTCCGGCCGTGCGGACCAAATACCGTGGACTGCCCATTTCCGGTGCTTGTGCGAGTTCGTGACTCAGCTCGGGAGAGTCGACAATGAGACCCTCTGGGACGACATGGCGTTTCCCAAGAAGCCTGAAGGGGGCCCTCTGAGGACTCGGTACGAGGAGATTAAACGGAGGTGGCTCGACCAGGGGAGCTGGAGGAAGGAGAGGTTTCGGTTTCCCGAGTGGAAGGGGTGGGATCTAGATGGGAAATAAAGTCGGTAGCGGTAGCATGTCGACCGCTTAGAAGCCTAGATGTATGGGTCGGCCAAGCCATACCTAGACGCATGGACTGAAGATGTCATACCGACAGACGTAATGTACGGGGTACTATGTATACATACATACGATATCCAGGCCATTACTAAATCAACGTACTGGCCGGTCTCTTGTAACTCGTACTTTGACGAGTGACGCTCGCGCAGTCCGAGTAGAAGTACGGAGTACTCCGTATCTACGAAGTACATACCAGTACTCCACACATAAGCTCAAGCTCATTAGGTACATTCTACATGTACATTCTACATGTACATTCTACTGAACCGCTGCCTAGCGGTTGGCTGGCTGTCTGGCCTGGCTGGCTGGCTATTTGATCCTCGAGCCAGTAAGGGAAGGTACAATACCTACCCCTACAAGACGGTACACTATCTTGCTTACTATACTGGGATACCGAATGCAGATCAAATGTACCAGGTACGTCTGCGTAGGGGGACCCGGCGGGGAGCAGCTTCAGAGAACTGAACACGTACAGTGGGTATTTTGTATTGGTCGTTTGCCGTCGGGGTTTTGACGTATTGTACTGTATTCCCATCAGATTCGTGTGTATCCGGTCCTCACGGACAGTTTGTCTCTAGAGATCACATACTTTGGACAATCCATGGACAAGCTCTGGCCACTGAGATCGACAAGAAGATAATCGAAATCCTGTCTACAGAAACGTGTTTCTTTCTAATCTCTTTAATCCTTGTGATCCAGGGTAGATCTACTATATCTTGAACTCGTCTTGGACACACAACCGATGCAGTCAGTATATCGCGTTCTATCAAGGTATGCCGCCCCCTAAGCTGGTGGCAGCACTCACGCTGGGCTTGGCGCTGCCTACTCTTATCCCCTGCGCCGTGAAACTGGGCGGCGTGCCTCGGCTTACTGGCGTGGAGCGTCCACTCGCAGCGAGACTGCCGCCTGAGATTGAGCCACGTCGACGGTCTGAGGGCGAAGATTTGGATTCGTTGACACTTGCGTCCCCATGTTCTGCCGTTTCAGCCGCGTTGCTGGGAGGGTCCTGGTGCGTGCTGGGCGTGAATGTGGCGCGATTGCGCAGGTCCTGGTGTGAGGCGTTGGGGTCATCTTGCGCGAGGGATCTTGAACTTGAGAGGGCGGGCCCGAAGTTTGTTGTTATGTCTTGAGATAGAGGTCTGGAAGCGTCGTGGTGAGTGCCCAGAGGACTTTGATCATGCTCATCCCGTTGTTGCTGCGCTTGTGCTGCCTCTGACGCCTCCGCCGTCGAAGTCTCCTGTGGACGATCCCGATATCGTTCGTATTCGACCTCCGGGTCCTCATCATTGTTCCTTGTGCTATTTGCGGCAGACGCGGCCTGTGCTTCCTTCTTGGGAAGTCTGTAATATCCCTCCATCCACGACATTGAATTGCCACCTGCCGGCCTATTTGGTGTGGGCGACGCAAACTGGTATTGATTTTGCAGGGGCGAGTGCGCATGTGTGTGATTATGGGTCTGGATAGGGGACGACGGCTGGTACTGTCTCTCTCTCTGCTGTTGGGCGAAACTCTTGACTCTCGGTGTCCGGGGCGACTCGTACGCGCCTTCATAGTCTGAGTATCCGCCAGCGGAATCGTCCTCTGACCAGTTTGCGCCACTGCTACTGCTGTTTTGGCGGCGATGGAGATATGCGGTGTCGGCAATTGAAAGGATCCCCTTCTGATTGCCATTCGATGTCCGTCCCAGAGTGTAGTAGCGGAGGGCTTCCAAGACGTGTGGAAATACCAATGTATCGACGTCTTGGGCCCAAAGGAAGTCGAGGTGTTCGAAATGTGGGATTTCTGTGGCAATGGTATGACGGGGTAATTCTTTCAGCATGACACGAATGTCCACCAACGAGTCACTTCCGCCGTAGACCAACACGATGGGAGTCTTGATATTCCTAGTCGGAAACTTGGCCACCTTGTAGTAGCGGTTGCTTGCCCCAATGCTGAATCGGTTGGTGCTGTCGTCGTCGTACATCTGGAATGATTTGTTGCGGATGATCTGAAACCAGTGGACCACAGATTTCGTGGAGGTGAAGCTGTAGAGATGAGGGTAGGCGGCAAGCTTCTGTTGCACGGTGATATTGCGGCCATACCACGCGAAGAGAAAGCTGAGGGACATGTCGATCAGACGGACAAATATGGGTGGGTAGAGGATGGACTGCCACATGGTTGCGGAGGAAAGGATGGATTTGCGGCCGAATGCCAGGAAGAGGACATTGGGATTGGTCTTGACAAGGGCGTCAACAATGCCATTGCTCAGGCCAGCTGGAGACATGGCTGGTGCTAGGGCGATAAACAAATTGACCTTGTCGTTCAGCTGTGGATGTATAGACAACGTGGCAAAGGCTTGAGCAGTGCCTTGACTGAAGCCAATATAGGAAAGCGACGGCTGAGAGGTGGTGCTCAGGATATAGTCGATGGTGTTGGGGATGTCGTGGAAGGCAAATTCGTCCATTGAGAAGTTCCAGAAACGGGAGGACATTGGGGAGTGCTTGGTGGACTTCTTGCTGTACTTGTTTCCACGGTTGTTGCCCAGCCACACATCGTAACCTTGGTTCACCAGCGTAAAGGGCAGGCATCGTTCCTCTTCGGTCAGACAGACCCAGACCTCGCTGTTCATCAGCAGACCATGGTGGAGGTACACCACGGGTTTCCTGGTCGAGTCTGCTCCGACATTGACCTGCATCCCGGAATGCTCTTCTCCTTTGCGAAAGGGCAGCCTGTGCACGCCCAACAAGTATCCGTCTCCTGTCTGCACGACGTGCTCTTCAGCATAGTATCCAAAGAGACCGCAGAGCTCGGTGAAATCGGAACATGTTGCGATCGAGGTATAGGTGTGTTTCCTCTCAGACCGGGCTTGTCTGGATCTCTGCGACGACAGTCGGTTGAAGACATTTTTTGACGCATTATAGCAGAACCGAATAACGGGCTGGGGCAGGCCAAGGGTTATAATTCGGACGAACACTTCAAGGGCAACGAGTATCAGGGATCCAAACAGGGCCAGGTACTCCCTCCTACACACGGTCAGCTAGGGCGCAGCAATTCAAGACGTTTGAGAGTACGGTACCAAAACAGCCTGCCAATGAAGGGCACTCGCGCCATAGTGCCTGCAAAAGATCAGACAGCTACAGCGACAATAGAACGTCCGAGGCCATGGACCCAGAATGTTTAGTCTCTACGAGGACGAGTCCAGGAACGCACATGCGTCCAGGCCTGCTGAGTCCATGCGCCGGTCTCAACAATCACGGCTTCTCCAATTGCAATCACCGTCTCGCACCGGCCGGAGCGTCACTGCGTCATTGTCTGCGTGCGGCAACTCTTCCGAAGACGGCGCCAGTCTAACCATTTCCGGACCGAGGCCATAAAATTCGTTGGCGCGACTTTTGCTTTCTTGACTTTCTTCTTTTCTACATGAACAACGCAAAACCCAACATTCCTTCTAAAAGCATTCCTACGAGGTTGCTCTACAGCAATACCATGATGTATGGAAATCGTCTATCGGAATGGAGAGTGACCACATGGTAGTCGATCTTGGGTGCGATGTCAGTCAGGTCCCTCCGGGGCTGTGACCGAGATTGCAATGATTGACCACACAAATGATCACTATCAGCTAGACTGCACTTTTCATAGGGTATCATGTTCTAACAATCCGGCGTCACGTCATTTGCTCTCCAGCCAGCCTTCGATCTTCTCGACGATATCTGCCTTTTTGCCCGTGACAGGAATCTTCACCGTTGCGGCAAACTCCTTCAACTCGGCAACTGTCAGTTTTGCAAGCTGACCCTTCTGCCAAAGCTGTCTGATCTGCGCCTCATCAATCCCTTTACTGCCATCTTCCCATTTGACCTTTTTGCCTGCGCCTGCCTTCGTAGACTGGGCTGTGGTCCCGTTGCTCGGAGGACGCTTTGATCCTGTGGAGGCGGCATCGGGATTGTCCTCTAGGTATCGTCGGAAGCTTGTTTCCAGGACCTTGCCCCATTCTATCGCCTCCACACCCACTCTCTTGTCGATCTGGCGATATTTTGGTATCGTCTTGTCCTCCGGCTTCTCGGGGATTTCGTCGTCCAGGGCGAGGGCTTGAAGAATGCGGTAATGCCATTGCAGGCTGGGATTCGGGTATTTAGAGGGGTCATATATGCCCTTAGGAAGGTTCAGTTGCTCTGTTTCGTCTGTCAGTTCCTTTCCTCGAGACATCTTGACCAAGCTCCGAATCACACTTACGGACGATCGGCCTCATGGCATCGACGAGCTCATCTGGCGCCCGAACTGGCGTTTCATGTGTTGAGGGCGGATTCTGTCGGACATCATCCGCAAACGGAAGTGGTATGAGATGCAACCCCTGGGGCGCACCCGTGGCAGAGACTCCTGCGGGATTGGACTTGTCCTCGCTGTCCTCGGCCGACAATGTTGGGACCATAGCAGCCATGACTGGGACCGCATTCTTTCTCGGCACAAACCATGTAACTGCGAACAATTTGTCTTTGCACAGCTTGCGGTGCAACGCACTATACACCCGCGTGCTGCCAACAAAGTCCTCTTCAGACGGATACAGAAAGGTTGAGTTCTTTATGTTTGCCCACATCGGCAGCCTCGCCATCGGCTTGAACCCAATCACCCTGATCACCGGTTCGCCCCAATTGCGGAGTTGCTGCGTCTCTTCAGCTGAAAACGTAACCTTTTCTCCGCCAAAGGTATATGCCTTTCGAATTTCCGCTTTCTCCACCGTTCTGCGGTCGGCCTCATCGTCAGCCACCATTTCCGTGAAGCCCGTCGCGATCGCGGGTTTTTCGCCACCAAGGTAGATGTAACTACTCCGCGCTGGCTTTTGATGCTTATACAAGAGATAACCTTTGACCGAGATCCTGAAATCCGGACCAAGTTCGAGGGGCACTGAGGAAAAGAGCGATCGTTTCGGGGCAATTTTGGATTGAATATTGGACAACAGAGACTGAAGTAGTGTGATGCCATCGCCGCCACCGCTGACCATCTTTGAGCCGTCAACGTCCACAATGGATGGAGGGTTGTAAACGATGGCTTCAGGGTCAGACGGTGATGAGCGGTAGACAATGTCGTCCCAGAACAACTTCGTGTCAAAGGCGTGATCAGCCGTAGAGATGGGAAACAGTTCAATGGTCACGCCCAAGTCGTATAGATCCTTGGCTCGAACAGTTGCTTGTGAACGTGATTCCTTGCTGCTCGAATGCGGGTCGTCATTATCCGTCACGACGAACAGTCGTCTCGACGTGAAATTTGCCGCCTTTTGTTGGAAGATCTGGTTGGCGCAGAAGAGGACATTGTGCATCGACACGGGTTCTTCTGCAAGTCTAAAAAGTCGATTGGACTCGGGATTCTCTGCTTCGACCAGTTCCTTCAGCGCCTTGACATCATCCGCCTCCGGGACATCCAGGTCAGTCAAAAGGTAGCAATTAGGGAACGAATAGCCACCCTTGGAATTTTCGTCCTCGCCGTAGAATTTGGTTGCTTCGGTGCCATACAGCAGGATGCCCATCAGATCCTTGGGTGTGGCAATGATGCGCTGCTGCATCAGATGGTATGCAGATTTCAATGCTGCCAGTAGAGGCGAAGTTTTGTCTGATTTCTTCGAGCCGGACGACGACTGTGGCACTTTCAGCATAGACTTGTTGACCTCTATGGCGAAGAGGACCGCATCGCGGACTGTCTTGTAGCCCGTCTCGTCAACTTCCTCTTCCTCGTCGTCGAGATCATCGCCGCGGGAAGAGTCTTCAGGCTTGTCTTTCGACCGATAGGGTATATTGTCACCCATGTTGCATACCCATTAGCCATTTAGAAAGGACGGAGTCTGGGAAGATCCAAGAGTGATGCAATGCCTGGGCGTCTGGGGCAGCAGTCGCGCCTCAAGGCTGAAGACGCGCAGTCACATGAGCGACAAGGCTGCACGAGTGACGCCAATCGGGCCACGTTGATTGGCCGCGGTTGACGGATCGGCGTCATGGAAGAACATCTCGCTGACTTCGCGGCGAAAAGTGTTCCGCATGAGAAGTATGTAAGTCAAAGAAACCCTTCACTCTCACACTACTCATTCTACCTGAGCCCCCAGAATCCTCAAATCTCTTCTGATACATCCGTCCCCCTCATGGCACGGTAGCACCAGCATCTACACCAGCACCTTCACCACCGCGCACATCTCCACCATGTCGCCGCTGCGCACCTCGACAAGCCGCCTCACCCGCCAACTGGCGAAGCAGCCCTGGACACTGCCTGGCCACAATGGCGTGTCAATACCCTCCTCGATCCAACGAGCCTCGATGGCCTCCGTCGTCCCTCCAGTCACTCCAGACAGCACCTCGCGCCAGGGTCCCACAGCCATGGTCTTCATGAACATGGGCGGACCCTCCACCACCGCCGAAGTAGGCGACTTCCTGTCCCGCCTGTTCGCCGACGGCGACCTCATCCCCCTCGGTCCCCTTCAAGGGTATCTCGGACCTCTCATCTCCCGGCGCCGCACGCCCAAGATCCAAAAACAATACGCGGCCATTGGCGGCGGCAGCCCCATAAGAAAATGGTCGGAATACCAGTGCTCGGAAATGTGCAAGCTCCTCGACAAGATGAGTCCCGAGACGGCGCCGCACAAGCCCTATGTCGCCTTTCGGTACGCCAACCCGCTGACCGAGGAGATGTACGAAACCCTGCTGAATGACGGCTTTGGACGCGGTCGCGGCGGCCGTGCCGTCGCCTTCACCCAGTATCCGCAGTACAGCTGCTCGACGACGGGGTCGTCACTGAACGAGCTGTGGAAATGGCGCACCCGGCTCGAAGGGAAGCGGTCTGTTGTCGGGGACGGCAAATCAATGACCCCTGCCACTACCTCAGACCCGGAAGGCGCAATCACATGGTCCGTGATCGACCGGTGGCCGACGCACCCGGGCCTGGTCGAAGCGTTTGCGCAAAACATCGAGGCCAAACTGGCCGAATACCCGCCCGAGCGACGCAAGGACGTCGTGATCCTCTTCTCCGCCCACTCGCTGCCCATGAGCGTGGTAAACCGGGGCGACCCTTACCCGGCCGAAGTGGCCGCCACGGTGCACGCGGTGATGACCCGCCTGGGCCACTCCAACCCGTACCGCCTGTGCTGGCAGTCACAGGTGGGGCCCTCGGCCTGGCTGGGTGCCCAGACCAGCGACACGGTCAAGCAGTACGTCGCGCGTGGCCAGACAGACCTCATTCTTGTACCTATCGCCTTCACTTCGGACCACATCGAGACGCTGTACGAGCTGGACCAGGAGGTCATGCACGAGGACGCAAAGGGCCACCCAGGTGTTAAGCGCGCCGAGTCTCTGAATGGGAACCGCGTGTTCATCCAGGCCCTCGCAGACGTTGCCCACAAGCATCTCCAGAGCGGGGAGAGCTGTTCCCGCCAGATGGGCCTGCGGTGCCAGGGCTGCAAGAGCGAGAGATGTCTCGAGCAGAAACGCTTCTTTGCCGGCGAGCAGGCCAAGATCCTGCCGACTGTACGATAAGGAGGGAAGATGAAGATGAAGACAAACAAGAACGGAGGGGGTCGGTGAATAACTTGGCTGATATGCCGTATCTCCATATGCATGTAAATACTCGGCATAGAAGTGGCGTACTTACTCGACACTCCGGCTCAATGTACGGTAGTTTAATTGCCGTACAATTGCATAATTATGACGCGCAAGTTCTACCTCGTACATACCTTGCAGGGAAGTCCTATGAGTATCGTCCTTGGCTTACAGTGCGGTATATATCTCGATAGATTCCATTGCTGCGGCAAGACCAGTCCCATGGCGTCTCTATGCTTCTGAAGCGGCTCAACAAAAACCTGTGTGTCCATACAAATACATCCGAACGAACCCCGAGTTCAATGCCCAATGCCGCGCCCTAGATATGGATTTGATTCGAACCCCCGATTGCTTCTGTCCGAGGTTGGTAGCCCTATTAATGCCGTTATGCTTATGCTTCGTGTCCATCAAATCCCGTTCGAACCATCCGTTGTCACCTATGCTTTTTGGCTTGCAAAGTTCCAATCACAAGTTGAAACCGAGATCCTCATGTAGTTCATGCACCGCCCATACCGAGATCGCCCTCCGCGTCTACAATGGCGAGCCGCTGCTTCGCCGTCTTGGCTTTCTTACTCACGCCCTTGCCTCCTCGAGAACCGGGGCCCTTCTTCGGCGTGGAGGTCTCGGCGGTGCTCACTGGCGTTGCGGCTCCTGATGGCTTCGCTGAAGCGTCTTCGAAATGTCCTTCGCCTGTGGATTTAACGTTAGCAACTGCAGAGAGACGGGTTCAGGCAGGCAAAAGGCTTACCTTCATGGTACATGTCATCGAGACTCATCTCGCCCTTCTTCTTTCGAGCTGCAGCAGCTTGGGCTTTCTTACTCTGCCTCTTCTTCGAATTTTCATCGTCAGGCTTTTCGGCGGCCTCCTTCTCCTTCTGCTCGATGAGCGCAGCCTGATCGTCGTCGGCCAGCCACATGGCAATGTCTTTGGTGCGATTCTCACGCCTATCACGAGTGTTGAAGTCTACACCAGCACCATCTCCACCAGTGATGACCACACGTTGGACTTCTTCCTTCTGCATGGCCCGCTTCCGGATTCGTTCTTCGATGGTGCCGCGAGTGATGAGACGATAGACTGTGACCTGCTTGGTCTGGCCTAGTCTGTGCGCACGGTCCATGGCCTGAGAGTCGATGGTGGGATTCCAGTCCGAGTCGTAGAAGATGACCGTATCGGCAGACGTCAGATTGATACCAAGACCACCGGCACGGGTGGATAGCAGGAAGATGAAAATCTCCGGTCTTGTTTGGAAGTCATGCACTGTGTCTCGACGGTCTTCCAGCTTGGTGCTTCCATCCAATCGACAGTACTTGTAGTTGCGGTATGTGAGATACTCTTCCATCAGATTGATCATGCGAGTCATTTGGAAGTACAGCAGCACACGGTGGCCACCATTCTTGAGTTCCCGGAGGAGCTGGTCTAGTTTCGCAAGCTTGCCAGAGTCTGTCACGAATCTGCGCATCGAAGGGACAGTGATGTCGGTGTATCGGGACTTCACGTTCTCGGGCTTAGGCAGCAGGTTGGAGACCGGGAAGTCGCTGGGATCGACATCGCGTTCCAACAGCTTCTCTTCGACGGATTCCTCAAGTCCATACAACGGAGCCCGTACGTCCATGTTGAAAAACGTCAGCTGCCGTTCAGAGATGGAGGATTGGTCGAAGCAACTGATCTCAATCGGTGGCGCCGAAGCCTTCTGTCTTGCGGCCGGCTCAATCACTGCCAAACCTTGATCAGCTACAGTATCCTTAGAGATACTGCAGAGCTTGGCCAGGTGCGAATTGGGGTCGAGATCTATGAGGGCTCGTCGAGGATTGTTGTCAACGATATTGAACATAGCATGCACGGGCGGGCCTTGTGTGTCTTCTTTTTCGTCGTTGTCGTCGTCCTCCTGGAATATGCGCACGGTCCGCTTAGGCTGTTTCTTTACTCGAAGGCTGCGCTCAAAAACGCCCGAGTCCGCAGCAGAAGCAGCTTCGCTAATCGACGTATCGACGAAGCGAAGGAAGGAGAAGGCTCCATCGCTCTGCACGGAGGATTTGATGTGCTCAGGAGTCCAGATCCTCATCAGCCCACCCAATCCGCTTGTTCTGAAGCCGGCTCGTCGGAAACCGGCTCGAGCGTTGCTCGGTCCAGGAACGTCTAGTCTCCCGACATCGTTGCACAGTATTCGAGGCAGGTCGTACTGAATGTGATTGCGAACAGAGTAGCCAACCTGTACGAAGGATCCCTCTCGAACAAACGAGGCAGTCTCTGCATAGTACGACATCGAGTACGGCGACGCAGTATCGGCCCGCTCGAACAGGTCCGGATGGTTGCAGACTTTCCTGAACTGCATGACCAGGTTCATTAGAGTGGCAGAGTCCTCATCGCTACCCAAGGTAGCCTTCTCAATCAGGTCCATAATGCTGATCTTGCTGCGGAGGTTGGCATAGTATGCTCGTTGTCGGTATGTCAATTCGCAAAAGACGTCCTTTTCAACCTTGTCGCCTAGCTCTTTCTGCACATGAGCTTTCACACGACGCAACATGAACGGCTTGAGAATCATGTGCAAACGCTTAAGCTGATCTTGATTGAGTTTAGTGTTGCTCTGAGCATGGCTTTCGATGTCCTTGGAGAACCAGTCGCTGAACTCATCGTGCGAGTCGAACAAGGTAGGCATGATGAAGTGCAACAGCGCCCACAGCTCCTGCATGTTGTTCTGAATTGGCGTACCTGTGAGCAATAGGCGATTGCGGCATTGGAAAGCCAGGAGAGTCTTCCATCGCGAACTGCTGGACGATTTGATTGCCTGCGCCTCGTCCAGGATCATGTATTGCCATCTGATCTTCTGAAAGTACTGTGCATCGTGAACCACGAGCTGATATGAGGTGACAAGGACGTGGAATTCGGAGTCCTTGGTGTAGGTGATGTGTTTCCGGTCCCAGAACTTGCGTAGAACCTTTCGGTCTTTTGCACTGCCCCAATACGGAAGGACCTTGATAGCTGGCACGAACCTTGTGATTTCCTGCTGCCAGTTGTGCAGCGTTGAGGCAGGAGCAATAACCAGGAACGGTCCCCAGATGTTGTGTTGCTCTGCGAGATAGCCCATAACGGAGATAGACTGAACGGTCTTGCCGAGACCCATTTCATCTGCCAGAATACCGTTAATCCCTTGTTCGTAAAGGTTGACCAGCCAGTTGAGACCCTTTAGCTGGTATTCCTTGAGTTGGGCCTGCAGCATCTTTGGTTGGGACACTTGAACATCGCCAGCCATGGTAGGATTCTGGAAGTTCATGTCACTGTTGTCGAAGGCGGCCATCTGATCATCGCCGTTGAAGTTTCGAGCTTTGTCTTGGGCGTCTTGCAGGGCGCTCGCAGCGTTGGCCGCTGCGGCTTTACGCAGGTCAGACTCATCTTCGGCATCAAAGTCAAGATCTTCGAAGTTGGTGACCTTATGGTTCCCATGCTCGTCCGAGAGCGCCAGGTCATCCATACCCTTGTTGGCACGGACGTCCTTAGCTGTGCTCTTATTGCCCGAGCCGGCAACCTCAGGGTCATCAGTAGCACGCTCGATCTCGTCGGTTTTGATCTTGCGACTGATGAAGTGCGAGTAGAGTTCGGTCTGTGAGATGAGGAAGTTGAGTTTGCGTTTCTGTCTGTTGGCTTCGCGATCGGCTTCCGCCTTCTTCGCATCCTCAATCTCCTTCCTTTCCGCCATACGCCGTAAGTCGCGCTCTTCTCGTTCATTGCGCTTCCAGAAAGACATCATCTCACGCATGACCCGTTTCGCCCTGGCTTGGGTATCTTTCATGCTCTTGTTGGTGCGTTCCTGCCATTTACGCGCCTGCTTACTTGCGAGAATGGACGTCTTCCGCAGATTTTCTCTCTTGGTCTGGTCCGAGGCGTTCTTGATCTTATGGACCTTTGGAATGTCCTTCCTAGCCATATCTCTCCAGATCTGCTCGTAAATCTGATTGTAGCCCTTCGACTCATAATTGACTGTGGGCGCAGGAGGAGTCGTAACAACGGCCTCCTTGGACTTCTTGCCCTTCGGTGCAGGAACCGGGGTAGCTTCTTCTTTCGGCGCTATGTTAATGAGCGCGTCTCGTTCCATTGCATCATAGGCGGCTTGTGCAGCATCTTTCTCCGCTTGCTTCTTCTCTTTCGACTTCTTAGGACGGGCAGAGGGAGCACCAGGCTCCTTCTTGGTGCGCTTCTTGGGCGGCTCGCCGGGTTCCGGGGTGTCGAGCTGGAATGACGACGTAATGCCCCCATCATAGTTTGGTGCAGGGGCCGGTACTTCCATATCCTCGGGCGCAGGGGGGTCTTCGTTGCGAGCGATAGTCTGACGGATTTTGGCCTCCAGCTTCTCCGACTGTTGTTTCAGTTTCTGCTGAGCCTCTTCGTCTGGGGCCTCTCTAGCCTGCTGCTCGAGCTCTTCTAGTCGCTCTCTGTCGTTGCGAATTTGTTGCTCGCGGCGGCGCTTTCTCTGCATATCTTTCTTCCTTTCTTTCTCACTCTGGTGGTCCTTGTCCGCAATTTCTTTCGCAGCGACAGGTTCAAAGCGTTCGCGGTAGCGAGCAGCAGCCTGGTAGGCGTGCTTGTCCATGCCATGTATGTGAGAGTCAAGATAGAAGCCCCGACGGCGCTTGAGTGAGGTCAGTTAGGTCACGGAGAAAGGCAATGCGCAACGTTTGGTCACCTACCTTCCGCTTGTGTAATTCGCTGTCGAGGACGATTGCCGCTCTTTTCTTGCTTTTCTGCTTGTAGATCTGCATGTGTTCAGCCCAGCCAGCATCATCAACATCGCTAAAAGCAGTCTCGTCGATGAGGTTTAGAGCCTTCGATATCTTTTCAAGCTCCTCATCCGTGGCCTTCGTGCGAGGCGGCGGAGGGGGCACATATCTTCTCTGAACCTGCACGGTCTCGGTTTTTGGGGCTGGTTTGGGGTCACCGTTCACGACAGATAGAATGGAGCCTATCTCCGGCATTTTGGTGGACTTTTCAGCGACCGGCTTGATTTCTGCAGAAGGTTTTGGGGGCGGTGTCGCCGGCCTCGGCGGAGGCTGTTTCGATTCGGATAGTTTCGGGGATGGTTCATTGTTTGAGGGACCAAGGATGCTTGCGAAAGACATCGGGTTGCTCGATCTCTCAGGTCTCTATCGAAACAAGTCAGTATACTCTCTGGTATCGCCAAGGTGTGATCTCACGTCTTTTGACTGCGGTCGCGACTCTGACGCAGATATCTCGCTTGGCCTTCCATTAGTGAGGCCATGGTATTCCCTTAACGGTGACTGCAAGGCGGAACCCGTAGGATGCGCGTGGGAGGGAGTGCCGTCGTACGGCGGCGCCATTGTCGGATGGATGAGATGGCCCGAGTATGATCTCTGGAGGGGGTACGGAGGGCTCGACGGCAAGGGTTGATATTGTGGGCCTGCGCCTATCGATGGAGGAGGTGGTGGTGGTGGCAGAGCGTTGGGCGCAGGCAAAGGTGACGCCAGGGTCGGGCGGTTGTGGAGTGGGCTCTGTACCAAGGAAGTGGGAGGGAATGGAGGAGTCTGGACGAGGTGCTGAGGAGGCGGTATTGAGTAGGGTTCATGGCCGAAGAATGGGCGGTTCGGGCGAGTTGGTGAATATGGTGGAGGATATTGATTCGATTGCGACGGCGATCGAACCGCGTAGGGCGACGAGCCAGACATTGTGGAATTCTTTCTGGGCGCCGTGTCCACGGATAGTCGCGTAGGTTTTATTTGTTGTAAAGGTGTTGCCCAGCTGACAGGCGCCGATGGTCAAGGTTTTATCTATCACCCTCGCTCGCATTCGCCATCGTCAATCCGGTGGTTCAGTAGTGCAGCGGCTCCGATGGTTTTCTGTCGACAACGAGATGGTCGATGTCAAGGTGGACTGCGGAGGATGGCCGACCCTTCAGTTCGTGCCTAGACTTCAACGGGAGTTTGGCTGATGCAGCCAGGTCGTGTCACCGGATCAGATTCACTTATTCAAGGGGCAGGTGGCATCAGCGCTGAGCTGGGGAATGGAAATCTAAGTGACCTCTTGCCAATTGCGAGATGAGATTGTCTCGATGAGTTGAGGAGTCGATGGGAATGGGATGAGGGTGAAGAGGGATGGTGGCGATGAGGAAGACGCCGGATCATGGTTCAGTCACAGCTGGTGCAGCCGTAACTGCATCGCAAAGCCAAAGCTCACATCCGCATTACTATCCATCGCAAATCGCAGCCCGACGAAGACTCGCTGGACGTGGTCACGTGATGCGAGTCTCAATACGGAGTACTGCTTTGGTGCAGGGGTCTATATAGGCGTGCCGATGACGATGGAGTTTATCAACAGCTTGCTGGATTAGATGTGTTTCGGATGCACTGTCCGTGGTCTGGACTTGAAGTTTTCCTGTGCTGGACATGCTGGCAGTGGTGTGAAGGGCGGCGGCCTGGAAGCGCAGAGAATGACGGGGCGGGTGCTGAGGGCAGCCTCTGACTTCGACCTCGTCCAAGAATCCCCCGTTCTCGCGATGGGGGAGACGAACACAGGGCACTCACCCTCACTGGCACCACTGGCACCACTGGCAGCTCCAGAGACAGCCAAGGTGGGGCTCGAAGCGTGTCATTGATTGCTGCAAGCGATGACTTGGCGCGCTCTCCCATGCCATATCGGGGGCCACCTCAAACTCTATTGCTTCCATGTCTGTTTTGGCACCTGAGGGCACCTGTGGTGGCCATAAGCCTGCGAGATCTCCTTATTCGCCTGCCTGTGGTCTCGCTCGTCACCACCGAGTCGAACCCATATCCCAGGGGCCCGGTCGTTGTAGGTCCTTCTTCATCCGGACTCAATCCCGGACTCGTGCGAGCAATCTCGATGGCGCCAAAAGGCAAAGATTCCGGGAAAGCCTCATCCAGCAGTAGTAAAGGTAAAGGCAAGGGCAAAGATGACGGTGGTTCATCAGCAGGTGGCAGCGGGAAGCTCAAAGCAGCCCAATCCATTAATGCCAGACACATTTTGGTAGGTTTGACCGAGCACCAAACTCTTCCGAAAACCCGATCATGTCTGTTCCAAGGTGAGCTGATTTTCTGCCGTCAATCAGTGCGAGAAGCACTCGAAGAAAGAAGAGGCCCTGACAAAGCTGCGAGAGGGTGTGAAGTTCGATGATGTGGCGCGGGAGTACAGCGAGGACAAGGCTCGACAAGGTATGATTTGAGTTGTTATGCGCCGTTGACCTTTCGGCAATGCATGGCATCAGCAACCCACCGGGTCCGTCGGTCAGATCGGCTAACATGCACCAAATTTCTGGTCCTACAGGGGGTTCATTAGGCTGGAAAACAAGAGGCAGCTTACACGGGGATTTCGAGAAAGTAGCCTACGAGCTGGAGCCATCCACAACAGCCAATCCCAAATGTGAGTGATTGTGTGTTCCTTGATTTCTCATGTTCATGCTGCTGGGTATCAATGACCGCGTGTCGCTGTTTATTCTATCTACCTGTACAAATAGTGCGGTCGGCGAAATGAGCGGTGTGAAGCTTCCTAAATCCTCCGCAAAGAAAGGAAAAAAGCTAGCTTATATGCGATAAGATGAGCATGCTGTGCGATCATCCAAACAGAACGACCGTTTCCCCTTGCTCGCTTTCGCTGATCATTGGTTTGCCACGCAGATGCCGAAGTGAAAACAAGTCATGGCTACCATATCATCATGGTGGAAGGCCGTAAGTAAGTGCTGTCGAGAATTGAGAGCTGAGATCGTCAGTGGATGAGTGGACTGGCGACGGTCACGTCCGCGAGGACATCTAGGGCAATGTGGTCAAGGTGGTGCTTTCGTTTCCGGGGAGACTTGTTCTGGGGCAAGATCATGATATCGATGATTGGCAGTCTGGCGTTGGCGGGTTCGGGAGGACTGCGACTAGCCTTTGGGGCACCGTCCACGCTGGAGTGTACGGACACAGTTGGACTCGGGCGGTCTTGGGGGGGAGTAATGCGAGCAGCCTGATGAATGGCAACCTGAGTTGCCTGCTCAGAAGCCCTCTCCTTCAGCCTTTCGCCTAGGTCCAGTGTCAGAAAGCCACTGGATCTGACCTCCTCTTGGGGTGGTGACAGACGTTGTGGCAGATTGACAAAAGTTGCAGGCCGTGGCACTTCGGCAACCAGGTTGAGAATGCCGCTGGACCGAGGTCCTTCGGGCACGATAGCAGGAGGCGGTGCAACACCGTTGGGTGACAGCGCCCGCGAAGACGGCGTGCGGACTGACGCTCCGTCGTTGCTGGAAGAAATGCGCCTGAAATTATCATCGGCTGATGACATGTAGTCGGGTTGGAAGTTTTGCTCGTGAACATGATTACGAACCACCCGTCGCCTCTTGGACCGACTATCCTCAAGTTCATCCATTCTCTTCTCCATCGACATGGTTGCATCGTCGACCGCGACCACACGTTCTCTCAGACGAAGTTGCTCGTCATAGTTGCCCTCGACCTTATCTTCAATGTCAACGATCCGTCGACGCATTTCCTTCTCGCTTTGGTAGAACGGCGCCAGGGCCTCGCGCAGTATGCGCACTTCTCTCTCCCACATCGACCTCTCTCTTTGTAAAGCATTCTCTCGATCGCTGCGTTCATTCTGGATGGCCTCTTCCATACGCCTGACTTTTTCAACAAGGATATTTATTTTATCAACAAGGGCATTGACCGTATCAGAAGGCGGCTGTTTTTCATGCGTTTCATTATGGACATGGTAGCAAGCTTGGTGACCGCATTCGCAAATTGTGCCTGGCGCAGCTCGGTTGAGATGGAAGGACTGGCACGAGCATCGTTGATTCTGTGCCGCAGGGTGTAAAAGGAGATAGCGACATTCTCCGGCGGGAAGGGGTCGGGCGCCTTCACTGGGCAAGCGGAGAGGACGATGTTCGTGAGCGAATGGCGGGGGAAGAGGCAGCGCGTTCGAGCCAAACATCTAGCCCACGGCCGTGAGGGCACCTGAATCCGACTAGAAACTCCCAAATAAAGTGACAGAACCTCTACAACGCATACAAAGATGCGCGTGAGGTTAAGAGGTCCCGGGGGAAGTCCCCTCCTCCCCCTCAGAGGAGGGCGATATCACCAGTTATACAATATCAAGTGTCCAGGGAACTGTCTGAAGTGAATTGTTCGACCTGCGAGCTGTCAGCCTCCCTTATCGTTATCGCTGGCCAAGGTACGGTGAGTGACAATGGCGGTGTCACGTACGCAGTCTGTTGGGGCTGGGTGTCACCACGGCGCGAAGCTCTTTCTCAGAGAACTCCAGCTGAACGTGTACCACAGATAAGTGCTCATTGTAGATTGGCGACGAGGGATTCAGAGGAGAGAGCGAGAGAGCGAGGAGGAAAAACTAAGTTCGAGGAACTGGCAGCAGTAAACACTGCTGATGGTCAGGAGTAGTTTATCAGCCGGGTGGATGTTCTTGGATGGATAGCGATGAGAGGCCGTTATCTGGCGCAGATGCTGAGGTGCAGGACGCAGTTGCCCAGTGCGTCTCGGGTCAATCGAGGGATTCTGCCGGCAAGACAGAGTCAGGGAGACATGTGCCTGCGTGCCGTCAGGCAAATGGACCTTGTCGAGCCTGTTGGAGTGGGTCGGATCGAATCAGAGGGCGTTTAGCAATCGGGGGGTGTCAGGAAATGGCAAAATGCAGGCAGGGTGGACATGGATCGGAAGAAGCGTTGGCGTGCTGCTAGCCTCCAAAGATGCCCGACGTTTCGTCGCTGATGTGTAACGCAAGCAGGCGATCTTGATGGGCTGGAGGCTGGATGGCTGCTGATGCGCACGGCCAGTTGAGAGATGATGGTGTATGATAAGGATAAGGCTAGTGAGGCTGCTTTCAACTGCCAGCTCTCGTTCTTGGGTCTTGACTTGCTCAGCACTTGCATTCGTCGCGGCAAGGCGGAACGGAACAACGTGGGATTCCCGCGACAAGGTTCGACTTCGCGCCCCCCACCAAAGGATCCTTGTTCCTTTCCATATCATCATGGAACTTGCATATGAAAAGAAAACATCGCAGAGGAAGCAAAGGCCCGCAGAGGAGGGCGAGCGAGATAGCAGCCGCGGCAGCCACCCAGTCACGATTGGTACATGGATGTGTTGTACACAGTAGATGCGAATTGCTCAATCACCTCACCTCCTTCCAGGGTTGTGCTCAGCCCAAATCGGTGTGTCGAAGTGGGGTTTACCCTCCCCCCATGGGAGCGGTTCGGGAGTGGAACAACGCGACAGTAGCTCGTACGGAGTACGGAGTACACCTTGGGCTTTCCAGATCGCGATGTGATAGGGAAGTACCGGAAAGTGCCCGTTCAAAAGTTCGAGTACAAGGTACTCCGTACGTACCTCGTTCCTGCCTGGTCGATCCTTCACTTTCATTGCAATTGCACATGGCAATGAGATGCTCACTGGCCAGCAATTTGACCGCTTCTGATGTACTCCGTACATCTGCATTTTGAGACGCCATGATTGTCAGGGACGGCAACCGCGAGGGCCCGAGCCTGCCGCCATAGTAGTTAAGACCCAGTCGAGCCAGGACATGCAGAACTCTGGGCCCAATCGGTCGCAGTAATTTCTCGCATTGTGTAAGCATGGGGATATGGAGTTGGGGGGTAGTGATGGACTCTTGGGCACGAGAAAGGTGGTGTGCCACAAGTGGAACGAGTGATAGGCTGTACAGGAAACGTGCCTGGGATATTCCATCATTACAAGCTACTTGTTCGTGCTCGAAAAGGCTCCAGAACGAGATCGGCTCTAGGTCGAGAGGCCTGGGAGCAAAGACACTTTCCGCTACGTCCTCTTCGCGGCCAGGCCACGGTCGATCACCAGGTGCCGATGAGGTCAACGGAATCAGTTTGCCCGGTCTGCATGAAGCGGTCTTGAGCGATCCAATGCGTGATATCTACCACAGTACTGTGTACTCCATGATTAGCACCCGATCGTTCTCCAGCCAGAAACCGAGATCGGCACAATTGAGCGAATGCTGTCGTAGCGAATTTTCGAGAAGGCCTATGGGTGACTTACTGCAAAGGCTTTGTCGCTGCGAGGTCACAGCTAAGGGTAAGAGTTAGGTAAACCGTGTCACACGGCAGGACTCTCCCACACTACCGGTGCCATGGTTGCCTCGCTATAACTCCACAGTACTGTGTACTGAACTATCTCAAGGCCAAGAGTCAGGGCGTGAAGACCTGCACAACATGTCACTTATCGATCACTGACTTCCCACCACTGGCGTGGTTGACATGCGAGTCACTTTCGGTGGTGAGTAAGCATGTCTTTCCTTGCCTGCTCACCCATTGCTTGACCTTGCGCCGTCAATGATTTTCCGACTGGAGCAAGGGCGAGGGGCCGAGTTCGTTTCCAGGCGGCGGTGGCTGCGCAGCTGAGTGAGAGACCGTTCTAGCAGTGCCGACCGCGCCGGAACCACCAACATCTCATAATGAATGACCGGACGCTGTCGAGACCACCGGCAATCTTTGTCGGCTTGTACTGCATTAAATGTGGCCTGCCATCGCCTCGATGCGTTTTCAGACAGGACAAGACAATCCTGAGACTCAACTTTCCATCTCACAGACACCCCAGCACCAACGGCTCCGCAGCCTTACAGAAGGAAGCCAGTCTTACCCATCAGCAGATTGAGACCGCGAAGCGCATGCGCTCAAGTTCCGCAGCCTGAGCAGCAACTACCACTGCCCCCCTCTATTCCCTACGCTCCCTCCCATCCTACGCTGTAATAATGGCCGACAGCCAAAAATACGAACCACCTTCGGGCCCTCCTCCCAGCTCAGTACTTCAAGCACCCCCACAAGTCCACCAGGATCCCGGCCCTTACTACCCACCCAACGGCGTGGTCGACAACACAGGCGGCTATCAAACATACCCGCCAGCACAAGATCCATCTGGAGGCTATCTACCGCGCCAAGGCTGGAACCAAGGTCCACCGGGTGGTCCATGGCAGGGCCCTCCAGGTCAACAACCGCCCTATGGCTATTATGGTCCGCCAGGCCCGCAGCAGGGCATGTATTACCAACAGGGACCGCCGGTAGGGTACTATGACCGGAGTCGAGGCCAATCAGGGGCAGATGGCTGCTGCGCCGCGTTTCTTGCCGCCTTGACGTGCTGTTGTTGTCTTGAACTTTTGTTCTGAAGTGATGAAACGAGATCATATCATACAAGGCGCTTGGGCGGACTCTTTGTGGGTGTGTTGGTGTGGAAGAGACCTCACGGGGACGAATGGCTTTCCTCTGGAACCACAGGATGGCTTCGCGGCTCGAGATGTTCTTGGATTATGTACCAACATGTGGAAAAGCATATTGATTTCAACCTAATCTTTTCAAACGCGTCGAGCCCAGTGGTCTTCATGCTCTTTACATCCTGTTCGAATGGCGGCCACCGAGGAAACAGTTACGTGCACACACCGTGTTCCATTGAGTCTCCCGTGCTCTCTATGCCAACTCCTCTCAACACTGCATGGATCAATCCTCTGCGCGTTCGGTCGTTCTCCGACTATCACGGTAGGAACTTCACCAGCGCAAGATATCACCGTTCAGACTGCCTGCCTCGAGCAAACAAAGAAGCCGGAGCACGACCTCTGTCACCATGTGATATGACTACCAGCGGCCCGGTCATTCTCTATAACAACCCCAACAGCCCTACTTCCTAGAGGTCCCCCAAACGCCGGACACCCCAACAAAAGAGCAGCCTGAGCTCTCCCCTTGCTCGAGCGACCAGTCTACTCGGCCCGGAACACACTCAGTGCTCGAAGGAGCCGATACCAATCGACGTTCTGAATATCGAATAGAAAACATTGAGCATCGAACATCGAACATCAAAAATCGAACGCCAGGCAAAATCCCTCCAATTCATTCCGCATACACGTACATTCCCCATCGAACCACCAAACGTCCGGATCATCCAAAGGATCCCACAGCAAGCAATCGGGCAGTAGCGAGCAGATTGGACCAAACCACGCCAGACCAGCAATCACTCAATCACTCAATCCATCAATGACGCAGCTTCGTCTCTTCTGTCTCTTCTCGAAGTACAGCCGCCGCGGGCGATCCAGGGCCGTCCTGCCGACTGCTCAGATTCAGATCCGCGGCCTGTGCATCACAGCGCTGCTTTCCGCCATGCTACTCGCGGCCATGATGATCTCTTTCTTGGTTAGCCAACGCACCAAGGGTCAGTATACCCTCGTACTCGACACAGGCCGCGCATCGCAGCTGAAAAGGAAATCTGGCGAGACGTCTTCATCATCGTTACCGTCTGGGCCAGCAACACCAACATGCTATGCCACAAGCGACATGCCTTTGATCGTGCTGGGCGTGATCTTCAGCGTCCTTGGACTGCAACTCACTGGCTGGTCAGTTTGGATCGTATTTAAGGACCGAACGCGGAAGTGGAGGATATTTGGTGGGCGATGATAGCGGATTTAGAGTTGATGCCTGCTGTATGTATTGTGAAGCTGGCACGCTGGGCAGGAAGCATGCCAAGAATCATGTTCATGGATGCAGTACGGAGTAGGGCGCTTAGGCTAGGGCATACGCAAGCTCTCAACTGTTGATATGTCGGCAGAATGTCTGCTCAATCGCAATCATCATCACATACTGGTGGACAAGCCACGGGTATAGTACAGGGATGGGTCTGAAGAACCACAGCCACGCCATCTGATCGCAGATCGGTGGTAATATCAGCACCCGGCATACATTGGCATCATTTCGTCTCGTTTCGTTCATTTCTTCGCCACAAGCACTGCACCGTCATAGACCTTTTGAACTTCAGCTGTCACCATGGCAAATGGCTTGGCGGCCCGTTCTGCAAACAGACCGATGACCGTGGCGAGGGCTGGTCGAGCATTACTTTGCACGGGCGTCCAGTGTCCGCTGCGTGGTAGGAGTGTGACTTCGCTATCTTTCGCCAGGTAATCTCCGATGCCGTCCAGACAGATGGGTCGCGAACAAGCTTGATCTTTCTCCCCCCAGAGGACGCAGGTAGGTGCATGCAAACTCCCCTTGTACTGATTCACGAACAAAGAGTTTGAGACCGAGGAACGGCGACGACCAGGACTACTGGACTCGGATGCCGAGGTCTCGAGAGCGTAGAGGTCGGTAATGGTCTCAAGCGACTTCGTCCATGGTCGCCAACCTGCTCCATCACGGTAGTAGCCTGTCATGTTCCAGAATGCTTCTCCTGGAGACTTGGCACGTTCCAACACACTCGAACCGTAAGTTTCTCCATGCTTCTCTCCATTGACGCCATTACCATTCGTGCCGATGACTGCGGAAGTCGATGTTTTGCACTCCTCCGGCCCAGGGCCAAAGCTCGAAGCCATACACTCCTGGGCATGGTACTCCTTTGGGCCCTTGCCATATGCAGATCGATTTGCTCCACGGACGAAAGAGTAATTTCCGGCAGTGCCTAGATACTTGACAAGCGCTGCTGGAAGGTGAAAGGCAAAGATGTAGCCCATCAACATGGTTTGCAACATCAACGGTTTCAAGGCATGGAAGGCCTTGGACAGGCAGCCGAAATTCTGCTTTGGGGCGTGTTTGAACTGCTTGAAGATCTTCGAGGCTGAATTCAAAATCCGGTCTTTGTTCGCGAAAGCGAGTTCAACCTAGGGGGTGGGTCAGCCTGTGGGCACGACATTGTCTAAAACATAACTTACATGTGGCGCATTGGTGAGAATGAATCGGTCGGCGAGAGAAGACGCTTCCGCAGCTAGGCGAAACCCTAGCACACAGCCCCAATCGTGACCCACGATGAAGGTGTTTGTGTCCTCAGATGCCTCTGGCGGGATGTACTTGTCTCTCATGGCCACTACGAATTCTGTGAGCGCTTCGAGGACTTCAGTGTCATACTTCTTGAAACTGTCACTCCCTCCGTAGCCTGGCAGATCCACGCAGACAAGTGTAGCATCCCGCACTGGCATGGCCGGCTCTTGCATCAGATGCCTCCACATCATTGAGCTATCGGGAAACCCATGGATGAAGATGACCAGATTGTCTCGCGAAGGGGTCGCTCGATTGCTGATATAGTGCAGTTTGAGGTCATTGCGGAGGTTATGGAAGTAATGCTTGAAGCCCGGTAGAGGTGCTTTGGCCAAATTCCAGAAGCGATCTCTCTCTATGGTCTCGTCAGCATCACCATTTCATGTTTGGCTGGATTATTCACCGATGGCGAATTGTAGCTCATCCTGCTCCGTGTCCTTCTTGAAGAAGGTTCCATTCTTGATGAACAGGCCTAGGAACAAGCACCAGTTGAAGAAGCCGAAGGAATAGAATGAGACTCTTCGCAACAGTAGAACTATCACATTTGAGTCCATGGTGGGCAGGGCTAATTCAGGGGATGTTGGACCGTCGAAGCTGGAGGGGTTCGTTCCTTCGACGAGGTTGTCAGCTCCTCGTCAAGGGCGGCACCGCGAATGCCTTGGGACTCCGTCAACGAGGTATTGCCTCAATACTACATGTAGTGAGACGACGAGATAATCTTGTTGATCTGGATGGAAAAGGTGTCCGGGCACAAAGGAAATCAAGCAACTCGTGACCGTTCAAAGGGCTAATTAGTTTGAGGGCGGGAGCAAACATTCACTGCAGCGTGGCACCTGCCGAGGTGATCCTTCCATCTTCAGGCCCATGAGCACCATCTGGCTCTATGGTCCCCCATGATGTGCCATTCTGTGCACAAATCATCCAGGGGAACACAGAGAACTCCAATTCGAGGCGACTCGCGTGCGTGAGATGGGGAGGCATCGCGATGGATCGCCCGATGCAGAAGCGATAGACAACAGACACGCGGAACAGCAGCTTGAGGTGGAGATTCCGGCTCGACCCCGCTGTGCACACACTGAAACTCCACCCACTCACTTCCCTCTGACTTTCCTCTCACCTTCCTCTCACATAGCTCTCCAGTCACCGATTACCTGCAGATCCAGACCACGGGTGTCCCGCCGCTTACCAACACCGCCAAAGTCAGAACTTGCATGGAGATCTTCGCTTGTTGCGGCGTGCCATCGTCAGAGCAGCCCAATGCACATCTTTCCTGGTTGCAGTCGCGGTGTCCATACCTCGTACCTTGTCAGACAACATCAACATGCCGAGCACCATAGGGTCGGACCCTGTGCTGCCCTCAAACAATATGGAAACCTAGAGTCTATTACGGGGCTCGAGGTCCAGGCAGCAGAGGGTTTTAAGTCAACTTCAGGGTGCTGAGACCAATACCTCAAAATATGTCGTTCTCAGTACAAACTGTCTATCTAACCAGCGTATCCTGGGTATCGTCGTCAGGTTGCCACTTTCCCTGACATCTCCAACTCGCGCTACCATAATCCAGGTGTGCCTGACGTGTCGATCCCATGGTCGGTCATCATGTGATCGATCATGCGCAACAGGGAAGCTCCCGGGTAAAATTCGACTGTGTTAAACGCAACAACAACTTCAACCAGCGCCGGTAAACCCCCTGCCTTGGAAAGCGTATTAAATCAAAAGTACTGCTGTCAAGTTCAAAATCGGTGGGCAAGCTCAGTGGCACGAACTCAACCTTGTGCGGCGAAGACCTTTTAGAGCCCTTGAGGGTGTCATGGTAAATCGGTGGGTTTGCGGTACCTTGTTTGCTGTGACTCATTTGCAAGAGAGCCCTGAAGCTCTCAAGCCCCTGTTGTCTTCTTGAGATCTGAAGAACTTAAGCAATAAGGTCCCTGACACGATACCTGGGCCCGTCGATGTTGCACGCCAGCAAGGCCTTGGCCGCTCCTTTTCAGCCCGTGGATTTTCGCCTGTCGCACCTCCAACCAGCAATAGAAATCCTCAGGGTCTTCTCACGACATATCGCGCGTTTCCGTCGCTTCGTTCTCCCTTCCACCTGGCTGTCTTGCGCCCTGGCGGTCAAGAAGGCGGTGTGCCCAGCTGTTGGGGCACCGCTTCCACCCGTAAACCATGGAGACAACGATTAGAGCAACAAGGACAATCAAAAGTGGTACGCCCCAAGCCACATCTGAAACCATCTTGCTGTCTGAATGGTTGCAGCAAGTCACGTGTGTCGCGTGTAGGCTCTGAATCTCAGATGGGACCGTCGAGCTAAGTCAACTTTGGTCTCGATATGGTGTATTGCGGATCTGGCTTCCCTGGATTTGGGTCTCGGGTTTCGATGATGACGAGAAAGCCCAAGCTCTGGGTGCTGCTATATATAACTCGTCCAGCTTTGATCGAGTGATTATCAGGGCGTCACCACACCCAAACGACGTTCCGACCTGACTCCAGCCTGCTTCAAAGCCTAACCACCGCACCAGCTACTGACTGAATTTTCGTCATTTTGTCACTGAGAGCTCACTTGAGTCGTTTTGTCTGCGACAGGGCGATGGTGATCAAGCCACAGCCGCGGCCGGGTCGCGAACGGGTCCTCGGTTCCAACCACGTAGTGGCACTGCGTTGACAACCCTGGATCGCTCGGGTGTTTTCTGTCTATACAAGACCACCACCACGATGAGTGCAAAAACAAGACAGAATACAATGGCGAAGATCGCACCCCATTCCATCATCGAACTGTCGTCGGTACGGGTTTGTGTCTTTGGACTGGTCGCCTTCTTTTGGTGGTCCTTTCGTGGTTCTTGTTTTCGTCTCCCGAGAGATGTCTGTGGAGGTACTTGTGGAAGATGGCGCAGTATTCCGATGAGACGCCATGCTTGCCAACGAGAACTCCAGCCAGCCTCTTTATATGAATCTTAAGTACCTCCACAGCCCAACGATCGCCCGCAGCCAAATTTTGTCACAAGAAGACCGCCATGCAAACAATGGTGGTGTGTTGAAGCGCTGTCTTGCCGGTACACTCCGACTTTGTCACTGCAGCTAACGTCAATTACAACTGGTGTGAATCAAGTCAGCCTCCCGTCCAACGATCAGCGCTGTTGCCCTTGACTCATGCTGTAGCGGCCATTCATTTGAGCCAGTCACTGCAGGACCAGTCATCGGACTGGTTGTCTTCTTTCGCGTCAAATCCGGATCGACCTTTCTTGAAGCTCGGGTTATTCACGTGATGAAGCGGCCAGCTTTAGACTCCCACTTGTGGATGGAATATCTGGAGTCACTGCTGGCAGAGAGCCAGGCATACTACCAGCTGAGGAGGTAACTCCTGTTTACGGTGGACCGCTTGTATTCCCTGTTGATGGGGAGGCAACCTGATTTCGTGGTGGGGTAGGATCGTCTGGGTTATTTGTGTGTTCTGTTGGTGGTGGGACATTCGGATGCGTTGCTGGCGGAGCAACACTTGTATCCGCGGGAGGAGGAGGCACGGTTGGAGTCCCTGTCGGCGAAGGAGAGCTGGTGTTTCCTGCCGGCAGAGGAACATCCGGACTTGCTGGCGGCGGAATGCCATCTGCTTCTCCTGTCGAAGAAATAACCTGATCGCCGGGTGGAGGGACGTTCTGATTCCCCGTTGGTGAAGGATTGTTTGTATCTTCTTTTACCGGAGGGACAGTCTGCGTTCCCGCCGCCGAAGGAATCCCTCTCGGGCTTCTTCCACGCCTCGCTCTACGTCGGCGAGCTGCATGTTGATCTAGACGGAGTCTAGCATCAGCATTTGCGTTTGATCTAGCGATTACGACGACGACGGCGGCCGCAAATAGTAGGCAGAAAATGATGGTGAAAATTACCCAACCGTTGATCGCCATCTTGACTTCGATCTATGGGCCCTCTGATGGCGGCCGGGATGAAACGAGAAGCGTGGATTGAGTGATTGTGCGGTGTCCCCAAGACAGGGCAGCATCAGTGAAGGAATACTCTGTTTCCACCTGAGTATTTATGCCAGGTGAGCCGGAGACATCATTCGCTCGGTTTGCTAAGCAACCAAACGGCGAGACTCTATCAATGATTACGACCTCTGGGTTTTGAGCATTGGCGGATCAAAGGTCTGATTAATTGGCTGGGGAATCAAACGCAGCTTGCGAACGAAGTCAGGACTCAAACTTGGAATCCTACTCGTATCGATGACTGACATGGCATGGCAGAGCAGAATCTATCGCGTCCGTCCAACTCCATCCAGGCCTTGTACAGGTTTGGATCAAACACAGCGCCACAAACGACAATCATCCCAGGGCACGAGTCGGGACGGACGTCCACACAGCGTCTCTTCGGGGGATTGACATGGAGCTGCCGAGTACGACGAAGGGAATTCCATAGCATGCACCAAACACGACATTTCACACCGCAGTAATGAGTTCCTTGCTTTCCTAGATGACCACAGTACCTCAGGCATACCGACTACCCAAGGTCGACAGAGGGTTCTCAATGCGACCTGTCAGCGCCATTTTCCATCACAGCGAATCTACTGGTGTTTCCCGGTACGAATCCAGTCAACATACCTGCCCTTTCGCTTCAGCAGTTTTGCAGACACGACTTCTCACGCCGGTCCCCAAAGAATCTTACTCGGTCTAGTAAATTGAAGCCACAAGACGCCTGACATGGAATGTGGGGTTCATTACAAGCAAGTTCATTCGTGTTGTGTGCAAACTGCATATATGCATATTGTTGTGTACTGGCGCAGCACACGCCAGCAACACTTCTTCCCGCCCGATCAAGCTCCCATCGCGATATAATCAAACACTGCCACCTTGTGATGGTCACCGCTCTGTTTCAGCTTATTGCACGTCGCGCCGCCTAAGCAGCCACCGATGCGGCCGGCGCAGGCGCATTTGCATTGGCTCCTCTGAGCCAGGCGCCTTCACCTCCCTTCGCAGCAGCGACACCGTCAGCGGCATGCTCGCCACGGGAGGTCCCGAATCTCCCCAGAAATCCCAAAGGCGCAGGAGGACCACCCAATCGCATCGCCTCGATGGCATTGCCATCGATCTTCTTGGCCTGATTCCTCGCCAGCCCGACCTGAAGGTAGAGGTTCCAGATCAGCGAGAGGAAGAAGAAGCCAATGGCGGAAACAAAGAACGCGAGGGCAGCGTTGTGCGCGAGCGCGAGTTGCCGATTGGGTGGGTATGGCTCGTACCCACCGCCGCTGCCTGCACCTGAGCTGCGCTCTAATGGGGCGGTGCGCGTCTCGAAGGACTCCTCGAAGCCGGGGATGTCGAGCTGTCGATTAGGTGGGTATGGCTCGTACCCACCACCGCTGCCTGCACCTGAGCTGCGCTCCAGTGGTGCGGTGCGCGTCTCGAACGACTCCTCGAAGGCCGGGACCTCCAGTTGGCGATTGGGTGGGTAGGGCTCGTACCCACCGCCACTGCCTGCGCCGGAGCTTCGATCTAGCGGAGCGGTGCGCGATGCGAATTGCTCGAATGGCGGGAGCTTCGATGCTGCGGGCACGGGATCCTGTGGGCCGGGGACTGGCGGAATGATGGCTGTATGAGGGGGTTTATCGTTAATTCCTTCCCCAGCTTTGTACGGGGTCGGGGTCGGGTCGACAAGCGCAGTCTCCGAATTGATTGTATTGTGCTGTCGGTGGCCTGGGATCCGCATGGCCTCGTCGTGGTGCTGGCGATGGAGATGAACATTTCGATGCCCGTGCACGGGACGAGTGGCAGAAGCTTGTGGCACAATTGTCAGTGCGAGACCAAGAAGCGCCATGGAGGCGAGAGTCTTGATGGGTGCCATCCCAGCGGGAGAGCTGTTGTAGGTGGCTGAAATCGATATTTATGTTGGGGGGTGGGTGTAGCGATTGATCGAGTTAGGTTTGTTCTGAATCTTTCGAGTTGAAGAAACAAAGGATGTGGATGAGTTGAGGTGTGCAGGAGAAGAATTCAGATCAGAGCTCCAGGCTGGGGGAGAAGACGACTTTATACCCATGTCCCGCATGTCCTCGCCTGTTTGTTATAACTCGTTCGTCTCGGTTGTTTGTCACGAACAGGCGTGCGCTGCTGTGTGAGTGTCATTAACTTCCTCACTGTCAAGTCTCATGATCGGTCGGTATCACTATCGCGAATGGCAAGAGGGCAGCGAGTGACGCAGTGGTGTGGTCTGGCCGAGGATATGGATGGGAGTTGTGATGGTGATGAGGTTGAGATCGATGGTTAGATGAATAGATGGACAGATGGATGAGCTGCTGCGTGTAACGTGATCTATGGTGATGTTTGTAGTGAACATGGTTGACGGCGTTCAATATCATCGCGGAAAGTGCCCCAGCAGTTGGAAGATGAATACCACTGCATCACTTCCGATCCCCGAACAAGGTGAAGAGAAGTAAAGGTGTTGCTTCAAGACTGAGTGGAAACCCGTGCGGTTTCTCCAGGGTGCTGTATCACCTTCTTTGCCTCCCCGAGGAAGTGTAGTACTTCTGCTGGACTCCTTACAGAGGCAATTCTTCGGCCGAAGCGTAAGTACTGCACAACATGTGATCGGCATCAACGTCCACTTATCGCCTTCTCCCATTATCAGAGCATTAGTATTGAACGTGGAACATGATACATGTGAGCTTACCTACCTCCTAGTTCCTCCAACCAGCAGCGTCGTGTCAGTCCATCCACCACTCCTAACTCCCACCGAACCCAAAAACCTCTTCATACCAATCCACGCTCCTGCCATCCCGCCACATCCACCGGCCGACGAGTCCTCTAACATGCCTGGATAACCCCGAGGGTCCACATACAAAGATGCTGATACTGTCACTGACGGTCCGACCCTCGTCCCTTGCGTCCGCGGACTGCGTGTCACGCGCCGCCTTAGTGTCCGGCATGGCCTTGAACACTTCATCTATACTCTCTCGCAAATCGGGCCTCCGTCCCAGATCCTGCACCTTAATCCCCCTCGCGCGCAGGAAGGGACTCTTCAACGTTGCAGCAGCATCGGAACCACCCCTATCGAGAGCATCTTGGGATGACCTGGTGCCGTAGATCTCCACGTCAAGAGTGTCTGTCACCCCGTTTCGTAGAGCGTCCAAGAGAAGGTCAATCACCCATTGCGCCTCCCCGAGCGTCTTGGTGATGTAGATGAATTTGATCTTTCTGGACTGCTTCAACAGGGACAGATAGATCGGGAGCGTGTACGTGACGCCGATGCCGCCGGCAACGAGGAGAATGGGACCATTCGAAGAGAAGGTCCTCGACTTCGACTTCGGTTTCGGCCACGTACCCGTATCCGAGCCAAGAAATGCAGGCATATACTCGCCCGCCCCGCCGTAGGGACCCTCGACACGCATGCCTTGCACTAGACCTTTCGTCGCTGAACCCGAACCCTCACATACCGCAATCCGCGCGAGATCCGCCGTCCCCGGCCCGCCTGTATTCCTGAGGACCAGCATGATTTCCACGTGGCAACATGAACCCGAAGTCCTCTGCACATTCGCAATCGTCGCCGGAGTTTTCGGTGTCGCTATACCCTTCCGCACAAGATAGACATGCTGTCCTGGCATCGCGCTTGCTAACGGATCTTCCGCCCCGACGTGGAACGTGACTTGGATCAATCCCCTCGAAGTGCCTGTATTTATAGCTCGACACCTCAACCCCTCAACCTTCCTCGCGCTATGGACCCTCAAAGCTACTCCGAGGATATAAATCACGACAACCTGCCCCACGAACCAGCGCGAATACGGCACATGAACCCACAACGCGGGAATCACGACTCCCGAGAGAAAGACATGCGACACGTAAAACACGGCGTGATACACCCGTCTCCTCACCGTCGGTAAACTCAACATTCCCAAAACGGTAAATCCCCAGAACGCAAGCATACCGAATTGGACGTCCGGGTCTTTGATCCTCCTGCCCAAAACCCCCATCGAAACAAAGAACCAAAGGTACAAGACCGCATGCAACGAAAGGAACAAGTGCACGATCCGCCCCAACAGGCGATGCACACTGTTCAACCTTTCGTGCGTCATCCCCGTCGCCCAGGTTATGGGACTATACCGCGCGTGCTTGATGCTCAGTAAGTAATGAATCGGCAACTGGCTCGCCGCGACGTGGCCCATCGATTTGGTGACGTGCATGTAATCGTCCCCCGTGCCGCGGGTGGTCAGGTAGAGCAGCCAGAAAGTGTAGAGTGTACCAAGGAGCGGAATGTAAAGCGGACCGTACTCAGGTACATATGTCGTTGAGAGAACCCAGGCGATGCGGCGGAGCCGGAGGGGGAGATGGGCCCCGCGTGCCGGCGGGCCTCGAGCTGGTAGACACCTGATGGAGCCAGCATGGAGGCAGCGTCGGTAGATGTATACGGCCAGCAAGATGCCGAGGGGGCTGAGCCAGGCGTGGAGGCCGGCACGGTTGAGTTGATGGCGCCGTGCTTCGAGCTGCTCGGGCGTGAGCTTGACTGTCATGGAGTAGGTCATGTCGACTTTCAGGAGGTCTCCGACTCAGGCCAAGTTTCTACGATGAACAGGCGGTTTCATAGGCTCATCATTATTGCATAGGCCAAAGGTGTTGCGAAAGTAGATTGACGTTGATGTGATTGCTTTATAGCTAAAGTCTAGCACCTATGGGATACTACGTGCTAAGGACAGATCATTACGAGGCCACAGATACGAGGTCGCCTATCCAAGATCTGTAAAAGGGGGTCCTCGGAATCCCTCGCCAAGTCGCCCGAACGAGGCTGTGAAGCCCCTTTTGCCATCTGCGGAAGGGCGGCACTGACCCGCTTGATCTAACGCCGTCTTTCGATGCCGCCCAAATTGCATTCATCAATTAAGTTATGTATCGCAGAGACGACCACAAATAGCATGCCACATGTGGAACAACAGATAGCAGCCGCTTGCAATGCGGTACGGCACAAATGATACGCATTAGATGAGACACATGACCCATGCACAATCGCTCATCAAGCATGCAACTGTACAGCACCCTTGTACTCCAATGACGCCTAGATGAGCCACGGAACAATTCCAGGCTCAAGGTGTTGTCGATCCAAATGACACGCTCTTTCGATACTCTGCGTAGTACCACGCGAGGCGTTTCTCGACTTCCTAAGCGTTCGTGGCCGCCAGCGCCGGTGCTGTTGGTTTGGAACCAATGTCCTCCAAGGCAGCTGGTTCGTCTGCCGAAGGACTCCATTCCTCTATCGGTTGAATGATGGTGCTAGGTATAGGCTCGACCGCAACAGTCGGGTTTTCGTGCGCCACGTCCTGAGGCTGCTGGGCGGGCGACGGCACTTGCTCTTGTCCCAGTTCGAACTGTGGTGCCTTTAGAATGGGCTTTGGTACCTTGGGTGTTTTTGTTGGCGAAAGATGTGATATCGTCGCTTCCACCGCCTCCTCTTTACTCGAACTTTCTGGCATCTTTCTTGGCGGCGGCTCCGGCACATCCCCGAGCTCCCGCGTCCCCGTTGGCGATAGCAGTGCCTCGCTTTGTCGCCTTTGAAGTTCTTCAAGTTTTGCGATGGGATTCTGTCGTCCACAATATTGGCATCTCCAATGCAAAACACGCGGCAAATCAGGTGGCAGGACACGCGAGAGAGGAAACTCAGGCTGGGGGTAGTGGGAGAAGCGACGCACCCATTCTTCTTGCTTTGGTACCCCTTCGGCCGCTGGGAGGGTTCCCTCATCCGCTTTATCATCACCACCCCAGAAGGTAGGTCGTCGTATCGGTGCTGGAGTCACGGGTAAGCTCGGTCTCTCGTCCTTGGTGGGGAAGTCGGTTAGTCTCAGGCTTGGTCGTCGTCTACTCCTATCAGTCGGAGAGGTGGCGCCGCTAGTGCTGCGAGGAGAGCGCTGGCCAAGTGTGTTATACAAGACCTGAAGCTTCCCTTTGCGAGGTTGGCTCATGGCCTGGACATAGCGCTCAATTTCGGGCATGTCGTCCCAGGCATTCGTCCGTTGTTGGAAAGATTCCCAGACATTGATTGGCTCGGGTGGTGACTTAGGAGGTGAGATGAGAGCACCTTCTTTGCTCGCTTCTTCGACGTCGGTAGGCTCTAATTCCGTTGGCGGTTCATCAGGCACAGAAGCTGCCGGCTTCGAAGGAGGCGGCGGCGGAGGTGGGCTGGGTTGCCTGGCCTGAGGAAATACCCGTGTCGGCTTGGGAGCTCTAGATTCCCACGGGAAGATGGGTTTGGGTTTCTCTGGCTCAGGTGCCTTTTCGGGTACTTGGTACCACATATCCTTTGGTGCTTCGGGGTAGTGAGTAGGCGGCTGGAAAAGCGACGTCTCGCTTGACATATCATAGATTGTTGTAGGGAAGTTTGCCGCTTCTGGTTTCGAGTGGGCTGGTGGCGGTGCTCTGCTCAACGTAAGCAACAAAGGACTAGACGCGGATTGATAGACTTACCGTGCCGGGTCCCATTCTGAATGGGGTGCCGAGAATCGCCTTTGCTCTCTTGTGGGGACAGGTTGGAAATCTTGCGGGCCTTGTGGAGTAGGTGCGTCGCCCAGTGGCAGCTCTAGAGTCGTGCTGTGCTCAGGTTGGTCATGTTGTGAATGTGTCTCATGTGGCTGAGATGTTTGGTCTGATGGCGCCGGCTGGTGATGCGGTTCCGGTTCGTGGTGCTGCTGGGGTTGGTGATGCGGTTCTGGATGATGGTACTGCTCTGGTTGGTGATGGTACTCGGGTGCTGGTTCCCGTGGGTAGTGGTCGACGTATAGTGGTTCTTCACCTCGAACATAATCATGCACCGTCTTCTTGGAACCGAATGTCTGGGCATCGTAGTAATGGACCGCCTGCACCTGTTAGCGTTGCAAGTTAAAGCCCCCATTCGGGGCCAGCCCACCTTTGGACGATAATGCCTGTCAAAGACAGACCACCACATCCCCAACAGTTCACCATACACGCCCGTGTTCATCCTGTTGTCTCTGCCCAATGTCCACGGTTTGTCTGCGCCGATGAAATGTACGACGGCAATACTGCTCTGGAAATGTCGATAGGCGGGGACGTATTGGTAGTGGCCACTGGGAGTGCAGTTGTAGGCAAAGCTCAACCTTTCCCACTCGCGGAAGTGCATGTTGAGTAGCCCTTGATCAGCTCCGTCGAAGCTGACGCCCCTCTGCGCCAACGCATACAGCGCGTAGTAATCTGACATGTTGGGATTCAGCACCATCATCCCGCTGTTGAAACAGTCCGGCCAGCCAATATCCGGCACCGCGGCGAAGTCTGTGTCCATGTTGAGGAGCTCGTTGGGAGCTCGGAGAGCCACCATATCGGCATCCAAGTATACAATTCTCTTGAACTGTGTTTGCCGCCATAGCTCGATCTTGGTGAAGGATGATATCAGGTCAGGTCGGTTCATCAGGTAGAGATTTGCAGGGTTCTTGTTGGTAATTTGTTGGATAGGCACAACTTGGTCGTAAACAGTCTGGCTATGTCAGTGGCATGCGAGGTAGGTTTCGGAGGCAGGTACGGACTCGGAGCTCGTTAATCGTGTCTGAGGATAGTTTGTCGACGAGGATAAAGGCCACCAGAGGAGCTTTTGCGCCTCTGTCCTTCATGGAATGGCCCAAGACCATGGCACCTATACCTCAACATCAGCCGGGACCGCATGTTTGTGAGCTCTTCGTCCACATACCCGGGAGGTAACCATCGTTCATGAGCAGCTGTGGACATTTGGGTCAGTATTCACCGGTGCGGGGAAACTGGGAGAAGAGCTTCCTACCGTCGCAAAGACGGAGCCTCCGCTGAGAGGAGCCATGATGCTGGAGGGCCGAGTCGACAGTGAAGGAGGACGGTGAGGAAGGTAAGGATAATATCGGTAGTGGAAGAGAATCACAAGATCACTGTGGTTGCAACTCCAGTGCAACTAGCCCAGGCCGTCTGCAGGGCCTCGCCAGGAAGGTGCTTGTCGACTGTGACTGATGCGATCACTTTTTTGGGGATGGAGGGAAGCTGCGAGTGTATCTTGCTGTCACTGGCTGCTCACGCTCCTCGGTAGGTGCTCAACAGCAAGAGATGCGGGGGACGAGCGCCGGATAGAAGCAGGCCTGCAGCAATTGGTCCAAGCTCCAACGCGCTGCTGCTCGTTGCGCTGGCGGCCACCAAACAGAAGCTTCCGACTGCGGCGAGTCCACACTGACGTCTTGCCCGTTGCTGCAGAATGATGCAGTCGAACAGAAGAGTCAGGCCTCGATGAGAAGTGTCTGAAGGTCAGATGAACTCGCCCAACACAAATGGTGCACGTCTTGCCTTGGCCGTACGCTTTGTATCTTGTACTCCACACTGCTGCTGTTCTGGCTTTGGAATTACTTTTTACTCAACAATCTTGAAAATCTGCAGATGTGTACACAGTGAAAAGCATGTGCTCCTGCTGGTGCCCGTGCGTCCTGCGCACTGCGAGCCGCAGGCTGATCAGACTCCGCTCAAGCCGCGGAAAATTGCACGACACGCCCACATCCCACGCGCACGCCAGAGATAAAAGCTCCGGCGCAATCTCCTTCGAGCGCCGAGTTACGGGCATTGTTGGGCTTCCATCTGCTTGAGCCTGGCACCCCCGTCGCTGTGGCTTGAACGTGCCACCATCTTCGTGGCTAGCAGGGGTTTCTTCGGCCGTTGCTATGGCGCCCGGACCTCCCAGCCCTCAGCGCGTTTCTCATCTCGTAAGCGCGTCGTGGCGGCAGAGAGACACCCAAGAAGAGCGTTCAACATCCGATGAAGCACAACAAGGGCGCACGCAAGGACAGCGACGAGATTCTCGCTCATGCAGCCCGACAGATGGGAAATGATTGACAGGTGCCAGGGCCGGAATGATGCATACAATCACGCGAAGACTAACATTCTGTGTCCCACCGCCTGTATTTGGATACACTTTCCTCCAAAGAAGGCCTCGTCAGTCTGGAAACGTCTTGCGACGCATATCTATCCCCAGCTGACATTGTTTTGCAATCTCAAAGGTTGGCCATCTTTTCTCATAATCTCAAACTCCACAACATTGAAGTCCCAGCAAAGTACCGCAACTTCCCCGCACAAGGAAAGTGGTATCGAAATACTAATCTTCTCTGTTGCCCTATGCCAACAACCTCTCGATATCTCTCAGCGAGCCGGCCCTTCTCTCTTCTCTCTTCACCTTCTCTCCAAACGCTTCACTCGCCAGCTTCCTCTTCTTCGATTGGATCTCCAGCACCTCGTCCTCAATAGTCCCTTCCACAACCAAACGCACCACTTTGCAATCACGGGTCTGTCCGAGTCTGTGGACACGGTCAACCGCTTGATCTTCGATGGCCGGCGCCCACCACGAGTCCGCCAGAATCACCTGGTTCGCCGCAACCAAGTTCAGGCCCACAGAGCAAACAGACAAAGACGCCAGCATGATCTTGCAGGACGAGTCGCGGTTGAGGGATTCAATTGCTGCGTCGCGACGACTCGTGTTCATCTTGCCATCGAGCCGGGTGAAATTGAGGCCATGCCGGAGTAGCTGAGTCTGCACCAGGTCCAAGAACGAAGTCCACTGTGAAAACACCACAGTCTTAACGTCTGCGTCGGCCTCAGAGGCTTTCAGAACCCTGATGAGTGCCTCAATCTTGCTGCTGGTTGTCTCTGGGTCAATATTGAGGTCGATCTCATCGCCTTCCCCAAAATTTGCAGCCGGTTCGACCAGTTGTTCGCTGGTGGCCAGCGCCGTACGGCACATGGGACACTTATGTTGTGTTTCAATGACGCGCTCGATGCACTCACGACAATAAGTATGCGCGCAGGCTGTGATCACTGGGTTCTTCAAAGAGTCCAGGCACACAGGGCAGTCCTCCTGCGAATCGATCTGCACCTGTAGAATGTCTTGTAGGGTCTTTCTGTTGGCCGCGTTTGTGACATCTACCACTTCGTTGGACTCGACCAGTTCCAGCAGTTTGCGCACTCTATCGTCACCACACATCTTCCAGTGATTGCAGCTCTGGCGCAATCGAAGTAACACCTCGAGAAGGTGTGTCATGGTGTTATCTCCCTTCTTGGCTTTCGCAGCCTCGACAAGTCCCTTGGCCTCACTTTTGAATGCGTCATACCTCTCCCGCTCATGCGGCAGGAACTTCACCGGATACTTATGGAAAACAATGCTGGGCAGTTTGAGATCGATGAACTTCATGTCTTTCATCCGGCGGAGACAGAGGGTCGCCATCAGAGCTTGGAGAAGAAGCCGAGCCTGAGGATCGCCGTTCTTAAGCGGACGGATCAGGGTCGAGTTGAAGATCTCAAACTCGGTGAGTCCGCCCGTCATCCGGATGAACTTGACGTGTGAGTAAAGGTCCTTGAGGGTGTTGACTATCGGAGTGCCGGTAAGAACCCACCGAGATGCAGCCTGGAGTGCACATGCGGCTTGCGACATCTTTGCTTTGGGATTGCGGATGTTATGCGCCTCATCCAAAACGAGTCTTCGCCACGTGATAGAAAACAAGCCCTTCGAAGCCGGTACCGGCTTAGCGCTGGTCTGGCCATAGGAAAAGAGCTCCTGAGTCATTGTCTGGTAGGTTGTGATGACGATATCGTATTCTTTCAGCTCTTGGGGTGACAGGTTCTTCTTCTCTGTGCCATGGTAGGTCAGGACACGTGGTTGAAACTTCTTCTTGATATGGTGCTCCGCCTGCCTGCTCCAGTTGGACATGACCGAGAGTGGCGCGATAATGAGCGTCGGGGTTCGATTCTTGTGAGGGTCGGCCATGATAAGCGAGATGACCTGGATAGTCTTGCCCAAGCCCATGTCATCCGCAAGGAGGCCACCGCTCGCAAGTTCGGGCGCCTTGTTTATTGCAAAATTGGTGGCAATGTTGAGGTACCCTTTGCCTATCTTTTTCCACATCTGGACCACATCATCGCCCTTCTGAGGTAGCTTGGGAGATTCGTGGTCCAGCATCCACTGCAGTCCCTGTCTCTGGTATGGCAACAAGATTGTGGCCAGCTCTGGAGGTTGATCTGCCATCGGCATCTTCTCAAGCACATCTTCACCCGTTCCAAGCTTCTTCATCGCGTCCTGAACATTGCGAGGGTTGAACGTGGACGTGCCACTGAGCAATTGCTCCATGTTTTCTTCCGGTTGGCTACTGCTGCCATTCGGCAACACGCCCAGATTGCTGTACCTGTTGTGCCCTTCATTGTCAAAGACCTGCATACCCTTCTTCCTCATCGCGGCGGCTGCCCTTTCCCTGGCCTTCTGCTGTTTCTCCAGCTCCCGCTGACGCTTCTCGCCCTCTCGCTTCGCACGCACCCATTCGGTGACCGGAAGCTTCTGGTCCTGCATCTGCTTGGCAAGAGCAGCGCCGGCAACCGGGTCATTTGTGCCGAACAGTTTGAGCCCGATCGGACAGTCGTAGTAGGTCTTTGGTCCAGTCAGCGCGCCTTCGACGAGCAGCGAACCATTGTCCATCAAGGGCGCCAACTTCGCCGCGACCTGCCGACCAATATGCCCGATCTGGTCGCGGAGCACGTTGTCGATCCGAATGGCATTGCTGTCGTACGGATTGCCGGGTTCGCGCCTGACGCGCACGTATTCCCCAACGGTGGCTTGACCGTCGTAGAACCGACATCCCACGATCTTGGTGTTGAGGATGCCGTAGAGCATATAGCTCTCGTAGACGTCATCGTCGAAGTCCTCGGTGAGGTCAATTTCGCGTGCAATGTCGGCTTCTTGGTCCTGAGTGGAAAGCCAGCTGTCGCGGTCGTCCCTGCCGTGAGATGCTGAGCCGAGCTGGCTCACCGTGGGCGTGTAGTCTCTGTAGATCTGACTCGAACGCTCTGAAGAAGTCGGCACGCTCGGTCTAGGCTGACTTGAAGACGGCGGTGTTGGAAGAGGTGCGCCGCCTTGAGAGGATTTGATGGCCGATTGCGAAGACTCGGGGCCGTCATCGTCGCCGGTGGAAGTCGCTGGCTGCCTCCTTTTGTTCGTGGCAGACTGAGAATCCTGGGGCAGTTTTCTTTTGGGCATCCTGGGCTACCGACACGCGAAGTTGCAGGGGGTAATGAATAGATCGAAGTTAGTGGTTATGGAAGCGAACTCCGAGCATGTGAAAGATTGTACCGACAAGGAGATATGATATGTATTCAGTCATGGAGTACAGCACGGGACGAATTGCATGAGACAGGGAGAATGCGTTCTCTGTGAACCGACGCGTCACGTTTGGCTGAGGTCTCGAAAGCGAAGCGAAGTTGGTGATCACGTGATCGAGGCGAGCCTCGAGAACCGGCGATACGTGATGACTCCAAAGGCTGCACATTGTATCCATTGGATCTGTAGGGAATCCATTGCACAACTCATCTACTCGGATTCCTCTTCATCAGTGTCAAAACCCAGATCGATTTCAGGGATCTCCGAATCATCGCTATCACTGGCATCAACTGGGGCGGCAGTTTTAAAAGTCTTCTCCGGCGGCAGAGCCTCGTTTGGAGCCGAAGCACGATGGATCACTTCAGCAAACGTGCTGGTCCGAGGCTCCTCGATATGCAAGTTGTTCATGTGGCTGCTTTGCGATTCAGACTCTTGCGTCTTCCTCTCGTCTAAGCGCGGTATCTTTATTTCCCTTGAAGCTGCTGTTTGGAAATCAGTGGAAGAACCACCAGCATCGGTTCCATCGATGGCATCGAGCGTGCGCTTCTTTGTCGTGGACTCCAGCATTTCCTCCTCATTACCGTGGTCGGCCGGGCCGGTGGTGTCTTTCGGTGTTGGCTCCTCGCTTTCAACAGTGTCGTCCATGGCATCAAGAGAATCCGTGAGTTTGGATAATATGTCAGAATCCCCCTCGCCTTGCTCGCCGTGTTGTTCGTGGTTAGCTTTCAGCTCGTGGCTCTCCGAGCCTGGGGAGGATCGCGCGGTCGTTTGAGCGACAGACGTTCGTGGCCTGAGGAGGGCTTCGACAACGATACTGTCCGCAGCAGATCTGGCTAAAAATGGCGTGAGACTTGCGGTGGTTGCCTTCCCTTTGTCGGACAGCATCGGACGCATAACACTGGCCAGCATAGCGTCTGTGTGATTCAGTATGATAGATAATCTGTCTATTTCGATCCGGGATTGGCGAGATATCATTGAACTTGGACAGTGAGTGATAATTTGTGGCAGCAGCTCCCAGGCTGCTTGGTACAGCCGGGACTGCCTTCGCAGCGAAAGATAATCAGCTGTTGGCACAGGTCTGGTGCCCAGAAACCCATCCTTCATGGTGTCCGGTCTTGTCGCATCAGAAGAGGGAAGCAAACCGGTTCTGAGGTCGTTACAGCAGTGCTCAATCAAGTACGAGAGGCCGTTTATGTTCAGTCTCGTCTCAGAAAGGTCGATCGTGGCCAGTACGTCGCCGAAGACCATGTACACGGCTTCCCTAATGGTCTCATGCCGTGACATGGCTTCAAAGGCATCCAATGTCTGGTTGAGCATTGCGCCAGCCACTGCTAGAACGGAAGCACCGTAGATTCCAGTCATCTTCTGAAGCACACGAAGGCAGGACAAGTGAATTTGCGGTAAATTGAGCCAGAGCTGTTCCTTTTCATCTCTGGTCGCTTCGTTGTGGTAGCGCAGAGTAGGTGTCGCATTCGACTTGCTTTCCGGCGGAGTCACCGCCAAAAGCCTCGAAGTAAGATCCAGTATGGAACCCAGAGGGACTGTAACAGCCTGCGGTGTCTTCACCGAGATCAGAGCGTCCAACCAGTTAACCAACGTACAAAGCCTGACAGTGCCTTCATAAATCCCTGTCCAGCTGTCCAACCCTGATTCATCCTTGTCCGATATTCTCGGTTCCTTCGAGAAATTGTGTTTCCCAAAAGCTCTCTGGTTGCTAGTGTCATTAGGCTCATGTTCTTCGATGACGGCTCTAAACAACCTGTCGGCTGTGGCTTGGGCGCTGTTAATAATACTAGCAGCGGTTTGAGTCCATTCCAGGGAGACTGTCATCTTTGGCGCACAAGAAATCAGTAGGCACATAAGCTTGATGGCAAGCTTCCTGGTTGTGGCTGACGTGCCGCTTTCCTCGAGTAAACTTTGACAGACTAGCTTAAAGCGTGCGACAAACGGGCGGAAGAGAGTTATGTGATGTGGCAGAAGCTGATTGCAGCACTGAAGGACCGGGTTGAGTAGAGGATTCGCGACTTCGGTCAGATTCCCATCAACTTGTGCTTTCACAGGCCTGATCAGTCCCAGGCATGATGTAAGAAATGGAGGAAGAAGTGGCGTTATCACTTCTCGCAGCAACGTCGGGTGGCCTTGAGTCAGGAGAAAAATGCGAGTAACTGTTCCAAGATAGATCTTCTTGACGTCCACCGAGTCTGGCTTGTTCAAACAACTGAGCAGGCCTTTAGTCCAGACTTCAGAGTTCGCCAGTACGTTTGGGCCGCCTTTGTCGACAATGGCCTTGATGAGAACAGCAGCGGTTAGCCGGCCAGCGGCGTTTCTGTCTTGGAGCAAGGAAGCAATTCGTGTTTTGAGCTTGTGTGCGGTCACAGAGCTAGCAGCCTTCTTGCTGTCGGAAAACTGATCTTCGAGCTGGCATTGAGCCAACGCTGTTGCGAGAAAGCCTGCTATTCGAGGAAGATGGTTGATGGGAGTGGTCGTCAGGCGTGTCGTGATTGCTCGAAGAGCGCTTTCATCCTGCATATCGAAGCTGGACCGGCTGAGATGTTGGGCTGTCCTAGAAGGTATCGCTTGTCCTCTGGTGCCTAGTTGTATTGATGCATCAAAATACTGGATGGATCCATGTGCGGGAATTTTTAACTAGGCGAACGCGACCGGCTGGAATTGGGGCGAAGCAGAGTGACCATGACGATAAGAGCCTGACAGCCACTACGGTGACGCAAAGTACACCTACGCATCTTTGACACGAAGCATGCAACGACGAGAACCACCAAATCGTGATCGCAGAAGCACCCACGCACCCTCGTGACCATATTAGAGCGGAGCGTCGCACGTCGAGTACTCCGTTGCGCCTAGTCCGAGTGGAATCATCAAGTCGATGCCGGAACAAGCTCCTAGATCCTTTGGCATCTTAGACAATAAAGGACCAAGTGGGGATCGGCATCCGATAACTCAAGGATGCCACACGCGCCTAGTTGCTGTGGACATTGCAGAAGGACGATGCCGTGAGGCAGCGAGTTAAAGATGGAATATGCCGAGACTGCTACAAGAGCCTGGGTCTCGTCGTTGTTTCTATGTGCAAGTCGGTGTGCTGCGAAGCGTCGCCGCTAGATAGAATCGAAGCCATGTAGTCCCGTCGAATACATCGAGGATCGTGCCCGCCTCAGCGAAAGTTCTTTGCTGTTTCAAGTCGAGTATGAGGGCAGGATCATCGGGATCTCTTACAGCATAACCATCAAGCTCGACGTTGTCCGGCGTTAACGTTGACACAAGGAGAGGAGGGGGTGGCAGGAATAAAAGCGGCACGGTCGGGCGCGCCCCGAAAGTGAGCGCCTGAGCAGATCATTGGCAATGACCACATGGCACCCACATGGCGCATTCACCACCTGCAAAGTATCCAGACAAGTTGTACAGGAACCTAGCAGGTCAGCCGGGTACATGGAGCTGCAACGATGTGTGTGTAATGATGTCTCCATCATAAAGCCCCGAGCACTGCACCGCGATCGTCTCAAGCATCTCGCAGAATGAGTGTATGTCTGCAACTTTTCTTCGACACACACATGCCTCCCTTGACTGACAAACTCCCAGGGTCACCATGAAAAGGCTCAGCGCTATATCGGCCTTCTCGAGGCAGCGCGCGTCGCCGGCAATTGGGGCGAATTCCCTGAGCTCATAAGAAAAGTGACCAAACACGCCCCTGACCGGAAGTGCCTGATCCAAACCGCAAAGCTCGAGTCCGACGTCGCCCAGTATGCCCTCCCACCGAACCGAAGACCCGGTACAGCCACTACGAGCCAGCCGATTGCGGACTCGCAAGTGGTCTCTCTCGAGTCCCAACTGCGCGCGACCGGGGCACCTTCTGAAGAGCTAGTGCAGGGTCAGACATCTTTGCTTTGGGCGCGTTGGGTGGGAGTGTATAAGACAGAACGTCCAGTTCCTGCCATCACTTTCGAGCCTGTTCGCACAGCAGCCGATGCTACCTCGCTGTGGACAAAGATCTGTGTTGTGAAAGCCGTATACGTCCGCGCGCTGCTATACATACAGAGCGGCGACACCAAGCGGGGCACCGAGCTCCTTGAGACTCTACTGCCATGGCTCGACGCGAACCGGAGCCTTGTAGTGTCGACGCCGCAACTCCTCTACTGGGCACAACAGCTGCTGGCACGAGTAGCGCTGGGACAAATGCAGTCAATAGCCCCCGCCAGCCCAGTTGACCATGAATCTGCGTCCTTCAGGCTGCAAGCATTCCGGCATTGGGCAGTACTGGCCGTCAAGAACCAAGGCGTCTCGCCCTTGACCTATGGGAATGCTCCAGGACACCTATCTAAGCTAGAGATGTGGAGGGCCTACTATCGCTTCATGTCCGCCATCCTGCAGAACAAGGAAGGAATCGCTCACCACGTCCCCTTGGTACCTTCTGACTTGGCCATTGAGTTGCGGCGCGTGGAGGCATCTTACGAGAACGAACTATTGCGCAACGTGCAATTTCCCAAGGCCACCGAGTCGAACGCGGTCATTGAGGGTTGGGTAGAAGAGTTCATCCGCAATTGGCAAATTCTTTGCGGTCCCGGCTGGTCGGACTCCGATCTGGGCGAAGGCGGTCGGAATTCGTGGGGAAGGAATGTTCTTGACGTGCTCTACAGAGCTGCAACGAAATCATTCCACTCCACGTTGGTTCTCAGGCGCTTGTTCCAGGTCCACAAAGCCCTGGCCGACTTCGACTTGGCGTACAAGGCTCTAGAGACTTATGTCGAACTCATCGACCGAGCTCGTGCACGTGCGGCAAAATCAGAAAGCTCGCAAACTTCTGCCACCAGCAGAGATAGCGACGAGGTTTTTATGAAGACCATTGCCGAAGGCATTGAAGGGCTGTGCTCCTTTGGTGGGAGGGTCGAGGCAGAAAAGGCCCATAAGCTCTGCGAGAAGCTTCAGGATCTTCTAGACGAAATCGAGCCTCCCATTGAACAAATCGCACCCAACGGCTTTGGATCTGCTAATGGGCACGCCAACGGCCAGATGCCATCGCCGGCACCTCTGTCAGCCGACTTGATCGATGTGACGTATAGGGGAATTGGCCTCGGAAAGGCGCACTGGGCACGATGGACACCTTTCAGTGAGAACCGTACGACTTTGCAGTCCGAAGCCGTGGAATACCTGCAAAAGGCTGCCGCGCAGGATCTTCCTGCCCGTGAACACCTCCAAACACTCTTCGCTCTCGCTCGACTGCTCGCCGAAACGCGGGAGATCGACCAGGCGCTTGCCGTGGTCAAGAGAGCCTTGTCTTCAGAAGTGGAGAATGATGAAGGAGACACCTCGTATGGTTTACAGCGTCAGCTGATGCCGTTCTGGCACCTGCTGGCTCTGTTACTAACCTCGCGACAACAGTTTGAAACAGCAAGTCAGAGTTGTGCGGCAGCATTCGAGCAATTTTCTCCTCCCGAAATCATGCTCGGTGACCCTGCCGGTGGCACACACCGCGCAACAAGCCAAAAACTAGGATTAGTCGATGACATGGAATGTGGGGAGCTGCAGAAAATCATCGAAATCCGCATTACCGAGCTGGCTCTGACCGAATTGATGGAGGGCCCTGAGCACGCAGTCAACAGCAGCAACGATCTTCTTGCACTTTATTCCCGGGTATTTGGTCGCCACGGAGCAATCGCCATTAATGAAGAAACTACGAGAAAAAAGTCCGTTGCACCCCCTAAGAGCTCTCATGGCACCATCAGAAGTCTTCCTAGCAAGCTCCTCCATCGCAAAAGGCTGGGCCGGTCCAGCGAGTCCAACAAAGGTGCACCTTCCATAGAGGAAGTCAGACCGATTACCCAAGCAACGCAAACGACACAGGCGCCAACCATCCATGTCACGGATGAAGACGAGAAGAGCTCTCCTCCGAAGCATAAACTGTTCCATCTCCACGATCGCGAGAGTCGTTCTCCCCGTGCTCTTGAAAGTAAGCATTCGAAAACGCGGCTCTCAAGATCCTTGGGTCGAGGAAAGAGAGCACCCAGCCCGGCATCGAGTACAAGACAGTCATTCGAGTCGACGCACGAAACACAACCAGCAAACGCAAATGGTGACGAGCGCCAACCCCACGCACGATTAGAGACCATCCAGTCCGCCGACGTCCCGGAGGTCCCAATCTCACCCGACCATGACACAAGCCCGACAGCGAAGCAACCCCTCAAAGAAATCCCACACAACCTCTCCAGCCACGAGAAGGTACCACCGCCAGCAAACCACCGCAACCAGCCTCCCTCGCAAGACGTGCGTCTCCCCATCGTGGGACCAGGGCTCCGGACAGATCCCATCCCGCGCTTCCCCAAAACCGTCTCCCAACGCCACGCGCTCAGCATCCTCGTGAAAATCTGGCTCGTCATCGCGACGCTCTACAGACGGGCCCATATGTTTGAAGACTCGCGCGAAGCCACGGACGAGGCCGCCAAAGTCGCCATGAAGATCGAAGGGATGATCGCCGCCGTGGAAAGCTCCGCCCGGGCTTTTGGCGCCGTGGGCTGGGGCGGGGGCGGCAAGTCGTCCGACGAGCTCTGGGCCGACGTCTACTGCGAGCGCGCCGACCTTCTCATGGCCATCGCACGCGCGAGGGAGGAGAAAGAAGCCTGTCTGAACGCCGAGACCGTCCGCGACGCCGTCGAAAGTTACGAGCAATGCCTAATGTACTTTGCAGACCACCCGGGCGGGATCGTCGGCCTGAGTAACGTGCTCCTCGATTACTTTGAGCGGAAAGTCGAACTGGCGAAACGGATCGATAACGGCAGGCCACGGGGGGATGATGTCCAGCAGCAGCAATCACAACAGCAATCACAACAAGCAGTAGCAGTTGACGAACCGTCCACGTCCCGCCCGAAACACAAACGAGAATGGTCACGCGCTTCGACCTTCCCAACCTCCACGGGCATCGTAGCCGACACAGGCATGGACCACTCCAACTCGCACAACTCGCACAACGGCGCAGGTGCGGCTCAAGACTCGTCCGATCTTAAGAAGACGCCGGAGAACCTGAACCGCCTCGCGGCGCGCGATCGGGCGTATGGCCTGCTCTCCAGTCTCACGAAGTTAGGCTCGGGCTGGGATAACGCTGAGGCGTGGTTCGCGCTGGCCCGCGCGCACGAGTTGGGCGGCGAGCTGGAGCGGGCCAAGGAGATCCTGTGGTGGTGTGTCGAGTTGGAGGATACGAGGCCGATTCGGCATTGGCGGAATCTGGGGGGTGGAGGGGGGTATGTTCTCTAAAGCAGCAGTACGGATAGACGGGTGGACCTTGGGACGGTGGACGAGTGAGGATCCACGCGTCGGTGGAGGACAAAATTCGAAAAGCCAAGGAACTGCAGCTACATACTAATATTGGTGCTACTTCTATTGCAGGACAACTCCTGAACAGCCTTCACAGTTGAATTTTCCGGTCCTGAGCGAATTCCTACTTGGATGAATACTGTGCACTTGGTATTCGCTATCATCATTTGTCTACTGGGTCTCGTAGGAGAACCCTGCGAGCCAGACAGCCTCCCAAGCTTTGATTTCTGTTTAGGGCGAACACGCGAATGCATACTCTGTGCTCTTTGATGGTCATTATCGTTAGTTTAACATCTGTTTGTGCCCCGTGGGTGCCTGTACTGGCCTGTTCTACCACCAAATTGACCCGTGCTGTGCTGTGTCACTGGGACATACCCTGTTCATTTGATCCTTCGACCTCTATGTGTCCGTTGATACCCTCGATGCTGAATCGTCCCGCTCTAAAGTCTCGTTGTATCAACCAAGACGAAAACCATGACCAGAACGCAGTCTTCGTCAGCGCCTCTAGTTCCATTTTTAAACGCCCAGAGATGCAACGTCGAAACGTCGAGATAACCCACAAACCACGGATGATGCATGCTCGCTCAATCAATCAACCATACAACCATACAACCATCGCTATACTCCGTACATAATGCTGATATCAATGCAGACACAGACGCCCATCAGAGATCGTGTGTACCGTGATTGTCGTCATCTTCATCCAGAAACAGTAAGAAAAATGCTGCCCGCCTGCCGATGCTGGTATGTACGCCCATATGTGCATACTTCCTGTATGTCGTGTTCTGGTCCAGAACTGGCTGGCCAGATATCATTCATGATTTCTGTACAGGGCGAAGAATATAAGAAACACGGAGTTCCTTGGTGGGTTTTTTCTGGGTTATTCTTCTGCCGGCCAATGGCCACACTCCGTTCGAGAGACCTCACGACAAAACCAACGCAGCCACCGCAAAAACTGCCACGACCATGGCACTCATGCTTGAAGCTTGCTTATCCTTGGAACCCGCGTTGGTGCCCGTGGCTGACGATTCGCCAAGTCTGGCGCCGCCGTTGGTCGCACTCACGTCGCTTGCCGGGTCGGAGACGGGACTGGCGTTCGGGACGCCATTTTCACCCTTCGTGATCATCTGGACATTGTCGGTCGTGGAGTTGAAGACGGTCTGCGCCAGGCTGATCTCGTTGTTCTCGAGGTCGTACACCACATAGGCGGACCGCAGGAAGGTATCCCCCAAAACGGCCATGCCGCTTTGAGCGGGGGCGATGCCAAACAGGCAGGCTTCGTCACCGTTGGAAAAGGTGATGGGCTGGCCGAAGTTGTTGGTCCCGGCAGAGAGGAAGAGTTCGTTGTACGGCACCTTGATAGTCACGCCGGAGAAGGTGTAGTCGATGGTGGCGGAGGAGGAGGCCAATGCGCACGGTGCGTACGCGGCGCCCACGTCGGACTGGTAGACCGCTTGCACCGAATTATAGATTTCTTGGACGATGTCGTTGGGGAGGTAGGTGAGCGTGGCGCCGGAGTCAAGCAGCACAGCTGTGGGCAGCGAGGATGAGGAGGAGAGGTCGGAGCCGGCATTCGTCAGTCCCGTCAAGGCGAGGGTGAGTTCGTAGTATTCGCCGCTTTCGGAGAGGATGGGGAGGGTGGCGAGCTCGCCCTCGTATTTTTCCGTGTTGACGCCGCCGAACAGGATTTCTCCCGTCGAGGCGTCCAGGTCGTTCAGCCACAGCGAGTATGCGTTCGTGGCGATGTGACCGGCGTTCAACAGTGCTTGAGGAAGATTGGGATATGGGTCCAGGTTGGCGCGCTGGACTTGGACTTCATTTGACATGTAGCCGATGCCTAGCACGCCTTGTTGGGAAGAGGAGGTCTCGCCGATGCCGAATTGGAAGTCGTTCAGCGTAACGCCGCCAAATCTCAGAGTGTCGGACACATAGTCGCCAATCGCCGCACTGCCGTCGACGTAAGAGATGTTGAACTGGTCGTTGACAAATTTGTAGGTGGATGATTGGGAGGACGAATACGTCCCGCCTTCGCAATTATCCGCACTCGATAGGCAGAAGGAAGAGCTGGCAGTGTTCACCCACAGATCTGAACTGCCCGTGTCGATGTGCAGCCGTAACGATTGAGCGGGCGTGCCGAGTGTGATATTAGCATAGTAGAGGCTCTGGTCGTTGTCCAGTGTCTGCTCGACGGTTCCTGACGTCTGCCTCTTTCGCAACCGTGATTTCTCATGTGCAAGAATATCGGGAACATGTCTTCTTTCTATAGGCAGACTCAGTGTTCGTGGAGAAGCGTCGGAGTGGGGAGCGAGGTGGATGGCGGAAACGATTGGAGCGCTCAAGGCGGCGGCGGCGGCGACGGCCACCACGGCTGGCGAGGTTTTCATATTGTACGATCGCTTCAGTTTCAGTCTCAGTTTCAGTAGTACTGGGGAATCTTGAAAGTCGCTAGAGGATCTGGAAAAGTGGTCGAGCGATTCCCAAGAATGGGGGGTTGGTGACTTAAGCGAAAATTATTCACCAAGTGACAAGCAGACACGCAACAAACCGAGCGAGTGACGCTTTGATGACTGACGACAAGAAAAACCCAAGAGCGACTTGAAGGAACCAAGGAGCAAAAGCAAGGAAAGCAAGGCGGGAGTGGGACGAGGGCGCAGGAATCATTTTGTATGTACTCCGTACGGAGTAGCTGAATCGGACTGGAGAGTAAGCATCATGCAAGGCGCAGTGAGAAGGTGCGTATGCAGTCTCTGGGACCTGAAATGCGGCTCGCTGAGCCCACGTTACGTGCATCAGGCCCGCCATTGCGGACGCATCCGATGGCTCCTTGCCTCAATGGATCACAGATGCTCGGTCATGCGAGATCGTGGGAGTCCACCAAGAGGTGCAATAGATGACGTGGAGAGCCATCACCACCAAGCCCTATATTACAGCTTTCGCGGGACCGGCCAACTTGGCAGTGCCTCGAAGGTTGCGTCGACGTCAAGAATTTTTTGGCGTCGAGGTGTGAATCCACAGTATGGGGTTACGCGGCGCCGGGAGCCACGACGCAACGTCAGTGGCGGATGCCAGGTGCCACACCAGATGCAGATGGACGCTTGCTCGACGGCATCGTGCCGGAGTCGAAGCAAACAAAGTGCATACTTGTAACTTGTAGCCGTCTACCTGGACTACGTCGCGGATTATCCGGTTTACAGCAGCCTTGATGCGCAAGCACATCGACAGAGCCGCCCCTCTAAACATTCTGTGCAGTACGGAGTAGATCGCCTTGCATCCCTCAACGGCGATCAGGCTCGCCGTAATCTGGGGGCTGGTGACGACGCTGGCGGCCGTTGTCGGCATCTCGGACACGATGCGAGGGGCGATGTGGGCTTTGGTTGCTGCTAAAAATGGTCCGCTCATGCCTGAAGTCCAGCCGCATGGCGCGATCTGGCCCTTGCGATTGGTGCCATAACTGTCCGCTTTTGGGCCTCCAGCCACAAGCCACCACGAAAGCTCAACGCCTGTCTCCGATGGAGGCTTGGCATAGTCCGCCAAGGCCTTCGGCCCTTACGCACTTCGTCACTGTGTAGATATCATAAGCACACAGGTAAGACGTAGACACAGTACGAGGTAATAGAACTTGTGGCGTTGGAATGAAGCACATGTGTCTTTCGACCACATTGTAATACACAGTAAACCGGTATCATTCGGAAGCCGGACTTCGAGCGAAGCATGCTCATCTTGCGGCCAACAAAGCTGTGTGCTAATTAACTAGCCCGTCCTGCCCGTCTACACCTCAAGCTATCTTGCCTCGATGTCGCCAGGTTTCTCATCGCTCGATCCGTCGTCAACGCTTCCCTTGGCCGGCGACCGAGTGGCTGCTTTTTCTCCCGCACCAGCACCAGCCGCTGCTCCAATGCGTACATCCTTGTCTCCTGCGTCGGCCTCAATCGCATTGACAATGCCCGGTGTTTGCGGCCCCGTGAAGTTCTTCCGGCCGTCAAATACCCACGTCACAATTGATACCAATCCTATGACGCCGAACGCGGCCGAGCAATAGTTCATGTTCTCGCCAGTAACGGGTCCGACCTGTGGGAAGTTGAAATCGATCCCTGCAAAGATCAGGAAGACGAGGCCGACGGCGTTGATGTAGGGGCTGTACTTCCCCAGTGTATACTGTCCGTTGATCGTGACTGCCGAAGGATTGGAGTGCGTGACAAGGGACCAAAGGCGAACGAAAAGGGGCGCCGCATAGGACAGGTAGAATCCGAACGTGGCGATGGAGATGACGGTGCTGAAGCCTTCATAGGAGGCGTAGTAGATGCTATTCAGGCCCATTTGCAAAACCATGCACAGCAAGATGCTGTAGACCGGAACCTGGGATTTCTTGTCCACTTTGGCGAAAATCTTGCTAAAAGGCAGGCCGTGGTCGCGCGAGAACGCCCAAAGTGCGCGACTTCCTTCGGCCATGAGCGAATTCGCGCATATCACAACGATCACGGTGATCATCGCTGCCAGAGTGGTCGCGCCGCCAATTGAGGAGGTGCTGTCGACAAAGATCTGGATTAGCGGGACGCCAGTGGGTGTGGTCGCGGTAGCTTCCAAGTCGCCGATGCAGAAGAAAGCCGAGATCAGAAAGACGAAGCCAGTTACAGCGCCGAGGTAGACGGAGAGGATGATGGCTTGAGGGGCTTCTTTGGCAGGATTGAGCATCTCTTCAGTCATGTGGCTGTAATCGATGTTAGCATCGTCGCCAGGTGCCGAAAGACAGGGCTTACGTACCTAGGAGCATCGTAACAGCACATTCCTGCAGATGGTGTTAGCGCATGCAGACAAGTCAGATCATCTAACAAACCAAACAACGTCTGCAAAAGCCCAATCATAACCGCCATCCCGCCCGAACTGAATCCCGTAGCATTCTGGAAGTCCGAGAACACAAAGCTCGCCGGCTGTTTGTGATCATTGGTGGCGAGGATCGTGATCACAACGACGAAGAAGCTCAGGATATTCCAGATGACGGCAAAGGTTGAGATTTGATTGAGGAAGCGAGAGCACAGGATGTTGACTGCGGCGGCGATAATGGCGATCAGGTAGGTTACGAGGACGACATGCCAACGCTCGATGGTATAAGATGGATTATTCAAGTTGGCCATGCCGAGGAGGAAATTCGCGGTGATCTAGACTAATATCAGTAAACACGATCCTCTCTTGAACCACAGGATACGACGGACAAAGTTGTTCACAGCGCCCATAGCCACGATGCCAGTGCACATGAACCAACCAGTCACGAAGGCGGAACCCCGGGCGTACTTTGGCGGCGCGAGGATGGCGACCCAGCTGTACTGACCACCCGCGGTTGGATACGCGGAGCACATTTCGGCGAAAGAATATGCAACGGTGAGCGACAGTAGGCAGATTCCCACCCAGGACCAGACCATGACAGGAGGACCTCCCGCCTCAATCCCGACGATCAAAGTACCTCCCAAGGCTGTCCAACATGTGACGATTGAGAAGCTGAACCCTACCATCCCGAGGAGGGAGAATGAGCGTTTGAGCTCTGTTGGAAGAGACACGGTCAGACCTTGGAAATTCGTACAATCCATGGGGAATCCCTTCGTACCTTGTTCATACCCAAGTTGAGCCAATTTTACCTCATTCGCGACCGTAGAATCAAAGGCCTCGTTCTTCCTGCCGCCAACGATTGACGACAGCCGTCGCGCAGCCATGTTGCCTGCAGCAGAAGGAAGGGCTAGACTGATAAGCGCAAGTCCAACACAGTTCAGAAATGTGGATTGGCATTAGACGAGACGCAAAATGAAAGACGACATGGTAGATATAACCATGTTCAACGGATGAATCATTCGTGAACATAACAAGCAACGAGTAAGCTTCACGAGCTTATCTTCCACTTCCATGTGGCTTGCGCAGTTGAAACCTGGGCAGATCGAGTCACCACCGCCCAATCGGGACCAAGATGAGAATCCGTTATCGCAGAACACCCACAGGACGGTGCCTGGGTCCGAGAGCAAATAATTAATCCGTGGTGAGGTTTCCAGGAGATCACCGTCATCCGACACATGGGTCAACCTAATGCCCAGACAATGATAATCAGAACGGGGCCCCTTCGAAGCTCGACCGTGTTGTTAGAAGCTATGCCAGGGAGCACCTACGGGAGGTGGAGGGTCAGTCATGGAGATGGACGTCCCAGGCTTCGCTGGGGTCTGGAGTCTTTGTAGCGATCCGGCGACCTTGTGCGGCTGCGGCTGCGCATGCCAGGCATAGCAGAGCAAACACCACCAACACCAGTGTCGACAGACTGGCATTCAACAGAGGAGAAGATATCGACGTCAATCCAACACGAATCAGGCGGGTGGACGATAAAGTCCAACTGGGTCGAAGGAGCTGGGAAATCCCATGCGGACATGTCCGTCATTCGTCCTGCGGGCAGACATGACGAGGCGACGCCGGATGGCTTGGCCTGCCCTGGCCTGCTTACTGTAATTAGGTGCTCTGATGTTGACTGGAGACGCTCGCGGAATCTCTACTCTGTACACCATCAACCACATCTAGACCATTGGCGACGTCAACGACTTCAGTGCGTCGCCTTCTCATACTTCTCCCCCAAAGCACCATACCAAGCATCGATGACTGCCCCTGCCGGCCCAGGAGCAATGATATCCTTCCCCTGCTCCCACCCCTGCTCGACCTCCTGAATGAACTCATCCACACTCATGGCTGCCTTGTTCTTCTCCTTCGAATTGTCACTCGGGTCCGTCCTGTCGCGGTGAAGAGCCGTCGAGACAGTGGGCGGGGCGATCTCGACGACCTTGATTTTTCCATTCTTTTCGTACTGCGTGCGCAGGTTCAACGAGAACATGTGGACCCATGCTTTCGTGCCGTTGTATACTGGATTAATCACACTCGACGGTAGGAAACCCAGGACGCTCGAAACATTCATGATGACGCCCTTCTTGTCCTGCGGTAAGCTGGTGAAATGCGGCAGGAATGCCAATGCCAAGTGCATCGGTCCACGGATATTGATGTCGATTTCCTCGTCCGCTCGGGCCAAGTCAAAGCCGTATTCTTGCTTCTCGCCAATGTTCGGGAACTGGAATGGTCTTTGCACGCCAGCATTGCTGATCAGGCAGTTGACGTCCGGATGGGACTGGAGGAGCTGCTCGACCGTGCTTGGAATTGCTTTTGTGTCGCCCGTGTCGAGAACGTAGTATCCAGCAGCATTGATCTCGGAGACGGTCGACTTCAAACTCGACTCGCTTCGTCCGATCAGGATGACTTTCTTGCCGGCGCGTATCAAGGATTCAGCCATTGCTTTACCCAGCCCAGCGTTGCCGCCAGTTATGACGGCTGCCTCGATGAGTGAGACTGTTGATTCCGGCATTCTGCTGTCTCAACAAGGCTACAGGAAACGATGGGTGAATTATCCGTGATATGTCCTTGACGTGTTTACCAGAAGCTGCTTCCTTTGTGGCGTCAGCCTTCTGATTCTTCTGCTTTCCAAACAATGCCGGGATGATTCGCGTGAGCAAGGAAGGCGATTTCACTTCAGCCAGGGTGAACTCTTCCTAAATAATAAAATAGAGTATACTATACATACTAGCTGCACATGTTACGTGAGTGATGCACATTCTCCAGAAGTGATGCAACACCTGAATCACCACTCACAAACTCGTCCAGTATCATGACGTGATGGCTCACATTCGACTTAGCACGATAGTTTGGACGCTGTCTGGGGAATGGCGTGTCCCTCTTCGAATGTCTTTATCATTGCCTGCCCTCCAGGCTTGCGCATTGACCCGGGGATGCTTTCGGGGAAATGTCGAACCATTGAGAAGTCAAAGAACACCTGCCATTTCCGATCGCATGTCGAGCATGTCACCACAATCATTGTATTCTACGTCTCCGCAGCTGCCTCCCACTGGGTGATGGGAAGAGGAGCGCTCTACGGACGCCTTTTCATGCACCCTTAAGAAGGCCGGAGACAGGCTCTGGGTACAACCTCGGCCAAGACCAGCTTGTGTCGAGGCGCAGTATAAGCAGTAACTTTCGCACTTCAAACCATGCTAGGTACTATTGGTGGGCACTACTAGTCATGATAGCTCACAAAGCATTGCACTGCATAAGTATTCCCACCTCCCGGAAATACTGCACAGCTCAATCCCTATCATGCGTGTTCACCATTGCCAGCATGCGCGACACCGTGTAAAGCAGCAGCCCAAAGACGCTGCATTTTGCAACTTGCCATGCTGTGCGCATCGTCCTCCAAATCACAGACCGTCGTTCTGGTCTACCACGTATCTCTCTCTCCATCCCGTTATCGTGGGAGATATAGGTTCGTCGATTGATGGTGTGGTTTTATCGATGCTGCAGAAGGAGCACTCGGCCGGTGAACAAGCGGCGTTCGTGGGAGACGAGGTCGATTCTCACGGTTGTCTCCTGCCAAATCGAAAATTGACCGGCGCCGTGCCTTGCTGTCCCGAACTTGTTCGTCGCTATCGGTATCTTCGGCGAGATCAAAGACAGAAGAGCCTCGCCGTTTCTTTAGTTTGGTATTTATCAAACTCATTGGTGGTCTTCCTTTAAGTCCAGAGTTGCTTTGTGGTGTTCCGCTAAAGGAATTCGAGTCTGGGACACCGTCGCTTTGAACAGTGAGAGGATCCTCGGTCGGTTTCGCGACTTCGCGAAGAGGACTCGATGTTGCGGGCTGGCCCAGACTGACACCAGCAGCGGGTTCGTTGAGGGATGCTCGTGCTACCCGCTCAACTACTGACGAAGTATTTGGTGATATATTTGAGAACGTTGTGACGTGTAATAGCGTGTTCGAATGCTCGATGGGAAGCACTTTTCGAAGTTTCGGAGCAGGGGGTCGTACGGTCGCCACGTCTTCTCTAGATTTCTGGTGGCCACCCTGCCTGGTCTTATGTGCCGAAGGCGTTGCGGGTTCCAGGAAGTCTTCGGAATACTGACTGGAAGATTCCGCTTGTGGTTCAAATGACTTTCTGATCGGAAGAGGTTCTGAAACCGCTCTAGCACCACGGCGAGGTTCTGTTGTGGTTCTCGTGGCGGTCGGGGACAGAGAAGGTGGCTGGTGGTTCGGAGACACCGAGTCCGCTCTGATACGAAGACGGGCTGCAGATGTTGGTGACGACGTCTCTATCGACGACAGAACTTCCGCTGAGAGGCCCCTATTCGGGCTTCTTAAGGGCCACAGGCCTTGGTGCATCTGCCTAGGAAATGGCTTATACGGCGGCTCGATCGGAGACTGGACACGCCTCATGCTTCTTCTAGGTGGTCTGAGAAAGGCTTTGGAGCACTTTAGCTGTTTGATAGTGACGCTATCCTGAAACTCGACGATATTTGACCTTGGGATCTGTGGACGCCAATGTTTGACTGTCCGCTGGTACAGGTCCTCGAAGTCATTCTTGTGGACTTCATTGTAGAACCACGAGTGCTGGAGGGCTCCTTCTGCTGTTAACCGTGCTTCTTCTTCCAGCACCAGAAGCTTCTCGACAAACTCCTTCGGACGCTGGCGAACTACCTGCCACTCTTTTGAGTTGCGAAGAAAGTCCAGGTTGCAGTCCCTGGCAAGCCTTTCGGAGTATGTGTTCGTATTGGGGTCACAGAAAGCCAGTCCTCCGGTCAGGAGGACGACTGTAACACATCCCACGGCCCACATATCCACAGATCGGGTATAACCTGGCCTTTCCGGTTCGACGTTTGACTTCAGATAACCGAGGATCTCGCTGAAGGAGTATTAGCAGCCGATGACTTTCGAGCAGTGGTAAGACATACGGTGCAGCGTATTCGTGGGTGCCAATGATCGATGACATGCGATGTAACCTGTTCTCGATTCTTCTGGCAGCACCAAAATCTGTCAGGATGACTCGGCACCCTGCAGCCAGACTGGTCATGAGAACGTTGTCAGGCTTAATATCGCGGTGAACAATGTTCTTGCTGTGTAGAAATGACAGTGCCATCAAGATCTGGCGGACGATGACGGCTGCCTCGACTTCGAGTAGCTTGCCATTCTTCGATTCGATGTAGGAGAACAAATCGCCGGCCGTGACGATATCTTGCATGATATACCTGTCCTGTCAGCCCTATACAAGTAAGATCTCGGCTCGCTCACATGGTATTGTCTGTGATGTACACCTTCTCAATGCCAATGATGTTGGGCTGTGCGGCAAAGTCAGCGTGCACCGAATGTGTGCTCTGTCTCCTTACGTGACTAATTGATGCAAGTATATCGACTTCACGGTAATACTTGCTCAGTTGCCTTTCGAGGGCGTCTTTTCTTTTCTGCTGAATTGCCCAGGCTTTGAGTTTGCGGACCTGCGCACGGTTGTCAATGTCTTCGGCGGCAACAGGCTGATCTGCCCTTCCAAATTTTGACTGCGCTCCTGGCACAAGCACTCGTAGATCGACAACCTTGCATGCAACTTGGTATCGGTTGGTTTGCTCAATTGCCATGAATACCTTGCCAAACGCGCCGGAACCGAGGAGTCTGTCGCTCAAAGTGTAATCTTTGCTAAATCTCTATCCCCTGTCAGAACGAACAACAAAACACCAGGGCGCAACCATACCGCCATCTCGGTCTCTTGTATGTAGTCGAAGGTCTCAGGTGTGCGACTGGAGGGCATGGCTGTGAAGACGAGGTATGTCCGACGGCTCAGTCGCAAAGTATCTTGGTCACTAAGCAGAAAGCCTCCGTTTCCCTTGCCAATAAAGGAGCCGTTCCAATAGGTGCCGTTCAGAGACAAGTCTTCCGCATAGACAAGGTTTTCAACTCCACTTGGCTCGTCATCCTCGTAGACGACGGTATAGATTCTGAGGTGGCGTTTCGAGATGTAGGGATCATTGAGCACATATTGGCTGGCCTGTGAGCGCTGTTCACATGGAGAAGCTGCCACCCTTACCAACGGCTCCTGTCACGGCCAATAATAACCTCGCGACTCGAATAGATCTGCTTGCCTACGAAAGGATAGTACGACCAGAGACAGACTCGTATTCGAAACAGGCTGCAAACCCACTTCCCAGTACTTTACCGCTGTGATCCTTGTGGGTGAGGATGCCGGCAGGGCCTGTTACGGTTGAAGCAGATAATGTGCTGCCGACGCGACGAATACCAGAGAGAGGGAGCGTCATGTTTGAAGAAGCAAGGAATCAAGTCAATCATGCATGGGTGGAAAGGGAGAGTTGGACCCGAACACAGATGAAACGTGGAAACAACTAGGTAGCTCAAAGCGACGTAACGAAAGGGGCACACAAACCGCTGTAGAGACGACTTTCAGGTACGATGGATGACATGCCTGGCAAGCAAGATGATACCTGGCAGGTGTTCTCTCACAATGCAACTTCATTTGGAAGAACCGTGGGGAACGGCAAGCGTGACTGATGACCGCATCGAGGACTAGCGCCGACAAACACGCCAAGCCAACTCTCGAGCTCCGAGCACACAAGAAGATATTCCCCGCACAATGCTCTCATTGAACTTCCTCCATCTCATCTAGCAACCTCATCTGCCAACGAATCTGTACGTCTCCGGCCACCAACACTTGCCTTCGAGCCTTACTGACATATTCCAGTCGAGATTAGCCGAAGATGAGAGCCAAGTGGAGAAAGAAGCGAGTTCGTCGCCTCAAGCGTAAGAGGAGAAAGACCAGAGCCCGCAGGTACGATTCGCGGCTTGCCCATTCCATTGTGACCAGTGCTGACCTCTTTCTACAGCAAGTAATCGCGTCAACTGCTCCATCACGTCCTCGCTCTCGACCAATGTCAATGAATTTTCAATATACAGCTAGTTCTCGAAGCTCGAGCATCACCGGCAGCTAGCGCATCGACCATACATCACCTCCGGCGGCGTGTTATTCAATCGCTATGGAGGGAACTTGGTTCACAAAGATTCGGCCTTACTATCATGTGGGTATTACCTCTGTGATATCCGTGTAAGAGGAGTGGAGAACGGTCAAAACCCCAATGGAGCTTTATGACGGATTGCTTATGATGTCTGGGACATCCGTGGAGGATATTGCACGCAGGATTCCTCGGACAACGCACATATGTCTTTAGACTCCGGCACCAACTCAAAAACAGAGCTCTTCGCCGCGAAAGAAAGATCGTCCGTTGTCGTCACAGCTGACGACGTCTACTCATGACACAGATAGTCAATACGATCAACTGAGCTCTGAATACCCGTTCTCGTGCAAGGCATCTCGTTCCAGCTGGTTTGGAAGCTCCTGGGCTTGTTCTGTACTTCTGTCTGTAGCTGTCATGCATCTTCATTGTTCGCCCAAGCTTTGACTGAGCACACTGAGCTCCCTTAGAGAAGATCTCTCTGTGATGTCAATCATGCATAGCTCAGCCGGCAAAACTTCGGACCTGTATAGAGAAATTTCCTGGTCAAACTTCACGATGCGGACCTCTCTGTGTCTCGCTTCGAACACTCCCTTACGACAAACTCGCAACGCAGACTCAAAAGATGGAGGGGAAGAAAAGAAAGGCAGCCGCGACTGCGGCACCGACCGAGGGTGAAAGACCTTCCAAGAAGGCGCAAACTGGCACTGTAAAAGTCACCCACTTCCGCGCCTCGGAGGTTGCTCAACCGGTCGTTGGTACGTTCCTGCGCGGTCCTACAGCCAGCGTCGAGCTAAACACAAACAGTGACCTCTCCTGGTGTGGCTCTTCCGTCAGATCTCACCTTCACCGGCTATTCCAAGAAAGAGGCCGGCGGTAGGTCAAGCCTCCTCCTTCAATCCTCCGAACATCCTACAATCGATTATGTCGCAATTGAGAGCGGCCCGACCAGCGCCACTGACAAACATCTCAAGCACTACGTCGCCATATTCGACAAGGCGTCAACCAAGCTCAAAGTCATGGAAGCGAAAAAGATGACAGTGAGGAGTACGGTGCGTGTCCCAGACAGAGAAAGTGAGGACGAGGAGGAAGATACAGTCCAAGCCACACCTTCGTCTCGTGCAGCCTTGACTCAGGCCTTTGGCACCAAGAAATCAAAGAAAGCAGTCGCATCCATAGCAGAGAACCGACTGCTGGCGCGCGACGGCGAAACCGACAACCCCGTCTCCGCTGCCATCCTCAACTCAATCCACGCAGAGGAGGAAGACGACTCAGAGGCCGGCCTTGCCAGCGATGCGCTCACAGCACGAGCCAACAAGCCTCTGCCTCCAGTAGACATGACCACCACCGAAATCTCCAAAGTGTACGACCTCTCCCAGCTGGTGCACCCTGGGCCCTGGAAAACCACGCTGTCGCAAATGCAAATCGCCTTCTGGCGGGACTGCCTACAGAAAAACAAATCCATTCCCACGAGCCTGCGCTTCATAGCGACACGCCTCAGCTATCTCGGACAAAGACACCTCAAAGACCCGGAAAACATCGAAATCCTCCAGAAGCTCCAACTACTACGATACATCCAGCACCTGGCGGAGATCCACAAGTACGTCTCCCACCAAAACAGCCGCAGACCATTGCCGCCCGTGGAGAAGTGGCCGCACGGCACGACAAGCGACACGGCGCTTTCCACAGCCTTCAAAGCAAGACTCGTGTCGCACTTTTTTCCAAGCAGGACGCCCACTGTGTTTGCCAAGACCCTGCTCACCTCGACGATCCTGGCCCTGACGCTGCACATCCCGCCCCCGAAATGGACGCCGGGCGACACCCCAAGCATGCTGTTCACGGAGCCCAGCGAAATCACGCTCGATCTCGCCCTCCCGGCCGCAGAAATCAACAAACTCTACCGAGAACTAGGCTGCAAGTTGGAGAGCATGACCGACGCAGAGTTGAACAAGTACGGCTGGAACAAGATTGCGCGACCACCGAAAAAGGTGGACGAGGAGACGGGTCAGGTCGTCAAGTTGCCCAAGCCCAAGTTTGCCAAGTTGAGGTTCCCGATAGACTTTCCCAAGGTCAGCGCGGGCAGGCCGGGACCGAGGTAGATTGAGTACGAGAAGGAGCGCACCATAGCGGGATACACTGAATTCCAATGCAACGTTTGGCGAACAGGAGTCCATCGACGACGGGGCTTGATCCAACGAGCCTGAAGCCTTATGGAATCCGTGATACGCCAACATGACATGACATGGCATGAAATGACATGAAATGATGAGCTTTTGCCGGTGGTCAACACGAGGTAGGCCGCCCAAAGGCAATGAGATACTGTACCTCCTCCCTGGCGACCTGCAATTAAATCATGAGAACCCCTAGTCACCATTTCAATTTAACCCTTCTGCACGATCGTCACGGTGTCCACCCCGGGTTTTTTTATGCAGCATATGGCGGGCTCTAAGTTCCGAATGTGGGTAGGATGTCAAATCTCAAACGCGACTGTAGATGTAGATGGGATGAATGGCATCATCAGCTCCGCGTCGAGCTTGAATTTTAAAGCAGCTATAGGTATAGCTATAGGTGGCAAAGGTAGCTAAGCGTGATAAGCTACGGTACCTGGTAGGTATGTAATCAGAGGCTGAAGAGCCGTGATATGTGTCCCCCCCCCGACTGTCTCTCTTTTCTTCGGAAGCAAAGAACGATTTTCAGCCACATACGCACATATACAACACATAGTGTTCATCCCACATTTCATGTCACGTGGCCCTCCGACCATCCCGCGACGAGCACTTCAGGGCAGGCCGAAAGCTCAAGCCGCGGCGGCGGCCACGATGGGGACTCTCTCATCCGTGACTTCCTCGGCGCGTGTCTCCGCAGCGAAACTCTGATCCGCGTCCGCGAGCTGCGCGTCCGTCCAAAGCGGCTGCACGGGCTCGGCGTCCTTGACGCCCACGCCAACGAAGCCGCCTTGGGCTGCCCAGTCCGCGACGCGCTTGACGGAGAGTCTGTTCCACACGTTCTCGAGCGCTTCGACGAGCTCGGCGCGTAGGGCTGCGGTATGTCCTGGCGTAGGGGTGATGCGGAGGCGTTCCTCGCCGCGCGGGACGGTAGGGTAGTTAATGCTCTGGACGTAGATGTCGTAGTCGGTCAAGAGCATGTCCGAGGCTTGCTTTGCGGTCTCGGCGTCCCCGACCAGGAGGGGGACAATGTGCGAAGGATTCGGGATGACGGGGATCCCGCGGGCTGTCAAGTCGTCTTTCAGGGCGCGGGTGTGAAGTTGTTGGAGGCGACGGTCTCCTTGATAGCGAGCTTGATATTCAATGGCGGTGCGTGCGCCAGCCATCGTCGCTGGGGGGAGGGAGGTGGTGAAGATGAAGCCGGGTGCAAGAGAACGGATCGTGTCGACCAAGGCGCTGGAACCGGCGATGTAGCCGCCGACGCAGCCGTATGCTTTGCCGAGGGTCCCCGTGATGATGTCGATCCTGTCCATGATGGTGCCGCGTTGGGATTCCTTGGTTCTGTTCGGGTCGGCGTAGACGTCGTAGTCGAGATGCTCGGCCACACCGGCGCCACGCGGGCCATACATTCCGACGGCGTGGACTTCGTCGAGGAACGTGATGGCACCATACTTATCTGCCAGGTCGCAGATTGCTTCGATCGGGGCAACAGAGCCGCACATGCTATAGACGGACTCGAAGGCGATGATTTTCGGGGTTTCGGGCGATAGGCTGGCGAGTTTCGCCTCCAGGTCGGCAAGATCGTTGTGTTTGAAGACCATTTTCTTTGCGCCTGAGTGTCGAATGCCCTGGATCATGGAAGCGTGATTCATGCTGTCGCTGAGGATCACACAGTCCGGCAACTTGCTGCCCAGAGTTGCCAACGTAGCATCATTGGCGACATAGCACGACGAGAAAACCAAGGCTCCTTCTTTGCCATGAAGGTCCGCCAGGGTCTTTTCCAGGGCCACGGCGTGCTGGTTGTGCCCAGAGATATTTCGCGTTCCTCCGGCCCCGGCGCCGTACATGTCCAAGGTTTCTTTCATGGTCTTGAGGACGTGCGAGTTGCGGCCCATACCGAGATAGTCGTTGGAACACCAGACGGTCACCTTCTCCTCCTGCGCGGCCATGTGGGCACGAGGGAACTCCTTAGCCAGACGATTGATGTTATTGAAGTAGCGGTAGGATTTGTCCTTGTGCTTCTTGTCGAGCTCATTGGTGTAGAAACCTTCATAGTTGAACCGGGGGGCAGGCGGGGCATGGGGCTTCGGTCCAGCGAAGGTGTCGGGCTGCTTGCCAAAGGCTTTCACCTTCTGGGGTGGTGGAGCTAGGGAAATGTCAGTACCGACTCAGCGCAGTCCTGAAGAGGCTGAAATACCTTGCTGGGCAGGACGGAACACGTTGGTGTCGACACTGGCTTTCTTCTCAGCGGAGGTGTGCAATTTTTTCTCGAGCAGAGACTTGACGACACCAGTACCGGCTGCAACGTTGCCATAGCTGCGACGATTGTTGATTCGGGCACTCTGGACGGCCAGAGCCTTGTTCATGACGGGGCATCGTCGAGCAATGAACTGCAGGTTCGTGATCGTGCCGCCACCAGGGGACTGGCGGGTGCTGGTGGACAGGGAGCGCAATGTAGCGGGAGACGTCTTCTTGAGGAATGGGCACACGCCCTTGGATTGATGGAGGAGTGCCTCCATATTGTAGGTCGACTGAGAGTATCGCAGGCAGTTTCTTGAGGTTGGACAGTAGAGGAAAGAGGAAAAGACGAGGTGCAGTCAGCTCAGATTCATCCACAAAATCGAGGCCCTCACAAGTAGTAATAATATGGGGTCAGCCGCAGACCAGTTCCGGCAAAGAAAAGCCATCGTCTGACAGGGCCACTCCACACGACGAGGTCCACAAAAAGCGGCTCGCGCCTCACCCCGGATTGGGTCCAGGTTGATGCCGCCCTATGCTCCCCAGCTCACGCGAGTCAGGATGAGCCTCGTGAGAACCCACCCACAATAATGTAAGAGTTGGACAACTTTCCTAGTCGAGTACGGTGTGGCGGCCGATACTGATACACGCATAGCTGATACCTAGGTATGGTCAACCTTGGAACCTACCATCAGTAGTAGCTCTCAAGTTTCGCGATCCCTCGCGCAAGTAATGAGATGGGCAGACAAGTGTGCGGAACAGTACAGTATACCACCACAAAACCAACAACATGTGGATTGCTCCGCACCAGAGTGGACAAACCTCTCACGCAAAACAATATCCATGGAGTCATAGCATCATTGTGTTGGCTCTCTGACATCCCTGTGTTTAAGTTTGAGCACTGGAAAGGCTTGTGCAAGGGCCGGGTCAGGAAGAGCTACTGACGACTTCCAAAGCAGACCGGGCTAGAACTACGCCTAAGCAAATCACATAGATGGGAAGAAAGCTGGATTCAAGTACAACAGCGCAGGAGATTACATGCATTCTTGTCGACATCAGCAGTCAACATACTGTGGTATGGTTCTCGACCCAACCAGCCACTGCCCAACCAGATTCTCGGTCCATCAAATGGGGCCCCCAGTCACCGGTGTTCCATCGTCTCCATCATCGCCGGGGAGTCCCGGCGGCCCGCTTGGAACATCGGGCCCATCATCGCCTTCATAGCCAGGAAGCCCGGGCGGACCACTGGGAACGTCGGGCCCATCATCGCCTTCATCGCCAGGAAGACCCGGCGCACCGCCTGGAACGTCCGGCACTCCATCCTCCTCATCGCCAGGAAGCCCGGGAGGACCACTCGGAGCGTCGGGTGTTCCGTCCTCTTCATCACCAGGAAGCCCTGGCGGACCAGGCGGAACGTCGGGTGTTCCGTCGTCCTCATCACCAGGTGGTCTCTGTACCTGGAATGCGGTGTGAGTGCTGTGTCTCGGGTTAGGGAGGACCGGATTCTTACCTGGTCCTTGGGCAGAGTAGTCATCTTGAGCTGGTACCAAGTTGACTGATGGCAATTGGCACTTGGATGGATTGGATTGTGCTTGACGAGGTCGATACAGAATCCTGAATCTTAGAACCTCGAGCTGTGGATCTTGGTGACTTTTATGTTCTGCCAGTTTCTGTGCCGTGAGAAGGTCTTGGTGACTGTTCAGCTCGTCCTCTTCACTAGTTGTTACATCCTTGCACAAGCTTGGTCTAGATCTCCATTCGCATGACCAGGCATAGCGGCCGAGCTCGAGAATCAAGTCCAAATCTCGTATCGTTGCTTCGACACGCAGCCGTGATGTTGGCTAGATACGGACCTGGCGGCAAGTATACGAACCGGCCCAAGACGACCAGTGATGTGGTGGCAGAAGGCACCCAGTGTGCCTACCACATGAGGTTGCCGGGCGGCAGGTGCTTGGCACCAGTGTGCTGTCTTCCATGGCTGGCTGGTAGCTTCATTCTAGATTTGCAATCAATGATGCATTCATCAGACTAGACGGACAGCTACAGGTGTGCTTCTAGCAGTGCCTACCACTTGAGGTTGCCGGCGGCAGGTGCTTGGCACCGGTGCTGTCTTTCATGGCTAGCTGAAAGCAACGTTCTAGACTTCGTATTCATTCATTCATTGAACTCGACAAGCACCTACCGGTGTGCATTTAGGAAGTGAGATACCGGTGCATGCGCAAAGCCGCCGAGAATTGGGTCAGCCAGCCTCGCTGGGTTGAGCGCTCTACTTTAGGAATGGCCGTCGCTGGCGCCAAGTGCAGGCATGGTCTGATGACTGCGTGCGTCTGCAAGTTCTGCTTTACGGGGCAAGGCAGCTCCCACACGGCTTGCAGCAGTCGTGAGATCTGGAGTCCAAGCACTGAGCAAGAGATCAAATATGCCAAGACTGTAGTTGAAAGCTCGGCAAAAGCTGGTAGCTGATTGGTCGGTTCCTTGCCGCGATCAAGATTCTAGACCCGCATACGCGAGAGATGCATTTCAGCTCCCCGGGCAGAAACCTGCATGTTTCTTCATGCAAAGCCAGTGACATTCTCATGCATATCGTGTCCGGTAGTCATGTAGTTGCGATTGGGACGAAGAACAACCCCAAGAGCCAAGATGCGACTTCTCAGCCGCTGTGTCGATTTCTTTAGATGCGTGAAGTGCAAACGCCGTGTTGCCTCAGCTTGCACTTCGCGGCATTGTCCACCTACAGGAATCATCGATTCGCTAGGACGCAGTCCAGGCAGTTGATGCTGCGTGACCATGTTCTGAACATATACGGCGAGTATCGAGCCCGTGGGTTCATACAGCAGTTTCCTGTCAAAACCGTGATACTTCCCAGACCTTGCACACCCCAAGCTCAGAGCTTTGTAGCATATCCATATCTTAGCCCTGCTAATCCTACTTGGACGTCTACGTCATGTCCAACCAGGCAGACGACGGAGAACATCCTGAAATGGACCACGCTGGCGCTTTGCGCGACCCTTTTGACCCGAGAGATGAGTATTATCGACCCGACCCAAGCCTAGCTATTCGACCGTCGGTGGACTTGCGGGTTGAGCATCCAGACGACAATCTGCCCATATACTATCAAGGCGCCACAAATTCATGTACAGCCAATGCGTCGGCCGCAGCGTTGTGGTACGAAGAACGGCTTGGTCGACATCCTGCGGGCTGGGGAGAGAAGGGTCCTTCGCGGCTGTTCATATACTGGCTCGCTCGAAGTGGTTCTCAGGAATACCGCGAAAATGTGGAGGACAAAGGGTCTTTTATGAGAAACGCCATGAAAGGCATCAAGACGCAAGGTGTCTGTCCAGAGGCCGACTGTCCTTTCCCGGGTCTGGAACTCATCGACCCACGTGGCATGACTCCGGAGCGGCTCGAACGTAAAAAGGCGGCCGTCAATCGCAAGCCAGAGCCGCAGGCGTTTGAGAATGCCTTGAAGCATAGAGTCGGCAAATACAAGAGGCTCGATGCCGACGGGCCGGATGAGCACCAAGGCGTCAAACCGTGGGACAAAGATTTGACGTTCGACCAGAAGGCAGCGTTCGGCCAATACAATCTCCGCATGCTCCGGGCTTGTCTATCTGAAGGGTATCCCGTCGCCTTCTCATTCTGGTACTACCTCCTCGATGACGCCATGTTTCGCACGACAGATGGAAAGAAGATTCTCAGGGACATCTGGGATGAGAAAGAGAACCTCGCGACAGGTCCATTCCCTCAGCACACATGGGTCGATCGTCTGAAGGACCCTTTTCGTCCAAAGCGGAACGCAAGCTATGTGCGCATTGGACACAGCGTGCTTGCTGTGGGCTACGACGATGCCACCCAGCTAATACTGGTTCGGAATTCCCGTGGCGACACATGGGGCAATGGTGGTTACTTTTACATGCCTTATGCATGGATCAGTGACTTCGCTGCCACAAATGACTTTTGGACGATCCGTTCTGTGGACGAACACCCGGACGAAGCTCCGGTGCGGTGGGAGCAGATTCACGAGGAGGTTGTTGGTAAGATTCTGGCTGGCGAACAAGCCTAGGCTCTCCTTTAAAAACAGGAGCTCAATTCTCATGATATAAGTCATGTGCGATGGGACGTACGCGTATCATTGGATGCTCTCAGCTGAGCCCAAGGAGTATCCGGGTCCCAATGATGAATCCGATACCGTGGCAGTTGAGTGTGCACTCTGCGATATCCAAATTCTGCTCTTGTACATTACTATTATTCGTGCGCTGTTGCCTTTCGAGCACCATCTACAACGTCTTGAAAGACCCCAATGCGACGTGTTCGTAAGTGGAGTCGTTACCACGATCTTATGGAATCCTGTAGACAACAGAGCGAAGAACAGCGAAGAATGTGTTCTACTAATAAATATTTGATTATGCCCCCGTGCATCCCGAAGGATCAACAATGTAGCTTTGCGGAGCCCTATTGCCATACTCTCAACTAGGCGACGTGGAGAGTGAGTCGGTGGGCGATGGGAATGTGATCGTAAGGTGAGATGAGGCTGACTCACCCGTGACTTTGTGCGGCGAGGGGCTTTCAAAAAGCGGCGGCAGCACGGTCGGGGTGAGCCCCTGATGAGCTGCGAGCAGTTAACTATGGCTTATCCCGCCAACGTTGTGAGTACAGAGGTGGCTGCGCCTCAGCTACATCCAGGCTGATTGCAAGAAACAGACTCCAAGAATCACAAGCATTCTGCGATCAACCTCTATCCTCACGCGCGTGCGAAACAATCGAGTTTGGTGTTCACTGAACCATCCGAGCCAACACCGCACGAGGACCATTAATAGGAAATTGCAGTGTCAGACGTCGCTCCCTTCTCGGTCCTCGCTTCGAGCGGAATTTGCGGAGGGAGAAGGTTGACGAATCACACGAGCCCAATTGGTGATGAAAGCCTTCTCGCTACATATTCCCTCTTTCATCGTCCCGTCGCATTCCCCCGGCAGAATGTTGTTTACACTAGCGAGTCGGCCTACTGTATGTGTTCTTCCGACGATGTGCTCTTCACCCACTCTTCTGGGTGACTTCTGCTGCGGCGGACACAGATTTCGGTTTGATTTGGACACTACCGTGCATAAGGTAGCTACCAGTACCGTCTTGGTACCGTGTCATTGCAGGGACTTCAAGCAATCACCAGGTTGATCTATCCAAGAGATCCGACTCTCTAGCTGAGGTAAAGAGCTACGACGGTGACAAAGCGAAGAAGTAAGTCCGTACTCGTGTAAAAATGACAGCAGCATAGTGCAGAATTGGTCCTCGTAGAATTGTTCTTCCCCTTTGCTACGACGTGTTTTCGATTCGACAGTCCTCAATCCGACAGTGGGCACACCGTCTAGAATGGCACTGCGGGCAGAGACCATGTGACTGAGAGGAAAGTGGTCCAATGTCGCACTGACAACAATGCCAAACGCTTACGGTGTGTCCTTCCTGCGCCATAGCTGAGCTGATCAAGAGCCTCGTTGATAGTCGTTCAGTCGTGGCTGTCGGTCTTTGTGTTTCACTATTGGGCTCTTGTCCCTGTTCGTTCTCGAGGCTGGGTTCTAGCAGCAAGGCATAGCACAAGCCACAAGCAGCACTGCTGGTCGCTAGTGTAGTCGCAAAGGCTGAGGTCGTTAAGTATCGTACCAGAAAAGATCTCTTCCATCATCAGTCATGATTGAGGTAATAGGTGTCAGCAATGATAAGCGCCGTCCATGTATATCCCTTGGAACCTTGCACCAGGTACTCCGAGAAAGCAGCTGGATATTCGCATGTCGAGAAGGGTAGCATTATCGACGATCCAAATGCATCATCGAATCTGACCCTATCAGCACCGAGTAAGGATAGCTGGGGACATAGTCGGACGGCCATGTGTGAGAACGTCACCATGGCGCATAGGATCAGGATTGCAGATGCTGGATTGGGTCTCGCAAGGTCGATGAAGCCTCGGAGCGTATCTTCAATCCGCTGTCGTGTTGTGAGACAACACAGGGCAGCAATCAACATCGGCGTGACGGCTTGTTCAGGTAACACCCAAATCTGTTGGCAAAGCGGCCGGCGGGGTCTCTGGAATGAAGGGAAGGACGGATGGACTTCACTCAAGGTATCCAGGCGCGGTGACCGGGGCTTGACAATGGTCAGTGGTGTCGTCTCTGCCTCGCAACCTTCTCTACGCTGCCTGCGAGCCCCTTTCTCAAAAGCAGTTTGCATTTGCAGAATCAGCTTCGAGAGGTCGGTATGTGATCGGGAGATGCTCTCAAGGATCTGTTGGGTACCGAGGGTGGATTCTGCCTGACTGGCTTGGACTTGCTCGCTGACGGAGTCTACCCTTGAGGAGATCAGAGGCTCCAACTTCGCAACCTCCGCCTGGGTACGTCTTCCCGAGATCCTACCATGGAAGATTAGCACAGCCCATCTCATGTCTCGCCAGTACCTTACACTATGGCGTCGAGATGAATGCCGTCTGAAGCGGCCGTAATGCGAGCATTTGACTCTCTGAAATCTTTCTCGCCACTGAACGCCCATTGAAGTTTTCGGTATGCTCTTTTGGCTTTCTCATTGTAAATGTCACCACTCGTAGGCAGTACCTGATACTTCAACAGTCGAGCTAAGACTGCTTTCCGACACTCTCAAAGGTGTCGGACTCGGTCGCGGACCTGGACCATCGACGGTCCTGCCTCGTCTTGTACAGTGTTCAGGAACGCTTCAAGGTCTTCAACAGCTGCCAACTCGTGCTCGAGACTTGTTAGTGCGGCCGCAGCCTTGTGCTCTGACCCGTTCTCGTCTTTGAGAGCCTCAACAACCCTCTTGGCTGCAAGAAACCCGTTGACAAGATTGCTGGGTGATATGCCCCACCACGGACATGATAGCGCTGCTACAACGACAGAAAGGTCACCCATACAGGGTGTGATGGCTGGATTTGAGGAAAGAACTGCTGCGGCGGTGAAGTTTGCTGGCGGCAAAAGGCTGAGAGAACGCAGTGACAGCTGTAAGATATTGCCTACAGGCTACGTGGGGTTGTACGGCGCTCCTTGCCTACGAGCTGAGCAACTCAGCCACCATAGTTGGCTGGGCAACATCTAGAGCCACTCGCCAGATGTGCTGGCAAGGCAGATTGCGGCTCGCTGTGAAGCGATAGTGCGTCTGGTTGGCTAGAGACTCGTCTCGGCCGTCTGAGAGTGTCGTAGGTGGGCGCGAGGACGAGCGACACGGCGCAGAAATATCGGTCTCGATCAGAGATTCTCAAGGACTTTAGGTTGCTTTGTGAACTGTTCGGTGCTGCCAGGCTGAATATGGGCACCAAGTGGCAAGTGCTACCAAACTCCTTCCGCCTTCAATGCAAAAGCATGACGAGCCTTGCACTCGCCACGCGTAATGACCTGATGCTTGTTCGCGCTTGTCAATTGCTCCGATGCTCTCTTGATCGATTTCCCTAGTGACCTCGCGAGCTGTGCAATGGCTGAACGATAGCGAATTCAAATTCATTCAGCCCTGCAATAGGTTTCGGCCCTCGATTGTGCATTGCTATGGGGAGCATCATCAAGGATTATCATCCGCAGTTTGCTGTTTTTGTCATCTTAATGCGGCCCTCTAGTCGTGGTGCAATGGCCTGAGCAAGTTGTCAGTATGCAAGGCTATAAGCTCTATTCTTTCAAAACAGGACGGCGTAGATCGTTTGGGAGCACTTACCCGGGTCCAGTCGATGTGGAATTCTCCTTCATTCATAGGATCCACACACGCTGCTTCGTCTCTCACACCAGCAAGTCGCCGCCATTTCCGGGTCACCTTCCTCGCGATGAGCGATTCCCTCTGGCTCAATTTATCCGTGTGAGCCGGCACGAGATGTTCGGCTTCGTCTTCAGAGTCGTCCAATGGTGTGGTTGTCCCTGTCTTGGTGGTTTCCGGCTTTGGTCTGGCCCCATCAGTGTTCGGCTCTACCACTGGATGCGTCTCATGCAAGTCCTCGTGTATAGCATTCCAGTGACGACTTAGACTCTTCCCCCAATGCTTCCATTTGCCAATGGTTTTCAGAGACATAAAGTACTGGCGCAGCATCATGCTGATTAAGATGCCATTTTCTTCAGAGACAATCTCTTCGGCCTCACCACCTTCGGACTCAACCAGCAACGAATCGAAACCATCTTTGCCTCGGCCCATGTAGCCACGTGTGACAAGGACGTACTTGCGTTCGAGATCAAGTGGTTCCCCACCGATCTTGGTCCATTTAATCCGGTGGTTGGGGGGTAATGAAGGGTCGAACTCGAACTCAATGTCCGACACTTGAGGGAAACGGCCTTCAAGAGCTGGATAAGCGCAGACTGAGTTTTCCAGTGCGGCGAGGAGAGCGGCTCCTGTGACTCGTATCACGATTGTTGGATCCTCGAACGGAAAGCTGGAAACAATGGGATCAGCAACTTCATGAAAAGAGTTCGCTGGTGGAGCTCACCAATTCATAATGTCTTTCAGTTTAAGTACTCCAGGAGGGTATATCTGGTCTCCCCGTATCGTGCCAGATGCCATGAGGCAGCAATCGCCATTGTAGTGGGCGCGCATCAGATCACACACGAAGTTCCCGATATTGGACTCTTTTAATCGAACCGTGGTGAATCTTGCATCTAGGGGAGAAGCGGTATATCCCAATGGTTTCTCCAGTTTATCCTTTAAGGATGTTGTCAATTTCTCAACGACTTGAGCCATTTCATGGTCGGGAGGAATATCGGCCACAATGTCGCGCCTCACGATATGGAAATCCCATTTCTTGTTATCGCCAGGCCGCCTCCGTGCTTCGATGTAGCTAAGTTGCTTGAAGTCACTGCCTGACCGCAAGACATGGGTGCCGTTGATGAGAGAGTGTTGATAATAGTGGTCATGACCTCCAAGGACCAGGTCTACCAAGCCTTCCGGCGTCTTCTCGGCGAGTTTGTTGTCATTCGGTTCTCGTTGGTGCGTTAATGCAATGATGATCTCTGCGCCGTCCTCCCGGAGTTTAGGCGCGAGCTCTTTTGCCGTAGCTGATACTGACTTGTAGATAAGGTCTGAGGGCAGTGAGTTGATCGTGTCAAGCCACTCTCGTTCGACGAGGCCAATGACACCAATCTTAATGCCGTTGCTCGCTGTCAGCATAACCGTTTTCAGCGCCTTGCCCAATGGAACGTCTGGACCATGCTGTGGATCTGGGGATCTTCCTCAGTAATCATCCTGTCGTACTGGAAAATGAACGAACCAAGAACATTGGCCAGCAACCACGGGAAGTCGCATTTTTGTGCGAGGCTGCGGAATTGTTTGACGCCGAAGTCAAGGTCGTGATTCTTGGTATAGGTCAGTAAGGAATCGGCCTGGAGATGTTGGGTCGCCACCTACTCCGACGCACGAGACATCAGTTCCAAGCAGGTTGAGTACGGGCACCATATGACTGCCTGTTGCTGTCAATCGACGTGCTCAGGTGGCCTTGGCAGAGGCACGAGTCGTACCTTTGGTGATACTACTCTCACTACAGAAGTGTCAAAACCTTTCTCCATCGAGTCGGGCTGGGAATCCACTAAAGCAAACAGGATATAACGACTCCGTCTCAACTGGGCAATGGCTGGTTTGACGATGCTGGAGGTGAGATTGAGGTACAACCTACAGGCTGGGATTAAAGGCATCACCAGAGAACAGCGTGAGCAGCTTTGGTTGACCTGAGAAGCGCTCATGGTTGCGGTAATAATTGCAAACGGTTTGGAAGCGAGAGGCGCCGCCTACTGGTTCGGCAGAGGAGGCATCCACATGATAGACTAGATATCTTCGCGTTACTAGGTGAAGTGCAGGCAAGAACCGAAGAGTCTGGGGCAAGGTGTGTACCTGTACATACCGTCGTTGAAGTGCAAGAATCGAAGGTCAGGTGGAGTTGAAGTATCCCCCGCGGTGTAAGTGACGCTTTCCGGGGCTTCCTCCATGATTCCCTACGTCAGGAAGCCCGTCGCCACCAGCGCGCTGCAGTCAAAGGGTTCTAAGGAGTGTATGATCCTCTTAAGAGAATAATCGTGGAGCCTGGGAAAACTACCAAACCTGGATTATCTCGTGTCTGAGACGAAGGGAAAGGCACGCTCGTCCAGACGACACAAGCTCGAGACAAGGGAGTGGCGGAAGGATTGGCGGTTGCCAAATGGAGTCTTGAAGCAACACCGCTTACATAATACTAGAATGCTCCACGCCCCTCAGTCACCATGGTTTCCTGGTGTACAGAGGACCCGACTCATATGTGCACCACGGATACGATAGGCGCCTGTGACGATGCCCGTGGCATTGGGTCCTAGTACTATCAGGATTTTCAGGATTTGGTATCTTGTCATGGCCTCTGGATGTCGCCCCGTGACGTTTGGTTTGCTCGAGACCCGTTCAATAATTCAAGAGCTCCTGGGAGGATGATCCGGGTTGTACTTTGGGTCTTTTAGTTTGTCGCCGTATGCAACCGCTGCTGTACGATTCGAGGGCATCTTTGGCGCATCGGTGAAATGGCGCTTAATCTTTGAGAATATTTTGGCGATGCCGCCTGAGGATGACGTGTCTGGCGATAGGGTTTGGGTCTTGTCGTCTTCAGGAGGACCCATAGTAGAGACAATATAGCACTTGCTGCACCAGAGGAGTATGAAAGGAATCCTACGAAGACCGGCTACGCTACAGAAAGTGGAAAGAATCTTGCTGGCGTTATGTCGTTACCCAAGATCGAACCACTGCAAAAGATCGCGAACGGTGCTTGCCGAGATGGACAAGGATCGCGTGGAGAACACGGAACACGGTTTCTCCACATCGTCAAAGCTGGTCGGCAGGCCGCTGCCAGTCTCACACCTTTATTCTCTACATCTCGGAGGTCAGTATTCATCTCATATCTTTCCCAACGCATGCAAAGAATCCAGGCCTCACTGCTCTCAGGCCGAGTCTCGATGCCGAAACAAACTCTTCACTACAGCTAAAATAGGTCGAGGGCACGGCAGACGCGACGCAGGAAGGCGATATGCAGCAACACCAAGCCTGTTTCGTATCCGTTCTGTGTCGGTTGTTACGGCCCGGTGACACTTCCAGAACAGAAATCGAAGGGACGCAGCCTCCCGAGACCGCTTTCTCCTTGTGAGAGCAAGGATAAGACCTCACCCTCGTTCTTCCGCAGAGCCCTTCTCGAACGGTTTACGCGCCTTATGCTCCTCGAAGTAAAGTACACTTCACATGGCTGAGCCTTTGTCACGCACTCACGGCCAACATATGGCAATCCTATGGGCGTCATCTCCGTGCGCCACGTTCAGCAGCCAAAGAGAAGCGAGCCAACGTAGAGAAGAGGAAGTCATATCCATGCACACAACCAGGCGATGAAGACACTTGCACAGTCCGAGGCGAACGAGTCGGTCAAACTCGCTGGTCGAAAAGCGCAAGCGTCTGTGGCAGATCTGCAACAACTTCTGTCCTCGACAGAATGCAGCGTCAGCCCTTCCGTGTGCCCTTCCGACCTTCCGCTGATGAGGCTACCACTGTTTTATAGTTTTCAATCCGAGCCTCTATTTTCGCGCAGCAATGCGGGCTGTGTGCTTGGCCAGGACTTCTCGTCACCTCGTAACTCCTTGTCCACCGTTGGCTGTTGAACGTCGAGCGCCCACTACGCTGCAAGCGGAATCCCACCATGTCCGGGCGCGGATCAAATACTCAAAATTCTCGCCTGAGGAAGGTTGAGGACCGTTGGCGTACGAGAAGGAAGCTCCGACTGTCAAGTCGGGCAGTATGAGCTGCAATGCCTCAAGAGTGGCGACTGACGTGCGAGCCTGAGAGATAACGGAGCAGACTGGACGAGGACCACCCGATGAAGAGAGAAGTCCGAAAAGCCAAAGTTGAGACAGCCGAAGATGGGTATACACCTCTGTTGAAGTGTCCGCCTGTCCTTCTGGCTGTCGGAGCAAACATAAGAGAGCTAATCTGAGGGTTGGAGTCCTCGTTCAATTGTCTGCGCCGGTCCAGGATCATGCGACGGACAGCCACAGTCTAGGCTCACTTTGCGGAGCCAAGTCAACCTCCTTCCTCAGGAAATCGAACACCAGGGCAGAGTCTCAAACAGTTCAGCAGGCTGTCAACCTTGACTCGAGCAAAAGCCTGATTCACGTCGTCCAGGCCAATACCAACAAGTACTTCATCGCCCAGATACCCAGTCCCCAGCTGAGACATGTAATCGACATCGTCGATGTCATCCTCCTGGTTGGCGGCTGCAGAATGAGGCCTCCAAGTCCAGGCCAGACTCGGCGTGTATGTGAAGTACGCCGAGCTCCTGTCGAACCCGTCGTCTTGACCGATTTCTCGTTCATGTCCGCCTCGTCTCATGAGTCTGCTTCCTCCCTCTTTATAAGACATCTTCATGGTGGTATTCCACTTTCTCTTCACCTCTTCGTCTCCGCTGACTGGCCAGTTTTCCTCCTTGGTCCATGGCTTCGCCCCTTCATCTCTCATCAATACCGGAAAGCGACTGACACCCAGGATCTGGAATGGCTCTCTCCCCTCCCACAGCACCACGTACCTCTCATAGCGCAGTGGCAAGTCCAGCTCGTTACTGAACTTCCGATGTATGATCGCAAAGTGTATTGAGCGACCACCAGCCACGGCGCCTATTGTCTGACCACCCGTATTGTCGTCGTCGGTATAATCGTCATCGCGACACGCTGGATCGGTGCGAGCTTGTGCTCTTGTACACAATATTAGCCGCAAGGAGTTGGACCCTTGGTGCCAGTGGCCGATACTGCCGAAAGAGTCTTTAAAGTCCCCTTCTTGTGCTGAAAAGCAGGGCTGCTCATGCGGATGAGTGAGGTTCGGTGTGGTGAAGCCGTTGCCAATGAGTTTGGAGAATGTTCGACCTCCGCGCCTCCCCTTTTCCATCCACGTTCTCTTTCTCTTCGTCCTTGGCTTCTTCGTCGAGTTCATCGCAAAGCCCGTGATGATGTTCGTGACGTTTGATTCTCTATAATCTTGCCATTGATTCCCTTCAAGTCCTAGTCTTGCAAGACCCTCTAGGTCTTGTCCCGGCTCGAGCCCAGCTTCATCTTGACTCAGCAGTGGAGCACCCAACAGATCATATTGCACATACGCCTCTTCACCATTCGGGAACCACAACACCCAATTCTTTTCCACGCTGGCACGACTCTCTCTCGGATTCCTCGTGATCTCCGTCAGGTGAGGATAGCTCATCGATGGCTTAACCCCAAGGCTAGCACCAGTCTCTGCCATCTGGCCCCCTTTTCCTCCGCCATCCCTCCTCAATACCCCCAAAGTGCTGTCCTCCCGACTGAGAACCGTTTCAAGCATCGGATACACGACCCTCAAGTCCACAATCCAGAGCCCCACGCATCCGTATCGGCTCGCGCTGTTCACCAGAATCAACGGTTCGCCCTTGCCGCTCCAAAATACCCGAGGATCATGGAATCCAGGTATATCAGGGAACGCCAGCCACGCGTTCTCGCACTTTTCCGCAGGCGTGGGCGGGATGTTTATCTTCAGCGGCTCGGTAACGCACCTTAATCCACCACCACTGCCGAGATGGAAATGGTCGGCGGGCGTACATGGGCGAGTATCAGGTGGTAGATGACTTTGAGCTTGAGACGTGGATGCGGAGTACGTGGCTCGTTGAGGCAGACAAATGTCCGCGAGACAGATCTGCGATTCCTGGTGGAAGCCAGACGTCACGACGCGGGAAACCAGGATATATCGCGCCGGACTGGCCCAGTAGGGCAGCGGGATTATCGCGGGGTTGAAGAAGCGCGTGGCCGCCGTCGTGGACGGAGTACCCAGCAGTCCGTTCTGGTCTTCCTCTGCCCGCTTGTCAGGTCCAGATGAGCGTGGAGTCGGGGTGAGACTGATGTTATACAGCATCTCAGGCAGTCGGATGTGCGAGGTATGCTCGTTGGCCGGGATGGGGCACTGCGTGAACTGCTTGATTGCAGGGTGAGCTAGTGGAAGGGGCAGAGCGTGCGACGGCGGGAGGTAAGTGGCCTTTTTTCGGCCAGCCGAGAGGTGAAGATGAGGATGAGCAGACGCACCGTAGAGGGGGGTGAGTTTCGCACTGCTTGAGAGCTCTCTCTGTAGGGCCGCTTGGAGGAGGGCATCGTGCGATGATCTGAGGGATCCGGTGTCCGAGAGAACGCGGAGAAAGACCAGGAGGACGAGGATGACAACCGCTGGGAGCAGAAACCGGCGTGCCGAGGGAAGTGTGAACATCATGCCTGGTGGTTACTAGCTTGAGTGCAAAGTGAAAGTGTGGTCAAAATGAGCCGAGTCAGTAAAGAGGTATGAGTGCTTGCTGGATGTTGGACTAGGTCAGACTCCTCATGGCAGTCGGCCGGGTCGTTACATGTCGTCGCCCTCATGTCAGCTGCCCAGTTGTCACATGTTGTCGCGGAGTCCAGGCATCGAATGCACTGCCCGCAAGAAATTTTGCTCAGAAAACATGAGAGTTGCCTTAGTCTGTCCTCTTCCGCGTAGCGGCCACCGGTCCAAAACATATAGCAGTTATCTATGTCTTCTCTTAACAGTAGACCAACTGTATATTACCATGTTTTCATAGCTCATGTCCCATATCCTCGTCATACGCCATCGCTCAATCCTGGAGACTGCTATATAATTGCGGTATTGAAGTGTCCTTCACCATGCCTTCACCCAAAACAGTGGCGCGATTACGCGTCTTCGTCCTCTGACTTGTCGGAATCGTCTTCGCCATCACTGGTCTCCCAGCCTTCAGCCTCAAGACTCGGTGATCGAATACCGAAACTCAGCAAAAATCCGACAAACGCGACGCCGCCAAAAACACCAAAAGCGAGAGCTTCCCCTTTCGGGGAGACTTCGGTGGCTAGACTGAAGAGACCACCAGACACGAACGGCCCGACTGCTCGACCGGCTGCTGATAGCGTCTGAGCCAGACCGTTGATTGTTCCTAGCACAGAGTGGGTTGGGGCTGAGTTTGTGATCTAGGTACGTCGTCAGTCGAGTAGTTCGCTTCTGCTTTCTCAGGTGACTCACTAGTAGCAAAGCACTGGTCAGGCCCCCAACGGCTGCAACCGTCTTGATCAAAAGAACAACGCAGATCTCGATCCATAACCACGCGATGCTCTTCGTCCTACCAGAGCCATGGGCGCCATATTTGTATCCAACCCAGGGCATGAGGAAGTAAGCAATCACAAACCCTGCCAATCCCGCTCTATAGGCCCATCTATTGCCCACATGATCCCGCAATCTCCCGAAGATACCGACCTGGAACAGAATTGTGACCACCCCAGCAAAGGCCAGCGACAGACCAATTTCTTCCGGATCAAGAGCCCGTCCCGTTGGGGGTGCGGCCTGTGCGAAGATGGGGTAGAGCGAGTTGAAAGAGATGTTCGAAAGTTGAAAGATGAGATAAGTCAGCAGTAGTAAAATAGTATCTCGATTGAGAACATCACTGCTCTTCAATTCCTCTGCCGCTGGAAAGAAGTTGGGAGGCTCGGAGTCGCCTTCTGCGTCTTCGTCGTCCGAAACTTCCTCAACGCCGTTAACGTGGGCTTGGCTATTCTTCTTGCCTTTGTGCTTGAGGTAATGTGGTCTGCTGGAAGATGTGAATTGCCAGATCCAGGCGAACAGGTGTTTGACCCTTCTTCCCAACGGCTGGAGATACTGCGCTTCCTCTAGGCTTTCTTCAAGGAAGATCGCTGTAAGAGCCAGATCCACCAACAATATCGCAGCGGACAGAAGATTTGGAAGGAGGAAAGGATATTTGTTCGGCTTTGATTTGTTGAAAGGATTCCGCTCTGAAACCAGCACACCACCAATAACAGGACCTGTAATTCCTCCAAGACCGTAGAGGACTGGGAGGTACGTGAAAGCCTTGGACTGGTTGCTGCGATCCGTGATCTCACCCAGACAGGTTGACACGACACCTTGATTTCCGTTCAACAGTCCCATCAGAGCCTGTACCGCGATGGCTTGGGGAAGTGTCTTCACAAATCCGAACGCAATAAAGCAGATGGCGGTAAAGAACGTGCCGATCAATATGACGGGCTTCCTCCCAATACGGTCCGACAGCCAACCCCAGAAGAAGTTTGTCGCAAGCTGCGCCAGGGCAAAGGCGGAAGCGATTGTTCCCACATATACTCCCACTTGACCAGGCTTCACTTCGGGAAACGCCGAGGCCATAGAAGGCAGGTAGGGGCTGATGGAGTTCAGAGCTGTCTGTTCACACAGCGCTATGACGGCCAGGATGGCCATCTGTTTCTTCGGTAAAGGAGAGCTGCGGTGATGGTCCTCGTCGCCATTGTGCGGGTCGTGGTTCGAGGAGTTGGAGGAGTCGGATAGTGGCCGCCCTCGCGATTTGGGAGGAGATATACCCCCAAAGGTCTGGTAATGAGGCGTGGAGGACTGGCGACGCAGCAGCGGTCCATGGTCTGAGGGCTTCATAGCTGCGAACCAACGATTGGTTAGGACATGGAGAGGGTTGCGAGTACTCGTGGGCGGCGTGAGGCAGAATGGCGCAGTTGGCACCAGCACACTGTATATGTGCTTGAAAGGTCAAAAACAAAAGCAGCGGTCGCGCTCCAGCAGCCTTTGGCCGAGGAGGAACAACGGCAGTGAAATGCCTGAAATTGCGCAGGCTGCAGTCAGGAAGAATCCTTCATCTGCATAATTATTTGCTCTGATGCGGAAAGAGCCATGCAAGCGAGATGCGACTTGATTCGAGTCGATCAAGAGCTTTCGCTTACCTACGTCATGGGCGCCGGCGCCGGTGTCGGCAGGCGGACAAGATCTGGCGCTAGCGGATATCGAGAACATCGACGATCGAGTTCTTCACCACTTGTACGAGTACTCCATATTTCTTAGGAATGTATTGTGGTATATATGCATCACACAACGTGGCCAACGAGGGCACAAAGAAATCCTAGTTCTCGGCTACTCCCGTATATCATGCAATGTGTAGACGAGCCTAGCAGAGTTCGCCATGCTCAAACCATGCCACTGGCCGTGACCATGTTCTAACAACCACTACCGCCAAACAAAGTGCGTCTTTCTCGTGGGGCCACTGATAAATCCGAAGCTCAAACAGATGGGTATGCCATTGCCAACCATTTCCTACTCCTCGGGGGTATCTGTTGTTTCCACCAACCTTTACTCGGCTCCTACCACTGCAACCTGCTCAATGTGTGAGGTAGCACCGTTCTTGCTGTCCTGAGCACCTGTTGCGGCCGCCCCGGTCTTGTAATGCTGAGTAAAGTCGTACATAAGTGCCATGGGCGACCGCATGAACTCGATCTGCGCTTTGTGGTCGTCTTTTATGTCGTTGAGGAGTTTGAGGAAGGAGTCGGTTTCAAGTGCCTTTTCTGGATCCTGCGTGTACAAACGCTTGATATTGTCCGTGGAGACCGGATCCACGATGGTTTGATATTTTTCCCGGCGAACTTCAGAGTATTTGTCGAGGATGCTCTCGTCGGCCTTGCCTTCGTATACGCCGAGCAGACACTCATATAGCCCTTCGACATCAACAAGACCACCCGTGAGTCCAAGACCACCAAAAGGATTGCAGACTGCGTCGATTATTAGCACTAGCCCACGGAGCTGAGTACCCAGGTGGACTTACTGTGTGCAGCATCTGCAGCGAGCAGGAACCTGCCTACCCGCATACTCTCCACTAGCCGCTGGTGGATTTTATAAGGGCTGATAGCGGCAAGGTCATACTGTTCAGGATCTGGATTCCCAGGGAACATGGCTTTGAACTTCATCGGGCAGCGGGCGATCAACTCTTCTCGGGAGAGTCCTTCGATTTCGCCATAACTGCACCGCCACCAACCGCTGCCATCTGCGTTCTTGGTGAGGCGCGCGACCATGTGCCAATGTTCGGGATGAATGAAGAAATTGGCGTCGTCGTAGCCGTACTTCTCGAAGGGATATGCCACCTAAACACTGTCAGAGCAGAGAGTCTTGTGGCGCATTCACTGAGCTTACATTGGTCGCCACGATTTGTCTATCCCACGTATACCCGGGCCAGTCGGACCCATACAACTTTCTCCGAACCATGCTCGAAGCACCGTCACAGCCAACAATGTAGGTCGCTTCAAGCCGTTTCGGCCCCTCGGGCGTTTCGACGTCCACCCACGCCTTCTCCGTATCCTGGCCGAGGTCCACCACTTTGTGGTTGAAGAATACCTTCAATGATGGCTGTTGGATGGCATTCCGGTAGAGCAATCGATCGAGCTGTGCCAGTGGTAGGCATGCTAATCGGTCGGGATCATCGTGCATCAGACTGTTGTCCATCCCGGCAAGATAGGTGCCGTCGAGCTTTCGCCAACACATCGTGACTGGGTCGAAACCCTCAGACCGTATCTCATCGATCGCTCCAGCGGTTCGTAATGCGTGGGCAGCCGGTGGTCCATAGTACGCCGCACGAGGAGAGTCGTCCAACTCAGGAGCGGCCTCTAGAACATGAACTCGGACGCCTTTCTTCGCGAGCATGAGACCGAGTAGTAGACCAGAAGGCCCCGCGCCAACAACGATCACCCAAGGCTTTTCGGAGTCCGCCATCTTGGAGGTCTGTACAATATCCTAGGAGCAGAGAGCGTTGCAATAGGATTTCAAGAGGATTGAGGTCAGAAGCCGCCCTTAGATCTCCCGCTGCCATCATTTCTTATAGCTGGCAGGGGACCACTTAGGCCCCGCGCTCGTTCTTCACGTTGCTCCCAAGTCAGGAAGCCAAGACGCTCTCGAACGTGTGCCGAGTGTTATGGGGATTTCTCCGGACAGTCTCCATGTGGAGAGACCGCCACGATGTTGCCCTTGATGAGGATGCCTCGGCGAGCTGGGAATGGTGGGGCAGTCCTTGTGCTGTGACGGTCGAGAGACCTATGTAGAATTTGATACTGCACTCGATAACACGCCAGCAGTAAGTTGACACTATGTGTAGACTGGACGTTAGAGCCGATGACAACGATGTTGCCTACAAAGCGTATGCCTAAACTCCTACAAAGAGCGTGGCCAGATTCGTAGCATGTGGCGTGCAGGTGTCGGTGCAGCCCCGCACTATACAAGCGCGCCGTGTTAGTTGCGAGGCGCGACGGGCAGAGAGTTTAGGAACCATGCCACCTATGTTTACCCGGGCACCCGGGGTCTCTGACAGGACTCTCAAGCGACAACACCAGCAAGTGACAGAGTAACAGTAGTGGGGCTTCTCCAGGCTCTTCACCACGAACGGCTTTCTCGCCACATGCTGACTCCGCCCGTTCTACTCATTCCATCAAATCCTCGACATAAGTCAATGTGAAGATTAGAACGCGCTATTCCTCAACTACTCTCGCAGACTGTTGATATCAAACTCCTTGAGTCCCATCCTGTCGTCTCCCCAAGACCATGGCCAATCCACAAGAGGATAAAGTTGCTGAAGCCCACAAGTTGTTCTATGACCAGGGCTTTCAGATCCGCAATGAGGTTGCCGGTTCCGAACACGTTCAGCGGTCGCTCCAGAATAATTCATCTGAATTTGCTCGGCCGATGCAAGACCTCGCTACGGAGGTGGGATGGGGCATGATCTGGGCACGTCCTGGGTTAAGCCGCCAGACCAGAAGCTTGTTGAACATAGCCATGCTTTGCGCTCTCAACCGCATGACCGAGCTTGCTGTGCATGTGAGGGGCGCCGTCACCAATGGTGTGACCGAGACAGAGATTCGGGAGACGTTGATGCAAGTTGCAGTCTACTGCGGCCTGCCGGCCGGTCTTGAAGGGGTGAGAGTAGCGGAAGGAGTATTGAAGACGCTGCGAGAACAGAAGGAATTGTAAAGCCTGTGCTGCTCCAGCAAAGTGACAGTTTCGGGGTGCAGCCGCCGCACGTGGATGTCAAGCAAGATAGCAGTTCAGAAGAAGTGTACTCCGTCCCGCCCTACAAACCAAGTATATTTGTCCGTTACACTGTAGTCCCGAGCGAGCTGTAACCTCCAACCGTCCGCGTCTTGCCCGGATCTCAAAAGCCGCAGGATGTGTGTTGCATAAAGGCCTCGATTTAAGCACATCTGCCCAGCGCCTCTCCGCGGTTAAGAGGGACAGAGTGCACAGTCAGAATGGGGCAAGTCTCAGGCTAGATGCCTCCCGAAAGCCCCAAGACGGATCAGGCGATGCCTAGATGGTTGTGCGGGCGCCCAATCATCCTGTTCTATGCCCTCCTCTGGCCGCCTTGGGCTCCTCGGCAGCCTTTCTATCTATTCTCCGACTGTATCAAACTGCGATCCCGCTGGCTGACACCAGATCTTGCGACAATCGCTCGCGGCGCATTTCAACAACATCTAACCATCCAGCGTTTGGCAGTTGGATCTCGTGCTTTTCAGCTCAGCGTTCGCGTATTGAGACCTTTCCCATATCCGTCCGGTAGTCCTAGACGGTGCCCGCGGTCATTGCACATTCGTTGACAGAGGTAGTAGTCAGGCCTCTTTGAGGCTGCCTTGGCCTTTACCTCTCGACGAGACGGCCTTCCATCGTCATAACCCATGACTCAGGTCGCCCATCACTATTCCCAGCATAGTGAATGGTACAGTCAATCCTGCTGAGTCTCGAACATGCCCGGCGACATCCCGAGTCGACCCTGGGTTAACTCTGCACCTTCGCGCCCCAAGCACCTTCGACAGTTGGTGCGCTGACAATGGCCAGCTATCAGTCGAACGGACAGTCCTCTCCTTACTACACCTCGAACAACCATCCCTCGGCCAGTCAGAACGTGCCTTACGGATCACAGTCGACGTATCCTCCTCAACCGCTACAGCGCACACCGAGTTTCGATGCCGGCGACGATGAACGATACCTCGATGGAGAACATGATCCACGGTGGGGAGCGCAGCGGTATGCCTCGTACGCTGCGCCGACTGCGGGAGCAAGCCCGCATGTGAACAGGTCGCAGTCGGCTAGCATACAATCGTCGGTGGCGGCGCCATTCAGATCAAACACACAACATGCCGCACTGGCTGGTTATCAACACCAATATCAGACTCCGAGCGTGCCCGCCCATGCACCGTACAATCCCGCTCAATACCACCAGCAGCCGCAGAACACATATAATCCGCAACCCTATACAACGCCCCAATCCGCCCACCCGACGAGCGCCTACCAACCCTATGTGCCCGCTGCATATGGCAGTCCAGACCTCGCGCGTCGTACGTCAGGTTTTAATAGCTACGGCTCTTACGATGCGAATTCCCACTACACCTACTCTTCGTCCCAGCCACCGCCACCTCCTCGTTCTGATACTGTCCGATTTCCCGATCCCCAAGCGTATGGTGCCTACCAACACGATATAGCCCAGCAATATCCTGTCCAACACCAGCAGGTCTTATCACCTTACTCCCCTCCTGCTCCTGCACCTCCGCCGCATGGGAGAAACAGCAGCACACCAGAAGAGCAATATCCCTATCCTACTGGCTCGTCCGTCGCGTACTCCTCCCTGAGCGCCTATTCGTCTCCAGATATAAACCGCAACTCCTCTTTTGCGAGCCACGTGAGTGCTCGGTCTGCATCACCCCAGCCTTCCATACCTACGCCGCCAAGTAGGCAGCCTTCGAACCGGTCTCCCCAACGGATGAATACCTTGGGCCGCCACCCGGAAGGGCGGTCGCTGCCAGGTCTTCCATCAGAGCCTGAGTCGGACAGTGATTACTTTACTGGCGCTGATCGTCGGAGTAGCGCCGTGAATACCCGTTCAGCAGGCTATGATGATTTGATGGGTGAGCTGGATGATGCGATAGGGCAGAGCTCTAGACACATAAGGGCAGGCAGTGATGTCAGACTTCGCCATTCCAGAGACGGAGGTCAAGATGTTCAGGGGCAGCCATCGCCGCAGCCACTATTATCGCCAGACGAAACGCCAACCCATCTGAACGGCAATATAGCCTCAACAGGTAACACATACATCAACTATGGCGCATTCTCTGACGACAGTGACGCGGAAGCTGCTGCCGGGCTGGCGGCCATGCAAGCACTGGACGAGCAAGAAAGGGCGGAAGACGAGCGCCGACGTAGTGGCTCGGCTACTCTCTTCCCTTCGCAGCCACATTCGCACGATGCAGGTGCTAGACTGTCGTCTCAGGAGCAAAGCAGCGATAGTGACTACGCTGGCTATGGTGACTTGAGTCTTGCCGGCGGTGGATATGCACCCGACATGTCCTACGGTGAACAGGTTGTCTCGAATTACGCTGCAGCCGCTACTGCCATGCCTCAGGCTGAGCTGTATGGTCGCCTGAACACCAGAATGGACTCGGTGCGCAGCTCTGCCGTGTCTTCGGAAGGACGAGAATCCATGACGAGTGGCTTCGAGTCGATTCCCTCTGCGCAGAGCCACCATCCCTTTTCGCCGTCCCAGAACGTTGCTCGGGTAGATACCGGAGGCACTGGCGGCTTGACGGAGCCCAGCCCGCACCCGAGGCGACTGAGTTACGAAGATGGCGACGAATCGACGCTGATAGATGCAGAAGCTGGTCGGGCTTCGGCAAGCTCGAGTCCCCGAGACGATATGCCCGATCTTTTCTTTCATCCCGGGATGAGCCAGCAGCGACCTCTTCCGCCTCCTCCGTCGCACTCAGATCCTGGCCTGCGGCTTCCGCATTCGCTGCCTAGCAGCACTCATACCCAGCAAAGTCGATTTTCTCATTATGATCAAAGCAATACTCGTAGCTATCCGACCGCGCCGGATGCTTACCCGAACTCATTGCTTAGTCCGATAACCGTGCCGCGGTCCACTTCTTTGTCAAGCACGCGGAGCGCTCCCAAGGTAACTGAACAGGTCTATCGATCCAAAACGGATGCAGATCGTCAACGAATGCTGCGGCAGCAGGGACGAACGATGTCTGATTTGTACGACATTGCCAGCCCGCAGTCTGCTATGGCTCTGGACCTGCCAGCAATTCCCAAGAAGCGGTACAATCCGTCCAAGCTCACAAATGATCAGTTCAAGAGGTGTCTGGAACCGTGGGCACTCAGCTCGATCTTGGATTGGATCAAGGAATTGGCCGAAGAAGAAGTCGATCTCAAGGAGGCCAACATTGCTGAAGGCATCATCGCACTCTTTATGAACAAGGTGCCGACTATGTACATCACAGAAGCTGAAGCACTAGGAGAACGTGTCGTTAAGGCGATGCTGGACGCCAATGCTCTAGTCAAGGACGAGGAATGGGTCAAATTCGGTCCAGGCACCTTATCTGGGGTTCTATACCAGTTGACTGGTAGCGGATGTTACTCTTCAAAGTTACACTTGTACCACACTAAGGGCAGGTGTTACTCGTATCACTGCATGAGGACACTCAAAAGGCTTGATCTCGACGCATTGCCAGTGGAGAAGAAGTCGGAAGACTGGGCGACGTTCTACAAGCTGAAAAAGGAGGACATTGAGACTCACGACAAAAAGGAAATCGAACGTCAAAACGTCCTGCATGAAATTGTCACCAGCGAAGATGTATTCATCAGCCAGTTGGACGTACTCAGAGAGCTTTATCGAGACCGGCTGGCTGCTGCGAATCCGTCTATCATACCTACGAAAAAGCTTCAGAACTTCTTGAATGAGGTATTCGGCGGCGTGGATAAGGTCAAGAAAGTCAACCAAGACTATCTTCTGGGTCAGCTCAAATATCGACAGACAGAGCAAGGACCTTGGATCGTGGGCTTCAGCGACATCTTCCGCGAGTGGATCAGAAAAGCACGGCCTGTATACGTGGAGTACGCCTCGAACTTCCCCCGTGCAGATTGCCTCATGCGCCGCGAAGCCGAGAGGAACATCCCCTTTAAATCGTTCCTAGATCAGGCGCGGGAGAACAAGAGATCAAACCGACTTGGCTGGGACAACTTTCTCAAAGCTCCAATTACTAGGTTACAGCGCTACAGCTTGCTATTGGCCACTGTTCAGAAGAACATGCTGAAAGACTCGGAAGAAAAGAACAGCCTCGCCTTTGCGCTGGATGAAATTCGAGCTGCAACGTTTGAATGTGATTCCAAGTTTGCAGAAATGACCAAGAAGATGGAGCTCATCGAGATGCAAACGAAACTGAGGCTTCGGCCGCCAATGGAGAAAGAGGTGGAACTCAATCTCGACCATCTGGGCCGAGAAATCGTTTTCCGTGGTGAGTTGCAGCGTGCTGGAGGCAAGGGCTTTCAATGGGTGGATACGCATGCCATCCTGTTCGATCACTATCTGGTATTGGCGAAACCTCTCGCCAGAGATCGCAGGGAAGGCTATTATGATGTCTCGAAAGTCCCAATTCCCATGGATTTGCTGGTGCTGGAAAGCTCAAATGACCCTGCGGTCGTAAAATCGTCGATGAAAGGAATTGGAGCGGTCACCACTGTCGCAGTGCCTCGAGGTCAAGTGGCACCCGACACTCGACTAAACCGGGCACAGTCTACCGCCAGTGGCGGCACACCAGGCCCGTTAACACATACGAGTACCAATCTCTCGATAGGATCGGGAAACACCAGCCAGTCGATGGTCCCTATCACCACTCTAGACAGCGGCAACTCGAAAGAGGAGAAGATCATGTACCCTTTCCGGGTCAAACACCTTGGCAAGACCGAGACCTACACTCTCTACGCTCCCAGTGCGCAAAACCGACAGGACTGGTGTGAAGCCATCATTCAAGCCAAAACAAGACATGCCGAGTCCCTGCATCAACAGAACGCCGAACCGTTCAAGATGCGTGTGTTGGCGGACACCGCTTTCGCCTATGAAGGCCTGACTTATCCTGCGAAGCGCATTCTGATCAAAGGCACGCCGCTCGACAGGGCCGTTCAAGAAGCCGAGAAAATGTTCGAAGGACAAGGCCGACCTGCACCAGTCTGTCGCGCACCAGTCAATTGTGCGACGGTGTTCAATCAACCCTACGGCAGGCTCATGTGCGCGGTAGGAACCGACTATGGCGTGTACATCTCCGAGTATCAGAACTCTCGGGGATGGGTCAGGGTGAGTTCCCTCGAAATGAACCCCGTGAAATACAGGGCTAACAGTTTCTAGGCTATCCAAATGCAACGAGTGACGCAAATAGCAGTTCTGGAAGAATTTAACCTGTTCTTGCTGATCTCCGACAAAGCCCTCATTGCCTATCATCTCGACGTCGTTTGTCCGCCCACTGGCAACCCAGTCGCACAGAATGACGCCTCAAGCAGAAAAGCGCCGCAGAAGTTGTCCGGGTCCAAGGATATCGGGTTTTTCGTGACTGGCAGGATGAAGGAGCGAACACTGGTTTTCTACAAGAAGCGGGACGGAATAGCGTCAACATTCAAAGTCCTCGAACCTGTCCTGCAGAAGAACACCACCAGTCGGTCACGTTTTCTACCGTCCTCAACAAGAAGAGGTCAGACCGAGTTCTTCCGGGAGTACGACGAGTTCTACATTCCGGCCGAGTGCTATGGACTGAACCTGTTTCAGTCCAGCTTGGCGATATCGACAGCGAGAGGGGTGGAAGTCCTGACGCTGGAAAAGAAGCAGACCTGGAGTGTGCCGAACTTGAGGAGCGAAGAGGCAGCGACACAAGCACATCTCAGTTCGATAGCAAGTCGTATAAAGGACTTGAAGCCTCTGGGCATGTTCAGGCTCGGGGAAGCGGAATTCCTAGTCACCTTTGAGGAATGTGCCGTCTATGTTAACAAACATGGAGACATTTCAAGAGGAGTCGTGATGGAGTTTGTCGGCCGAGCCAAAGCAGCGTGCCTCTACAACCAGTACCTGATCCTCGTTGACGACGACTTCGTGGAGATTCGGGACGCTCAGAACGGCAGGCTCAAGCAGGTCATTGCAGGGAAAGACATCAGGCTGCTGGATGACGGTGGCGGAGGGTCAGGAGGGGCGCAGACGCAGCCGCAGGCGATGTTAGGAGGAGGACTCAACGGGCTTGGGTTGAAGAACTTTGGAAATGCGCCGCGGACACCGAAGTTGGTGCTACAACACCCCGAGTACGAGAGGAGCCACGTCGTCGTGGAATTGTTATTGACCACGGACGTGGCACAGTAGAGATGACGGCGCTCCTGGGAGAGGCATAATGGTTGAGCTGATACTTCATCTATGAATGGTCGTTGCTGGGTCCCTTGAGTGTTCGAAGGGCTCGACATTTGGGGTATGACTGATGAACGACACTGGGCCTGTGGCACCCTGGCGCTTGGGACGCTCACCTTGGGCCTTGATATGTGAACAGACAGGACCGGGAATAGGAGGATTGTCGGATACTTATACAGGTCTATTGGAAAAGTGATAGCCATCTCTCTTGACTTATTAGCCATGCATGTCTCAGACGTGAGGGGAGGAGAAGGCTGAGGCACGACTGGTGGTCCCCCTCCCTTCCCCAGAAGATGCGTATAGGACGCCAAGCAGCAACCTGGCTTTTGGCCCCCTGTCTCCCTGGACCACATTGAGATACCCGTGGTTGAGACAATGTAGCCGTTTCTTCTGATGTGCGAGATACTCTGGTGAAACTAGAGCAGCGCCCGTGGCATATCGAGCAGAATATGAAGTAACAGCGCCGTTACCGACGCGAAGGCGACATCTGTCAACACCTCCCCTCCGGCTGACACGCACTCGCACCTGCCAAACCTGCGCCATGTTGAGCTCGTTCGTGCAGAAGTTCATTGAGCAGTCTCCTCTCTCGGTGAGCAGCGACAACCGTCCGTCCAAAGCGGCTCTCTTTCGAGAGCAGTTCAGACTTCCTGCTGGGCAGAATCCCCTCCACGAGATCACGGCCGAACTGTTCCTCCCCCTCCCCTCGTCTGCGGCTGGGGGCCCCATCACATCTGGCGAGAAGTCCAGCGACAACGGCAACAAATATGTCGGAGAACTACACCTAAGTGAGCACTTCCTGTGCTTCTCGACCATCCGGACGAGTTTCCTGCCTACCGCCAGCCATGCTTCGTCCACTTCCTTTACGGGTCCGACCCAGGGCGCCGGCCCGGGGGGCCATGGCTTCACCCTGCCCTTGTGCTCGATTCGGCGAGTCGAGAGACTGAACAGCCATCACGACAAGTTCTCCCTGGCCCTCACCACGTTCGAGTCCGTACAGAAGCCCACTACAGAAAAGACCAAGGCACTATACCCTCCTCCCCGCAAACTGATCCTCACCCTCGACGGAAGCCGCAATGCCTGCGAACGTTTTTGCGATGGGCTGAAAAAGGGTCTTAGGGAGGGTATGAAAGAGGTGGACAGTCTGCGCCTCGTTGTCTCGCAGTGCTACTCTGAATACCTGCTTGACCCGAGCCGGCTGAAGGCCAAAGAAGAGGGAACCACTCCGCCTGAGCCGCCTGATACCGGTCTGGGGATGCTGTTCAAATACCCTGGCGACGCTAGGAAGCTGAGAGACAGGAGCAAAATCCGGCTTTGGGGCGAGTACCTGCGAGAGAATGGCCGAAATGCCACGATTGTTCGGCAGCCGACATTTCACAAGCTCATCCGTGTCGGCTTGCCCAACCGGCTGCGAGGTGAGATATGGGAGGTCAGCTCCGGGTCCTTCTACACGAGACTACGAAACCCCAACCTCTACGGCAAAACTCTGGCAAAGTTCACCGGAAAGGAATCTCTGGCCATCGATGAGATCGAGAAGGATTTGAACCGCAGTCTCCCGGAATACCCCGGCTTTCAGAGCGAAGACGGCATTGGCCGACTCCGACGTGTACTGACTGCCTACAGCTGGACGAACGAGGAAGTGGGCTATTGTCAAGCCATGAACATAGTGGTGGCCGCCCTTCTCATCTACATGTCTGAGGTCCAGGCATTCTTCATCCTCGGCGCATTGTGTGACCGACTTCTCCCCGGATACTACTCCAAAGACATGTACGGCACGCTCTTGGATCAGCGAGTCTTCGAAAACCTCGTGGAAAGAACGATGCCAATCCTCTGGGAGCACCTGGTCAAATCGGACGTTAACCTCTCCGTTGTATCACTACCCTGGTTTCTGTCGTTGTACATAAATTCTATGCCCCTCGTCTTTGCATTTCGAGTCCTCGATGTCTTCTTCCTGGAGGGCCCAAAAGTACTTTTCCAGATTGGCCTGGCAATCCTGCGCATCAACGGAGAAGAACTACTCGATGTCAGCGATGACGGCTCCTTCATTTCGATACTGAAGAACTACTTCTCGAGGCTGGACGAGTCAGCCCATCCGCATTCGGAGAACGAGAAGCTGAGGGCCATTACTCGGTTCCAAGAACTGATGGTCACGGCTTTCAAGGAATTCGCGGGCGTCACGCACGCGAGTGTCCAAGAGCTGAGAGAAAAGCATTTTGACGGTGTCAAGGAGGGCCTGGCAACGTTTGCTAAGCGCACATCGATACGCAACCTTGGCCCTGAAAGCAAGAAACTGAGTGCAGAAGACCTCAGCGCCATCTACGATAGATTCTTCAGCGTCCTGGCCGATCGGCAGGGGCGGGCGAAAGCGCGTGAGGAAGAGAGGAGGAAGTTACAGGACCAAAGGACTCGCCCGGGCCTCTGGACGCAGCATTCGTCGCGAAACAACGACGAGCCGGCACGGAATGCGCCACCGCTCCAGACAATGGACTATGATGCCTTCAGGGAGTTCCTCGCCAACACAGCCAAATGGGCAGTCACCGACTCCCCCTCATCACCAGGCAAGGATGTCACGAGCTCGAATCAGAGTCAAAGAAATCGCAGCAGGACCTTATCACAGTGGGGTGCAGGGCCAGAACCGGCCGACCATGACTTCATGCAACGCTTGTACGGCAAATGGGACGAGTCACAGCAAGGGGAAATGACATTACAACAACTGGTTCGGGGCCTCGCTCGATTCAAAGGAACGACGGATATCATGAATTCCATGAGTCTGTTTTTCGACTTGTTTGACGACGAGGGCACCGGCAAAGTCGACCGAGAGGGTATTCTGCGCATGTCCGAATCTCTTCTGTTCCTGTCTCGACGTGGCTTTGATGGGACCATCACGCCCACGGACTCCGCCAACACCATGACCTCGCCACTGTCTGCAACGGAGCAACAGAACGGTCTCAAGATGAGCACAAACGAGAAATTCCTCGGCAGTGTCAGCGCGTTCATCAGGCGGTGTTTCGAGTATGCTGATCCTGACGAAGAAGTTGACGCCGGGAGTTCGAAGCCAGAAACTGCGGACGCCCATCAACCCGCGGAAGAAGCGGATTTGCTCGACCTGACAGAAACAAAGTCCAACACCAAGACCATTGCCTCACCCCGATTGACGGAGAAGGACCCTCTCTCCGAAACGACACCGCCACACACACCCTCTCTGTCTATCGTCCCCGATAACCGCAGATCGTCGTCGGCACGGGCGGCCTCTCACAACCTCGCCCTCGACCCCAACAAACCTCTGCACATCACCCTTCCTACCTTCCGCATGGTTATCCTGGCAGATGAGCTCCTCGAGCAATTCTTCGAAACTTTCTTCCCGCAGTCTTTCCGTCTAGCTGATACCCCACCAGACGCAAGCAGCTTGTCTTTAGCCTCGTCCAGCAACACGCTTTCCGGGAACCTCACGACCTTCAGCAACTTGGGTACCCCAGTCAAGAACCTCCTTAACGGCGCCTCGACCAACAAGACTCTTCCCGATGTCGGCCGCGCTGGTGGAGTTGTCGAACCAGGATCACGAGGTCTCAGGGGCGTGCTCGACAATATCGTCAACGACGGTATGCGCATGGCCGCTGAGATGCGGAAACGCATGGACGACGCACAGCGTGAGTTCGAACGCAATGCCCGTGAACAAGGCCAAAAGGCCTATAGGGACGAAGACGACGAAGACGAAGAATATGATGAGAAGGATGTCGGAATCGGCAAGAGAGACCAGGAGTTGCTTGAAGGGGCGGAGGTGGCCAGTATCCGCACCGCAACCGGTGACAGTAGTCTCAGAAGCCGAGCCGAGAGTTCGGCGTCCAGGGAGAGCACTACGAGTGGGGTTGGCAGCGGCAGCGGCAGCAGCAACAGGCCCGGGGCCCTCAGTCGAAAGACCACAAGCAGTGGCAGGAGTATGACTATCTTGGATGTGGACGTGGATGATTTGTCTTTGAACTCCAATCCAAATCCGAAATGATACCTGGGGGAGGAAAGGCTGGCGACACGGTTCTACAGTATAGTCCTTAAAATCCGGTCGAGCATTACGGGCACTCCACGTACCCAAGCAGGTCTGAATGATACTACTGCAGTACATGAACCCTGCAACATGCACGAACGTCTGGACGCACGAATGCAAGCATTCAGCTCGAGCCATCCATTTCGGCTCTATCAATCGGTAGTTCGCCCATAAGTGTGTTTCATTCTCTTCTGACTTTTCATCTTTTCTTCTGATCTTCTTTCTATACTGTATTCCTAGAAGTGAGCACTGAGACCGCTACTGTAACTATGTAAATGGATAAAGGGATGGATCCCGTCCCGTACGCATTTCACAAACAATGGCCCTCCAATCCCAATCCAGTCGAGTCAAGGTATTGTAAGTGGGCAGGTTAACAGGTACAGTATCCCAAGATCACCGTCAACGCCATCCCATCCAGCTCGCCGTCAACCTCGCAGCACAGAGATTGTCCGGTGCTTTCCCTGCTGCCGTCCCTTTCCTACACATGATGTACTGTGTATGCCATGTTCGCCGGCCTCCTTTGCGTCTTTGAGCCCGATATACCAGCATGCAGACCCACGCGCACGCGGAGACCGATACCAACACCGACAGTGAACCAAGTCCAGCGTTCCCATAATGTACCGTCCTTACTGTTCGTACCGTTCCGTTCCATATACCATATACCATATACCATATACCATATACCATATACCATATACCATATACCATATACCATATACCATATACCATACACCACATACCGTCGAGATGCGTCCTTTAGCTTGAACGCATCGATCATCATGATGCATTATCTCTCCAGGCGCCTTGCTGGAACGCATCGATATAATGCATTCTTTCCTCCAGACGCCGTGCTGGAACGCAGAGTCGAAATCCAGCGAAGTTCAGGCGTTTGCGTATTTATTCGCCGTGTGCGTGTGCATGTACCTCCTCCGTCAAGTACCTTACTCGACGTCGTCATCATCGTCGTCGTCATCGTCTTCATCCTCTTCGTCCTCGTCTTCATCCTGATCTTGGTCGTCATCATTGTCACTCTCTTCCGTGACCTTTGGACTCTTGACGCTGTGCTTCGTGGCATTTTGATCGGTTGGTCTGGCTGCCTCATTCGGCGCCACTTCCTCGTCGTCTCCTTCTCCTTCCTTATTCTCCCCAACTTTGTCAGCCACGGCTTGGACTTCGTCCAACGCGCTCTTGGCGACGTCGTCGCGGTCGAGGGTCGGCATTTCGTGCATGTCGTCTTTCGAGGGCACAATGACTTTGAGGCCCAGGTCCGAGTGCTTGCTGTACACGCGGAGACCGACCACGCAGCTCGCATTCCAGGGGTTGCGGTTCGGGTCCTTTTCGTTGTTGTCGTCGTCGTCTTTCTTCGCCGCTTCAGATATTGACGGTGTGGGAGACGATCCCGAGGCAGGGGTAACAATTCCGCCAGGCACAGGGGTCGAAGTGCCGGACGCAGAGGCCGAGGATACGCCTGACCCTGACGACTCGCCGGGCAACTGGCCCTTTTGATGGGCTAGGTCGTACAGCTTGCCGATCTGCGTGATCTTGTCGCGGCGGTGGATGTTCTTCCTGATGACGTCTTCGACCTCGCCGCGGCTGGTGGCTTGAGCCTCGACCTTGACGAGCACGGTATACATGCCTTTTGTTAAGTGGAGTTCCACGTTCACGGACCGCACAAGCTCGTAGTTGAGCTTGCTTCGGGAGAGATACTCCTCTTCGTCATCGTCGTCCTTCTGCACCCGGAACTGCATCGTGAAGTTGTACTTGCCCTGCAGGCCCTTGAAGTAGCGATCGTCGAGCTGCGAGAGCACAATTACGGCGTCGGTGTCTTCCGGCACGTCGATGGAGAAGTGGTTGGTCTGGTAGTCGAGCGTGCTCCAGGGCACTTGCACGGACATCCACTGCTGCGCGACGTGCCAGTCGGGGCCGAAGATGCGGGTCCGATCGATGTACTTGTACTTGCAGAGCATGTCCTTGTAGGTCATCCAGAAGATGCCGTCGTCGCCAAACTGGTGGTTCAGCCTGGTCAGCCACTCGGCCGTCCACTCCTTCGACCCGTCGCTCCAGGCGCCGGTCCATTCCTTACGGCCCCAGGGGTTGCGGATCTTGACCAGTCGCTGGCCGTGGCCCTCGTACACGTCCAGGACTGCATAGGCGTGTTGACTGACGATGCCGGAACGGCGCTCCTCGCGCACCTTTTCATTCACGACGAGGTAAGGGCGCCATTCACGCCAGCGCGCAGCGGCACAAGAAAACACGAAATCTTTGCCAATGCGGCTGAGTTCGTTCTGCCAGAACGCCTCGGGGTCGAGGATGTTGGTCGTGTAGATTTCAGTCGTAACTCCGCCGGTAAGGTCTTCGATGGCTTCTCCTGTCTGACCACCGGAAATGGAGGCATAGTCGCCATGGGCTTTGGCGTAGGCTTTCTCGAGGAGACTGACCCAGGTTTCATTCTGATCGCGGCATTGAGCGAAGTACAGGGACTTGGAGCCACGCTGGAACAGTTCCTGATATTGATCCTCCTGATCGGGTCGACGAATTCCATACTGGGTCAGGACGACGTCTCCGCTTTCGTCGTATGCAGGAGCCCGGAGGTACAGCTTGTCGTCGATGATACACTGGTGCCATTCACCGTCTCGATGGAAGACGAAACCGTAAACCCCAACAGCCTCGTCTTGAATGACGCAGACACGGTCGATGAACTCCTGATTGCAGCCGAGAGCAGAAATGGCAGCGAGGAACCAGCAGTCTCCGGCGGACCCTTGCAGGATGTCATCATACGAGGCTCCATTCACGTAGAATTTTGGCTCGTCGAAAATATCCTGAACAGGGTATTAGTTGCAAAGTCTGTGGTGAGCACGGGAACCGCCGAGTCTACTTACGGTAACCCGTTTCGCATCCGCCGGGTGCTCCCTGTCGTCATCGTCGATGACCAGGCCGTCCAGGCAGTCCCTGATGCGCGTGATTTTGAGATCCCTTTCAATATCCCAATGCGAATCGGTGTACTTCTGGTTTGCAGCTCGGCATTCCTTGATTATGCGTTTCACGTCGCGGATGCAGGCTTCTCTGGCGTCCTCGTATGACTTGATGGCCTTGTGAGCGATTTCGCCGACAAGGGTAACGGCGCTGAGATCCTTTTCGGTGATGCGGTCGGGGAGGACTCGAGTAACCTTCCCAGTGTACTCGGGATCGAAGTTCTTCCAGAATTTCTTCATCTTGGCCTGAGGATGCGGCTTCTTCTCCTTTGCAGGGGGTTGGCGGGGAGCTGGCGGCTTGTCGGGCACCAGCATGAGCTTGATCGTTTGGCCGCCTCCCAGGACCAAGCCATCTTGGGGCACGGCCGGTTCATTACCGGTTGGATGTGCTGTGATGTCGATATCATTGTGTGCCTGGCGTGCATGTGCACTATCACTTCCCGCATCGGCAGTAGCACTTCTTTTGCGCTTCATCTCGAAGTCGATGCTGGCGGACTCATCCCAGTCATCATCTTGGTATATAACCCGGGGCACACGGTCCGGGTGGCCACCACGAACAAAGGGTGGTCGAGAGCTCATTGTTTGCGGCAAGGCTGTAGAGTATGTCAGGAACAAAGGAGTGGAGCAGGACCCTACATATTCAGGGTCCAGATATTTATACACATTGTTCGTATACCACGTACACAGTACTCCATAATCAGCACGACGAGGCTTGGGGGGAAAGGTGTTAGGCCGCCGCCCTGCGTTTCCCTGCGTTTCCCTGCGTGTGAGACACTAGAGCAGGCACCGTAATCCTATCGTCGACGATAGCACGGTATATCGAGGCTTGGTTAGTCACACAAATTGGCGGTAAGAGAGCTATCTCTACCAGTCATGGTTTAGCCGAAAGGGGTGGCTTTGGGACGATTAGCCTCGTTGGGTCCAGACCCAGCCAAGCGTGATAAGACAAGTCGGACTGGAGAACCCGGCATGCTGCGAGGGTCTTCCGGGCGCCAATGAGCGGACGCCGGCGATAACAATGAGAATGGGGAAGTTCCGAGGTCGCCTGCTCGAGGCATGAATGCGGCACATTCTTGGAACAAAGAACAAACCATCACAAGGACAAAGCGTAGAATGGCCAGCTGGACTAGGGTGCAGTCGTCCAGCCACTGCCAAAGCGCTGGACGGCAGTGTTCGGGTTCGGAACGGCGTCGACCTTACAGCGCGTGTGCATGGCTCTGATGTGGAGGGAGCCATGCCATGGTTGCAACGTGGGACGAAGGAATTCGGCAGGACTTGATCTGGACCGGCAAAATCCGGCTGGGACCAGGGAACGAGGGCACCATACGAAGTAGGCGTGTGCGGATTTGCCCTAGAAGAGCTGATGGTTGGGGTTCTGGAGCGAACAGCGCGAAACTTCCCCGTAAGCGAGTCAGTCCGAGTCAATTTGATTGAGAGTTCGACCGTGGAGGCAGAGGTGAGAGGAGGCTGAATCGGGGATGAAGGCCACATTCCGCTGCAGCCGGCGACGAGAGACGCACGTCGCACTTGGCCCAATCAATCTTGGTCAGCATCCGGGCGGTGTATCACCGCCAACGTCTCCGCCAACACCACCACCAACACCGCTGCCAGCGATCCGGCCAACGGCGCCGTCGCTCAACAATCTGTGGCAACGCCTCTCAGGCAATGGTGCGCGCAGGGACGTGTCTGTCTGCGTGCAGATGGAGGTTACTTGGCTACCATTTTCCTGCCAGACTCCCTTCATTGTGACACCCCCAACGGTGATGTTCGCTAGCATGATTCGGACCCTTAACTGCAGGCAAACAAGAGCAGAGTGGAGCTAACGGCTTGATTCGTCGCAAGACTACGGACTACCACTGGGTATACCTCTCTGGGATCTACTGTGCAACGGCAAGCATATCAAAAGCAGCCCCTCTGGATCGATGGCCATGCAGCGTTGGCGATGAGGCCGTTATGCAAGGCATCTGATCCTTCTTCACGGACCTTCTG